AGTATTATTACCCGCGAACCAATGAGTCAAATTTAAGAAACAACCCACTGTTAGAAAGCTGAATGGCTACGCTTTAAAATGAATGTAAACTTTAACGTTTTCGTCTATTATTTGTTTAGCAATTTACATTTCAGTCGCGCTTTTTTTGATACACCCTGTACAAGTCGAGAATGTTAAGGCAGGTTTTAGTGGTTTACACTATCAAGGTTTCTGTGATCACAGTAGGAATTTTGCATAGGTAAATTCTAAGTTTTGAAGGATTTGTAAGAGATATTTGAGGAAACTGACTTAACGTTAAACACTGAGTCAGATCCCTCAAACATTTCTTACAAATCCTTCAAAACTTAGAATTTACCTATGCAAAATACCTACTGTGATCACAGAAACTTTGATAGTGTCAACCAGCCTTTAGTAATATATTCAGGAACTACGTTCATGTGCTTAACCCAGAGTAGCGAAACGTGCCTTAGATTAAATATGAGGTACAAACAAAAATACAAAATTACAGCCATTTAGGCGTACGGTGCAACGAAGTCTAACTTCACTAACTAACAATTGTATTGCAAAAGCGAATCATTACATCTATTTAACTTAGATTAAAAATATCATACTCTATGTACGGTACACTTTTGAAGCATTTACAAACGACATCTTATGCCTCCTATTAGTAAGCTAAATGTCAAAAAATGAAACTGGTTTAAACCAGGATTTACAGGAATCTAGGTCTGTAATATAACAAAACGAGTCTGGTGTAATCAACTACTATATATATAGATATGTATGTACAGGGCACTTTTGAAGTTTAAACAAACGGCATCACATGCCATTATATAGATTTTGTTACTGGTTCATTCCAGGAAAATATGTGAAAAGTATTCTAAAATGTCTCTTAAAGAGAAGTGTTAAAATATCTTGAGTTTGTTTGTGACGAGATTTGAACCCACAACTTTTTAATCATTCTAACCAGGCGCCCTTCGGTGGGAGGCCTTTAAGTTGAAGCCTTTGTAATCCCAAGACATTTTATGACGTAAGCTAGCTCTGGGCTGCCTCCTTCCCCGGCTCTGACATATATAGATCAGACCTTTACTCGGTTGGCTTTGGCAGGTTTAGTCGATTTTGGGCTAGCATTTGGTAAGTATGACGTCACATGCGAAATGAAAGCAAGTGGGTCATCTCACATGTGACGTCATACTTACCAAATGCTAGCCCAAAATTGACCGAACCTGTCAAAGCCAGCCGAGTAAAAGGCACTACAGTATACTTCTCAAAATGTTTGGGTACTTCTCAAAATGTTTGGGTCCTTCTCAAAATGTTTGGATACCTCTTCAAAAAGTTTGGGTACCTTCTCAAAAAGTTTGGGTACCTTCTCAAAATGTTTGGGTACCTTCTCAAAAAGTTTGGGTACCTTCTCAAAAGGTTTGGGTACCTTCTCAAAATGTTTGGGTACCTTCTCAAAATGTTTGGGTACTTCTCAAAATTCTTAGAACAGCTCTTGAAACTCGTAGAGTCTGCTGCCTTCACTTACAGCTTCTCGCCGTTATTTCTTATCAAGTCATTCTGGTACTCTGCAAACAGTCGATCAAATATGGTGAGATGGTTGAGAATATTTGCCGTTCCAAACGTATGCGATGCCACCTCGAACGTCTTCATGCACGCAATATCCTTGTTCTCTACCATGAGATCATACATTTCTTTCAGCATCGTTCTAGAAATGGTGAATATGTCATAGATTAATGTCCAAGGTAACCGCCGAATGTATTTTTGACATCTCTTCTATTCGAATAATTCTAAAAGAATTTTTTTTACATTTAGTACACCCAACCAGGAGCACTTGCGAAAAATGGAACTACAGACCCTGGCAGGAATCGAATCTGCGCCCCTGCAATTCTGACTGAGCTCTAAGCAACTGAGCTACAGCATAGACAATCCAGAAGACATGTCTTCAGTCTTCTGGATTGTCTATGCCTCTGTAGCTCAACTGGAGTTAGTGCGCTGCACCGAAATCGCAGCTTCGATTCCTGCTAGTTTGATTCCTGCCAGTGGGGTCAAGTAACGAAGTAAATGTACTTCGTTACTGTGCTTGAGTACTATTTTTGAGAATGTCAGCATGTTATTACAAGTAAAGTTTTTCTGGAGTATACTGTTACTTGAAACGAAGTCGTTTTAAGAAGTAACGTTTTACTTCGTTATTTTCATTTCGTGGCGAAATATTCCGTTACTTTCTAACTTTTGTTTTATTTTACGTGATTTATTCCTAATGATTTTAATTTTGGGATAGTATTTTTTAAGGATACTTTGTACTTTTTAAGCCTGGTTCACGTATATGCCTGCGACGTACCGGCGACGATGCCGGTGGTAGCTTAAAACGTGAATTATGTGAATATTTGTTCACCGATTGCCTCCAGTACCACAGTTACATCGGCGGTAGGCCGGGAAAGTTGACTTGAGTTCAACTTTGCCGGTATTTCGGCGGCAAGTAGAGGCATAATGATAATGTTTACCTTGTATTCTGGATCGCTTTAAGTTTGTGTTCAACTTTACCGTCATTGTCCTTTCCTTCTGTGACTTTATTTGACGCCACTTTAGCCAATGACTTCCAAGGAAAATATTCCGAGTTCATCCTACTTATGCCATCGCCTAACACGCGTGCCTCATTCTCGCACATCTTACTCAAAATAGTCGGCCGGGACTTTTGCCCCGCTGTGGAGATGCTGTACTTATCCAGCAATGCCCTACCGGCACTTTTCGACTGCCTAACATAGGCGATTAGGTCGACACGGGTTAAGTACTCCGGGAAACCGGTCCTACGTTTAAGTTCCCCTAAGGTGATCCCGTACCGTGTTTCTCGTGTTGCGGGAAGGGACATGACGCCATTGATGTGGGTCACTTGGTGATCATCAGGGATATTGCAGTACGGACGTTGTATATCTGAGATGTATTGTTCTCCAGTTATTGTGTCTTGACTGCATTGCGCTTCTGGGTCGATGTGGGGCAAAATTGTACTACCTTGACCAAACTGACCTGAATATAGGATAAAAAACAATGCAAAATTCCAGGAATTTTTTAAGGAGTCCACTACTAAAATAGAAAGTTAGGATTTTGCAGGATTTCCAGGGGGCCTACGGACCCTAATATGTCACGAAAGAAGTGAGCCTAAACCTGAGCCTAGTTTAAATCATCGAGTCGCGATCTTTCTCATCAGCCAAAATACAACATTTTAGAACTGAAAATACGCGGAGTGATTATATCCAGAGAATACTTATGATTTATATGTGGTTTACAGGTATAAACTATTATAAACTGGCCGTTGAGAAAGATCGTTTACGACCATATGGAAACCAGGCTATAATGTCACATACACGAAAGCGAGGCTCTACAGCCAAAGTGTCGTACTTTCCGGAAGGGTGTATTGGCTCAGTAAAGTTCATACCTCTGTCCAAATCATCCTGGCATAACTCGCTGTCTTCGCCGTTCTTATTTCCTTTGTTCTTATTATTATTACCACTTGTCATCGTTGGACTCTCGTGACGGCCTTTTCCCAGTCGCTCGAGGAAATTCGATCCCGTGGTTTGCTGACGTGATCGTTTCTTGGCAACCTTGGATGATGATACTTTCGCTGCAGTCGTTTGTTTGTGTGGCAAAGACACTCTTGGATAGGCACCGCCCATACCGTTGATATATTCTGGAGACACTACCCCGGGGCTTGTGAGCACGACGGGCATACTCGTTGCCCCCATCGCGATTGGTTGATTTCCCGGCGATATGGGGTCAGCGTTCATCTGCATGTCCACATCGCCCTCAGTTGATACTATAGTCGGTCCCCCCGTGGGATGTGTCAACAGGTAACGAATCGTCTCTGACGAATCTCTATGTACCACGTGATGCTCATTTGTGATCAAGTGCTGTTCACGTGGTGAGATCACGTGTTCACGGGGTGAAATCACGTGATGTTCACGCGGTACCACGATTTGATCACGTAAGCCTTCATGCTGTATCACGTGATGTCCACGTGGGTCATCACGTGATAGCTGGTGTTCGTAAGATGGTTGATCACATGATTCTTGGTTTACGCTATCCTTCTCAATTCTTTGATAGAATCCCTCTTCCTCTTCCATGCGAAGAACCGCCCTTGGAAGTCCACGAACGGTAAGCGATTTCTCCAATCGTTTCTCCTTCCATTCGCGAACTTTATTGCCCAATGGCTGCTCATCCCCTTGTTCGAATTCACGTATCTGTCTGCGATGATGCAAGGACATGTTGTCCATATCAGCTTGTCTGGCTTCGTTGATCACGCACTGCTTACAATTATCGTTGAATTGATGGCATTCTTCTGCGGCAAAACTTGGTACCCTCCCGAAAACAGGCGACGCTGAATGGTTCTGTTCATATTTCCATCTGTCTGACTCCGTCTGTAGCTGTGTAGGGTCGCTAGCCTTCCTCGCGCATTCCTCTTCGGCGAGTTCGTAGTCATCTTTAGGTTCCGTTTTGATTCTCTTTTGCAACGGGAAAGGGTCTTGTTCTGATTGCGGTGCTTCATTTGCGACTGAAAAGGTGCAAACCATTAAATTGCATTAATTTTAGTAATTATACCACGAGTTTCAAGAGTGAGATTACTTGGACATTAGATTGGAATGAGTGATTCTATTCTGCGAGCAGGCGAGGGTGATTCCAGCTGCAGACTAAATTTTGATCAAGGCAAGAAGAACGAAATCCAACACCACAGCTAGAAAGATCATCTTAAAATGAATAAAATTGCAAAATTTGGTTGCGAAATGTTGTAAAATGAGGAAAATATAGCCCTGTGAAGTTCGCAAATTCTGTATATATTTGCATTACGCGCGGGAAAAATAACCATTTTTGAGCCGAAAGTGGTTATTTTTACCGCGCGTAATACTAGCTGTGGTATTGGATTTCGTCCTTCTTGCCCAGATCAAAATTTAGTCAATAGCTGCAATCACCCATCATGTTTTGGAGTTATTCACTCATAGCCTATGAGTGAATAACTCCTATACATAATGGAGTCATAGCTCAGCTTTGTTCTATCCTGCAGTGCTCCGCAAACATTGTGTAAAATATCTATTTACTTTCGGATGTTGTTGTTTTGATATGATCAGACCTGATAGAAGACGGTTACCTTCTCAAAATGTTACAACAATAATTTCTAAGAACTAGCATTTTTATAACACCTAAAAGCTTATTTCTAGAACTAATTAAATAGAAAGCGGGCGATAATGGATGAGATACCGATCTGCCGTTACAAGTGGCGGTTTTACGCACATGGTTTGCGATTAACTATTGTTTTGGAGCAATGACGTGCTGACAGAAACTTCAAGTCATAAAATATACCGACCTCTAATCACCTTTGATGCTGTATGCTTTAACATTGGGCTCGGGGGCCACTTAGATATTTAATATGATCCCATCATGTATACTTTACAGTGCGCACAATGCCAGATGACATATGGCGATGACGTCTAGTTGCGTCAAGGTAACAAGTAAGGCGTTGTTAAAAAAACAAGATTTGGGCGTTTTGTAGACGGAGAGATTTCGAGATTTTATATTTTTGTTAGACAAACAAAACCCAAAAATGCGCAAAATTGGCTATAAACGTTTGTTTGTACCCAATTCGCAACTTGCCTAATTATCATTGTATACAGAAGCACAGGATCAAAAATCAAAACATAAAAATCCGAAAATAAAATAAAAATATTTTACAAAATATTTCAGTGCTAAGTAGATGCGTTTGTCCAGTCGTGATCCAATTATCAATTGGTTTATGATAGGAGCAGTGATGCTCGTCTGATGTGATTCAAAGTCCCAGCCCATATAAGGGTCAGCATTTCTACTGTTTTTACTGTCAACTTAAAAGCTTTCAGCTACCTGTACTTTGACAACTGCGCATAATTATACCAAGTCATTTGCATATCTAACGTCACTTAATTTTATCTTTATCATATTATTTTGTATGTAGTCAGTCTCTAAATATTGTGGAACTGAAGCCATCCCAAATTGGTGGGTCGTGCTTTGCATCAACATTTTAACTAGTTAACACAGGAAATTCAGTGGAAGAAACACGCGAACAGATTTTCATTCTTTTGCTATAGTTTCTGGCTCTTAACTCGCTGTAAGTAAGATCAGCTTCTACTTATATAACAACAATTGCTCATCTCAGATCTAACCATGAAAATGTGAGCCGTGCCTAAAAACCTGGTTTACACTATCGAAGTTTCTGTGATCACAGTAGAACTTTTGCATAGGTAAATTCTAAGTTTTGAAGGATTTGTAAGAAATGTTTGGAGGAGGGGGGGTAATGGGGGTACCGATCCTGAAGCACGAATTTATTACGAATCTGAAATGTAAAGTGAACATGAAATGTAAGCAACAATCATACTTAGAAGTCTTAAAGTTGAATATAAACAGTCTGTACTAGGCGGTGTGTTCACCTATTTGTTTACAATTGCGTCGATGTTCATGATTTATATAAACTTTGAAACCTCCGTTCCCCAATCAAAACATAGCTAAAATCCAGAAACAAAATTAATGGAATATATTGTCCAGAAACGAGAAATAACCGTCTTTAAATACAGCTGAAAACGGAGAACGGATATTGAATACACCGCAAGCACGATACACGGCATCCATGTCGGGATCGAAAAACGTTAAATAAAAAGATGACTGAACGAAGAACGAATAATTAAATTACCCCAATACGCAGCACGAAAATACCCCATTACCCCCCTCTTTGAGGGAACTGACTCAATGAATTGACTCAATGACATTTCTTACAAATTTACCGATGTTTGTTTCCTAGTGTGATCAGAGAAACTTTGAACCAGGCTTAAGGCCATATTACCCATATAGTGCCATATACACAAAATGTACTTATTATTGGAGAATATTATAGTGTCTATAGTCTCTTCGAGGTCATTAGATTTCCATTGTTACTTATGCAGTAACGTCAGATCCAGTCTATTCGTTTAAACAGTTTCGGCTGCGTGTTGCCCTACATCTCAAAATAGACATATTTTAATCACCTTACCGCTGTTATTTCGTGGAATTAACCTTAAGGAATTCACTGCACGCTGATCTCCTGAGGCGAAATGATATGTAACGTAATACTTGACTTACATATAAGGGAGTGCTGCGCGATTATTGAGATATGACAAATATGATACTTTTGTTCTATTTCAAGAACAGTAATGAATGATCTAATTAACAGAATTACCTAGCGGCAAAACACATCTTAGCATTGTGGTGCATGCAGCCTTTCATCCTTGCGACCATTATGTTGATTATTTCGGTCTCTTGTGAAAAAAATACCCCCAGTCGGTTCAACCTAGTCTGTGTACAGCCGTTCAACCAAGCGTCGCGTTTTTTCCTCCATGGACAAGGACGCCGCAACGACGAAAAGGGGGATTTTCGTACAAGGGGACAGTTTGTGCCAGAGGATTTTACCTGAATTGATTATTATTATTATTATTATTATTGAAGTTTTATTTACACTTTTATCGCAAATAAGATTTGAATTACAAAGTGTTTACAAAGTTGAGTAAGTTAAAAATCAGCATTGCAGTTATAGCACCTCTAGGTTCGGAGTGTGGGGTACTCCCCCAGAAAATACACTTCGAAAAGGGCAGGGGGGGGGCATTTGCCGCGTTCCCCTCCACGACGTCCCTTATAAGAGATGGATCGTATTGGACCTCTAGGGAGAATAGTTTAAGAAGTGATAAAATTATCCAGTAACATTGAACTTGGACAGCGGAACTTGGATGTAACTGGTAGAGCTATCCAGTTTAGGATAAATAAATAAGCATAGTTAATCTCTAAGCCCGATATAAAGTTACTTAAAACGTGACTGCTTTTAATTAATTCTCAGAAATAAAAAATGCCATAGTGACAGCCATCTGTCAAGCGTCAAAATTAAACCGCAATTTCCGCTCAACAGTTTTAGCCATTGTCTTATCACCGCATGAACGCCTTGCAGCAAACATGATTATGTTACGATCGAGAGCGTGAATTTCCACTCCCAAATATTAAAACGGTCGCATAACTCCATAAGCCATTTCTTGCAGCACTACTGCGGAAAATGCGAAGCAATCAATCAAGCCTGCATTACACGCGTATCTACCTGCAGGTTTAAATTAATTATGATCTATGTCATTTGGTTTACAAAGTAACTAACACACTGGATAGCTATATTACTCATGTTCAGTTCTGTGTATTAAAACTCTAAAGTCCAATTTACACTTTATCTTTGCAATTTTAGGTGCAATTTTCTTCTTCTGATAGATATGAATGAGCTGTGAATGTTCAGTCAGGGTACATATACTCAGAACATTCATAACTTATCTACTCGTTGACATACATCAGAAGACGAAAATCGCAACTAGAAATCGTGGCATAAATTGCAAGTGTAAAGAGCCTCAAGGTTCATCCCTTATTAGTCCAGCGTTACTACGGGAAATGGAGGAAGCGAAGCTAACTAAACCGAGTGCTTGAACTTGAGCGTGCCTTATTAAGAGCTTTGCGAGGAAAAAAGTACGGTATTGTACTTGTACCCGTTTTATGTAATTTGACTTAGCCTTAGGGTCCAACGAATGCAGTATTCTTACAATAAGTTACCGTGGCTGCTGGCTGAACGGCCTTAAAAAATGAAAAGATACTTCAGCGTTTCGAGTGAAAGCTGTTGGCAAAGCCAAAGGGCCTAAAGCTCGAAGTGTTTTCAATGCCTTTCAATTACTTCAGACACCAACCACGGCAGCTTATTTGTATATTACCCTAATAATGCAATTTAAAACATCAAAATATGAAATCCTAAGGCTCTGCGTTGGCCTTGGTGTAATGAGAAATTTTTGAAATGCGAGACAAAGACGCCTTTTGCTAATATTTGCCCAGCTATCATACCACATCACACTGAGATTAATAATTATTTGCACGAAATATTCGCAAAATCCTACGCTACACCACAATCACCCGACGTTTTCCCCCCATCCCCTTGTGTTATATATGTTGCAATTTTCCGCTCAATTGCTACAAAATGGAGCATGGCCAAAATTCATTAAAACGGACTCTAGGAGTTTCTGATATGTTTCCTAGACATACCGCAGACACACGGCCGCCAACGTTATACACAAATTCAATATGCCTTTGGCACTTCTGGCAAACCGTCTATACTTTCTTATCATAATTCCTGCGAAAAATCCCAAAGAAAACACATTAAGCTCAAATTCAGGAAATTTGAGTCGTCAGATCTGGAGAATTGAATATGTATACATTGCCGAAAGGCCGAACAATACCGAAACGAAATATTTTAATTACTTTAATACTGATAAGATATGCATGGGGTCTGATGCTTGTCTTATTTATATATATATATATTTCCCTTATGGTTTTATTTGCTAGCGATTCCAAATCGATTTTCTACGAAATTTAAAACCATCGCGTGACTTTTAGAATCGCGTGTTCTACAATTCTTCGAACGTTCCCGTATGTGTATTATGTAATATCTACATATCACCCTGTGCCATATTTGATATAAACCCGTGGAATTTTCAATAATAACGTACTGTATTGACTATATCCCTTTGCCTCCGGGCTACAACCTGTTGTGGTTGTATGTGTAGTTTTATACACGAAAACTAAGGGTTATATCGCTTATTTATAAACACCAAAGTATCGCGTGACTCGAAAGATAATAATTGCTTTACATGTAATTTGTTCGACGACAATTTTGAGACATACATTAATGCGATGCGAATACGATACGCTTTGAAACTTGCAAAGCCTAAATGCTTTTGTAAATGTCGACCGAATTCTCAAACACTAGAGCGACAACGTTTTGTTGATTAAACTTAAGGCAAATAGTTCACAGAGGAAGCCATATTTTGTTACTAGATATGCTACGACTCAACCACATTGAATACTAATCACTAACCCCAAGGCGTATAAATTTTCGATCGTCTGAGCGCTATTTCCTTCGCTATATACAAAATACACTCGTATTATGTTTTGAGAAACATAATCACTTGCTAGCTATATGCTAGAACAAGAGTTACAGGCAATAATATAAACACAAAATCGCCTTGCGTAATTCCTCGCGTAATTCTAGCTCCTAGCCGTCAATTTTGGGAATGTATATCTCAAGAATGTCCAATGTCTGCCGGTTTGTATTGCCGAACTAAATGTATTCGGTATGTCTAAAGTTCATAGTAAACCGCCTAACGTTATTATGAATACCAAGCGAACTTTAGGAGCATTTTAAAATGTTTATTACTTATTAGTGTGAGGTCACCACTTCGCCACGACCGGTTCATAGAAATATTTGCATGCGACTCGCAAGATACAAACGTCGCAATGAAATATCTCAGAACTGTCTACAAATTCGTTCTGAAATTCCTAGAAACACTGTATAGGTCTTACCATTGGATAATCTTCGTTTGTTGGTGTTAGGTAGTGCGTCGTGCTTGCCCCAAGCAGAAACTTGCGATGCACAGCTTTGAGAAGCGACATGTTGCTCCTGCTTCAGTACGCCTATATGATGTTGAAGCGGCGAGTCTGAATTGAATTCCATGATTCCTGAAGCTAGCACTGCAGTCATCTGGTAAAACGTGACCAATTTACCCTAGAACTACTTATAGTTTGCCTTAGAGTAACCAAAGGTGGCTTGACCGATGATTTAGGATTTCTGGCGGTATACACGGCACATCTAGAAATGAATGTCTACACGTCAATATCACACAGCAAGCGCCCCGAGGGCATTGGCTTGAATCAAACACATTGCTTGACCCCGCGAGCCTTCGGAAACGCCGGAAGTTGCACGTTTGATTACTTGTCATGTCATGCAGAGATGCGAACCCAGGGGGGGTCGGGGCGAGGATTTGCCCTACTTTGCTATTCTACCTGATTTGCCTGTATCCCACCTGCGAATTTTAGGGCAACAAAACGAAGGTCTTTGCTTAGGCTAATTTCAAATGTATTGCGACAGATGCCAAACTACCAATTATTTGGACAAACTTCCACCCCCCCCTCCCCCCCCTTCAATGTTGATCTCAGTGACATCTTATTTTGATAACAACGTTGAGTGGGGAGACCCGAGGGGTGGGAGATATACCGAATGTTTGAAATAATTTTCATATATATCCACTGACGATCTGAAACCGTAAGTGCCCCAACAACGGTTTGAATATAATCAGTGAAGCATAGTGTCCTAAGGCAGGGTTATTTTGGTCAATTGCACGAAAACCACGAAACTTCTGCCGTGGCAGTATAATGACTAGATTGGACTCAAACTGAATTGGTTAAGGTGCATTCACGGCCCATTCGCAGTGAGAGCTACTGTCGACCATGAGACATCTTGGGCTGGATGAAAATTAGCATGAGATGCTTCTGATATAGGACTTCGGTGGCGCCATCGTAAGATGAGCGCCTCTCACCTCGGTGATCGTAGGAATTCGATTCTTCTCCTGGACTCAAAACATTCGTGCAAAAAGAGTGAATCAACGCTCTAGAGAAAGTCGGGTTTCGTGGTACTCCAGTTTCCTTCCACAGGGAATGTTGACAGGGTGGGTTGAGATTAGCTCCTAACCAGCCCTCATACCATTCTCGTACCCAGAGCCCTTCTTACGCGCGGTGCGACGAAGGGCTCTGGCCAAAACGGGGCTTCGGTGGCCAAGTGGTTAGCGCACTTGCCTTTCACCTCTGAGGCTGCAGGTTCGAGTCTCACTAAGTACCTTCTCAGTGCGACTCGAACCCAGTCCCCATGTGAAAAGAGTAAAAGTCAACGCTCTGCCGAAAGCCGTGGGTTTTCCCCGGGTACTCCGGTTTCCTCCCACAGGGAAAGTTGACAGGGTGGGTTAGGTGAAAAGGGCCCACAGTAATTGGCACATGCTGTTGTGGTGACCCTGCCCTAGTTGGCAAAGCTAAATAAAAAATTTAAAAAAAAAAAAATTAAAACCGGATACCATAAAAACATGGTAAAAGAATATATCCGGTATTAGAACAATAACCTTCGTTGTAGCCAATCAGATGCCAGTTTGATATGGATTTGGCCAGAGCCCCTCGTCGCGCTCCGTTGACCGCGCGTAAGAAGGGCTCTGGGTACGAGAATGCCCTTAGACCAAAGCTTAGCCTGCATGGCAGGCGGTCTAAAATACCCAGGTTTGCCCGATTTTAGGGACCGCCTGCCATGCAGGCCAACCAAAGATGTGCTGCGTGATCAAATATGAGTCAGGAGAAGAGTTAAAGCCTTCGCCCTCAGTAAGCCTTCACTCGTATTAGCTCTCCGCTGGAAGTAACGATGATAGCACATTCCCACTTACTCAGTGCTAAGAGACTTTTGCTGTGACAGTGTGCTAAAAATGTTATAAATCGAACTTTTAGTTATGTATATTTACTCCCCAGCCCCCTCTCCTAAACGTATGCAGAGTATGCCCGTTCGCAGTCATGCCCAGTAACTAACATGAGAACAGGCGGTACTCTGGTAGCGCATCTTGGATGGCCCCACCATTAATCCAATCTGGTGTTGTGGACATGTTTAACTCTTCCTTTATGTATCTAATCACTAGTTGGAAAGGACAAATATTGCCTAGATAAGAATTTATCATTAGCCTTTCTTTTTTCCTAAATTTGCCAGTGAATAACTATAATGCGGGGTAATGGGAGCCATCAAACATGGCTGCTATATTCCTATAAGCCTCATTATCATATGTGGTGTATATGAAACGTTCTAAAACTATTTCGAAGAGGGTTTGGAAGCTATGTTTCACAAGTCACATAGGCGAAGATATTTCTTTGTCTAACTGAACTTAAACAGCAACTGATCAGACTGGTCATGATTGACTGATTTATAAATCTCATATTCTGGCTTCAAAATCGGGTTACTGAAATCAACAGGATGATCAGTGGTACGAGATTGGTTTCAAATATTGGCATGATCCCTACCACAAATACACATCTACCATCAATACTTCATATTCAAACTATTTTGAGTAGAGAGACTCGATATATCGGATCAAGCTCAATATTGCACTTCCACCCCTAGCCTCTGCACACATAAGTTAAGGCATAGTCGATCAAGATAAGGTCTGGACACTGGGCAAACTTCAAAGTCTTTATACTATAGTCTATGAGCAACCGATGTTACGTTGAGGGGTTCATAAATCTTCTGAAGTTTGAATTGAGTACTGCATGTACAATCGAGTGATTCAACGAGATGATACCATTGGCTGGTTGCTGTCAATTATACATTGTCTGACTTGTGTTCACATGAACATGAAAAAAAAATAGAACAAAGACTTTTCAAAGCATATCTGAGTTTGCCGGCAGACCATATCGCGATTCACTATGACTGAAGGAATGATTAAATAGAATTTCAAGAATACATTCAGCTCAGTTTCCTCCGCTGCAACCGAGGGTAAGAATTCGTAAAGGCTAAAGCTAGTTTGTGGTTCGAAACTTAGCTATGATATATTTATATACTGTAGATAAACCGGTAAAGTTTTCTCTATATGGATGAACGTTTTTCTGCAGTTATAATGAATGGCCCTTAGCACATACTCTAGGCTTTCATTATTTTGAAAGCACTAGCTCAATATTGTGTCTTGTTTTCTAGCTTGGAGATTTTGCTGCTGTTAACTGCATGGACCCAGCAGCTTAAAAAGTGAGAAGAACTAAATTGAAGATCAACGTCCTTACCGGCTGTTGTCATGGTATGTTTTTATGAATTCAGTCTCTTCCAGAAACGATTCAATAATCAGAATAATTTAGTGTCGGCGATTCCGTCGCTGTTTTGAAAATCCCACTGTTCTCCATACCATCCATGCCGTCATTTAGCATTTAAGTTGACTTGTTCTGTAAAGAGACGTGTCTTAATGAGCCTTAAGGTCCCGACACACTGGACCGGCGATTCGGCCGCCATGCGGTGAAATTTACAATTTCCCATGCATTAATGCCATTGCATTATTTGCATGCGTTTCTAAGATCATTGTGGTCAGACGACAGTGGCTAGCCTTAAAAACCTCGATAGATTATCTTAACTCCTAATGACATAGCAATCTCAAACATTGCATCGAACTTGTCCCTGATCCAAGGCTTGTATCTCGAGGTATGTCATTCAATTCAACGCCACGGGCTTCGATGAAACACATCTTTTGACATGACCATCGACGTCGTAAGATCACGGCATATATACTCACAAGACTACTTTAGTGGCATATTGCGGTCGACCAAGTCACGAGACGTCCTTGCCTGTTTATCTTTACAGGAATTTCATATCTGGTTTATTCATCTTTATTAGTAAATCCAAGATATGCTTCCTGTCCACAATCGTTTGTGTCTAGGAAAGAGTCTTAATTAAAGCCTGGTTTACATTATCAAAGTTTCTGTGATCATAGTAGGAATTTTGCATTGGTAAATTCTAAGTTTTGAAACTGATTTGTGAGAAATGTTTGAGGGAACTTACTCAGTGTTTAACACTGAGTCAGTAGAACTGATATATCCACTCAATCAAATGTATAAAATTTACACTCGGGCCAAATTTCCATCGACAAAACTCACTTCAACCTGATTAGTTCTATCGAGTGAAATGCCCCAAATCCTAATAATTACTAATACACCTTAAATTGGCATCACGTACTTGGGGTTAAGCCGTTAGGGAGCTCGACAACATGACTCTGTAGCTCAGTCGGTTAGACCGCTAGTTGCACCGTCGAATCGCAGGACAGCAGGTTCAATTCCTGCCAGAGGACCTATAGTTGGTTAGGTCTATCTAGGAAGAGATTATTTCGCTGGCCTCAAAGTGACAAAACGTAACAAAGCAACGGTTTTACTAACACTAACCCTACTCCAAACACCAACTCTAACTCTAATCCTTACCCTAACCTAACCCTACTCCAAATTTGTTTCTAAACCAATCTTGAAGAAAGAAGTTTTGACGAAATGTCACTCTGAGGTCAGCGAAATAGTTGATGTCGTCTAATAAATGTATAAAATTCACACTCCATCAACAAAACCCTCACATAACATTAATAATCCATTTATGGCATTCAATTAAGTCACGAGATCTGTTTCATTATGTTGTTACTATGCAGGATAAAAATATTTTGAATGTATCTTCTAAATACTGTTACGACATATTAGCATGGACATGTTACAAACAACCAATTAGGTATGTTTATGTAATATAGTTCTATTTTGTATTTTGTAACTTGTTTCTATCTTTTAAGCTGGAGTAATACGTGCAACAAAATCTGATTTCAACGCATGTTAAGTAGAAATGTCGACACATGTTGATTTGTAATTTATGTTTTGAAACATTTTCAATTAACATGCGTATAGAAATCAGATTTTGTTGCAAGTTGCAGCAATTTTGTTGCCCAGATTACTATTTTGTTTTGGAAGAAATTAGATCCGTTGTTACAAAGATTATTACTAATACCATGTTTGTGTTTACTCTGAGTGTGCATCCACACTGGGTAATGTAGTCTGAGTGAGCAACACCACAAACATCATATTCACCTGAGTACATAATACCAACACATACAAAAAGTAAGATTATTATTGTATCAAATATTATTATTATTATTAATATTATTATTATTATTATTTTTATTATTATTATTATTATTATTATTATTATTATTATTATTATTATTATTATTATTATTATTGTGCACGAGCTAACCATGCGTGTACCGTGCACTCGTTTTTTTATGTACAGACCACATGGTATACACATGGTATATTCTAGTAAAAATAGAATAACATGTGTACACTTAAGGCTGGTCAGTTACACTATAAATTAAGTTTCTGTGATCACATGCAGTATAGGAATTTTGCATCAGATCATATTCTAAGTTTTGAAGGATTTGTAAGACATTTTTGAGAAACTGACTCACTGTATAAAACTGAGTCAGTCCCTCAAACATTTCTTACAAATCCTTCAAAACTTAGAATTTACCTGTGCAAAATTCCTCCTGTGATCACAGAAACTTTGATAGTATATAACAAACCAGCTTTACTGATAAGAAGCTAAGAAGCATACCCCAAGAATTGGCGAGTACTGGAACCTGATTGGCTCAAAGCTGTTTGATTTCTAGCCAGTTCTTTCATCGTATATTACCACATTACCGGCCTGTTAACGAATTATATTATCATATTACCGGCTATATATCGGAATTTAACAAAGAAGGTCAAGTTCGCATTCAAATTATTAATAAAAGCGTCTTTGTCTTCCTTGGGCTTGGGGTCGCAAAACAAACAACTTAATTAAAATATTTTTTCCTTACTTGGAAACCGATTGCAATTCACAGAACCGCCTGTCGGGTTCTATAGAATTCTCAAGTGACAGATCTCAAGACTATATTACAGCTGGTGCCTGCCATGGGGGCATATACCTAAACTGTATACACATGCAAAGCAATAGATACTCCGAAAATTGAAAGCATTTTGAAATAAATTTTTCAAAATGCTTTCAATTTTCGGAGTATCTATTGTTTTGTATTTTATCAAAATACTCAGTGGTTCCCGGAATTTTCTAGTATACACATGCACTGGTCATAACTGACAGAACACAAAAACATGACATTAAGAATTCATTCAAAGATGAAAATTGACGAGCCATTTCAGCTCATGCTTTGTTTAGAATCGTTTTAACAGAACCTAACGATATACAGTAATTTTTGCCTCATATAGGGAAGATTATTCCAAAATGCGACACCATTATAATTGAAGCGCTTTTTGCGGAATTCTTTGTTCGGCTTAGGAAAAGGAAAAGGAAGTGTTAAGGGGCTATTCATATGAGTCGGGCCAGCTCATCTGGTCGGGATGAATCGTGGCACGAATATGTTTTCCTGCCCATACTGCGATAGTTCGAATGAACTTTATCAGTATAAAGATTACTGGAATCAAACCAAGTTAATTCAACTTTGAAATATTATTTTGCGGGATGTTTATCAAAGCCGGGATAAGAGCTTTGTTAAACGAGTCACCCGGTTAATTGGGCCAGCCCGGCTCCATGTTAACAGCCCCTAAATCGGTTCCTCTCTTTCCAGTGGCGAAGGTAGCCATGCCGGCAACTGGTCATGTGATGCTAATAAACGTGCATCTAAATGACAATACTCTTCCAAAGTTTGAATAATGCGAATCATTAAAAATTTGCATATAACATAAGCTGTTGCTATTGCTACCTTCTTCGCTGTCTATTTCTGAGATTGTAAAGGTAGAGGCAGGCTAGTGTATTGTAGACGGTTGACACAATTTAGGAGCAAGTAAAAATCTCTCATCTATTTAGTTGCCTGCGGATACTAGACAACTAAAAAACAATGACAAGAATTTGGATAAGTGCTGGGATGGACGACTGTATGATAGTACTTGATGAAACAAGCTATTAGAAATCACGTTATCACCACAACACGAAATGCCTGAGACTGTTTCGATATAGGAAATTGAATCGTCTGGCTCGGACGTGACCTACTCATTAATTAATCCAATTATTTCTGGAATGTGTTTACAGTCTAATTTTAGCGGCCTCATTGTGAAGGCCCATTGAATGATCAACATAGCATAACCTCCTTGTTTTAAAAGGTCATTATCAAGCTGGTAATTTCAATATATTCCATCAGTCGGTAGCATGAGGGAATACATTTTTTGAGGGGGACGTTCCAACCCACACGTTTTGAAATGGATTTTTGCTCTTCGTTGGTCTCGTATTAATCATACAGGGATAGAAATTATTTTCTAGCATGCGAGCTACATCCATAAAAATATCATGTTTTGTCGTCAACAATTGCCTACAAATACTGGCAGGGTGGTTAACTTCACAGAGTGTGTACAAGTTGTACGTTTCATTTGCTCGAAGTGTTTTTAATTAATCTTTTCGTGGTAGTTCGGACACAAACCAATGCATCCATTCAGTTCAATGTTCAACCAGGTTATCAGGGTCGTAGCGAAGAGGGTAAAGAAGGCGGGAGGTGTATCGCATTTGCCACAACATTTCAGTTGCTAATAATATTTTCCCCAAAATTGTTGGCGGGATTGTTTCCGGACATATCTTAATTTTGTGATGTTTTTAATTTATGTTACTCTGAGTGTATATCCACACCGGGCAAGCCACCGTGGTCAGGCTAATTTTTCAGCCTGCCTGGTGTGGATATACACTCAGAGTAACATCAAAACATTATATTCGCCTGAGTACATAACATCAAAACACACACAAAAAATATCATATCGTAATTTGTTAACTTTTTCGTAAATTTAGCAAACTTTTTGCTATAACGATTACTTTTTATTCCGAGCCACTCAAATATTTTCGCTGACTACGAAAACAATTGGCCGAGTCCGAGTAGCAGACATTTGCCGAGTCCGTGATGAATGGGGGGCGTTACACCCACCACGCCCCCCTCTAGCTACCGCCCCTGTGTTCAACCATGCCCATGGATCTCTCTCCTCCGCAGAGGCTTCTGTTGGCTATGATTACGATTAGTATTGAGATAAATTTCACTACACTTTTATATGACGGATCTTGGAGCCGCTGAGCGAAGGAGCGCTCGTGTTCCATCTCAATACTAATCGTAATCATAGCCAACTAAAGCCACTGCGGAGGAAAGAGCCCATGGATTATGAAAACACTGGATAGCCGAACTCATAATCACGCATGATGTTTTCATCGTCCTGATGCTGTCTCAGTTGACCTTGTTGAAAATCATTACTTCACTAAATCCTAAAGAATACCATGTTTAGCAATGATACAGGCGGTCATACAGCGGATAATTTTAGTCCAAAAACATAAGAGTAAAACCATGCCACTATACGATGGAATATGTAAATATTGTTGGTCAGTTTCCGGAAACATATCAAGCATCAGGCGGTGAAATACGTGTCACAAATTCCAATTATATTCAATTGAAGAGGAGAATCTTTTGTATGTTACGTAAAACGCGCTCAAAACTAACCATTTGTTTATGACTATATGAGTCACATTTTGTAATTTTTAATACGTTTCTCAAGCGGCAAACGAACTTAAAAAGTATTTTTTCGAGTGCTTTTTTCTCTATAAAATTATGCTAAAATGAAGAGATTTTAGATGGCACGCCAAAGAGAGAATGATGATGTCTGAAGTTCACTGTAAGTTTTGCATATTTTGCTGTATAAATATGGCGTCATTTTCACAGCATCAACAACTATAATTGTATTTAAATTGACAATATTTAACTATTTTGTTTTGTTGCTCAACCGCTAGATACATTTAAAAACGTTGCTATAACTGCGTTAACCGGTCAAAATGAAGCCGCTAAAACAAAGTAATTTTGAGAGGAACGCCGAAAAGATTTTAGGTTTCGAACACTTTTTCATCGCAAATATAAGCGACATTGAAAAAAATTGCCTCTTAACAGTAATTTTTGTGACGCCAATTTCTTCATTACGAATGTTTAAAAATCTAAAACAAAGGCGAACAACACTTACTTTCAATCCTTTACCGTGGCACAGTCGCACAGGCAGAAGAAGAAGTTTAAAAGAAGTTAAAAGACAATGAAATTATATTTTGAATTTCAATATATAGCCACTCACTTGAATGCGAAATAGTCATAAAAAAAAAAGATAAATTAAGGCAGTAACACGCCTATTGTTGTCATTCGTGACTAAGTCACGTCTGCCGGCGTCAGCTGTTTTCTAGCCACTTTCATGATCAAGTACTATTTAAGACTTCTCGAAATCTTTTTCGTATTAAGAAATTAATATAACCCGTGCACAATTTTTTATTCTTCAATTTGGTTTTAGATTAAAATTTGATGTCGTGTTCTCGCAGCCTACATTGGCAACACAGTTTGGGCAGACAGCATGGCGAGATCCCGAATGGCCTTCTCCTTGACTTGAGGTAAGACATCGAGTTTATAGTTGTTCATTTATAGGCTGGTTTTCACTATCAAAGTCTCTGTGATCACAGTAGGAATTTTGCCTAGGTAAATTCTAAGTTTTGAAGGATTTGTAAGGAATAGGGAACTGACTCCGATGCAGGAGTGTTAAACAAAGAGTCATTTCCTTCACAAATTTCTTACAGCACCTTGTATAATCTCGTGGTCACTAAAATTGCCTTTCAAGCTGGGAGACTCCGGGGTTCAATCCCTGGGCGGACTTAGTACTCAAGGTTTAAAATAATAGTTGAGGAGAAAGTGCCACCTTTACATTGACATCACGGTATATGCCATATGGTTAGACTTTCGCGTCTCAGTCTCGGATAAGAACGTTAAATCGTAGATACCTCGGATCCCCTATATCAATTGAGCAATACTCCAATAGCCTGTTCGGAAATCCGCTCGCCACCAATGAGTGAAGAACTCAATATATAAACAATAGACTCAACTGAATTCATCAAATCTTAGAATTTACCAATGCAAAACTTCTACAGTGTTCACAGAAACTTTGATTGTAATTCCTGTTAACATGGAACAATTTGTTGCGAGGCTGCTGGCCTCTGCATCAACCTTCAATTACAATTAGATGTTAACATGCAATTTTGTGTCTGGAGACAAGCAGTGCGAACACATCTTTTTGACAAGCTGTGAGATTTTTATGAGTCTAGTTTGACTCGACCTTCCCTTATTGGGGCTAGATCAATATAGATATAAATAATATTGAACTCCCTCAACTTCGTCGACAGGGGGCTGGCTTTTTTGAAATGACCGTAACGCATGCTTTCCAAGAATCGCATTCCAGAACTAAGGCCTTGCGATAGTCGCTTTTTACGACAGCAACCAATACGCCTTCCAGAAGTAATGTCTGCCCACCATTCACCAAGTTTCCCCTTGAGATATTCCAGAAACCGTTAAATATGACTTGCAGTGACAAGCGAATTGCCTAAAGCCTAAAGTGGCTAAACTATCATATATGCATGTAATTTTCACGGAATTCCAATGTGGGTGATAATGTCCGTCTGTTTGTTATCACAAAATTAAAATGATTTGTGGGTTAGCGTCACAAACATGGCGCTGTTAACATAAGTATGTCAACCAACCAATTGTATCTGGTCACGTGATGTATATACTTGAATTCCAAGACCACTATGGTAATTTTCACATAATTTCAATATCGAATAACACGTCGGTTTATTCCGGTATAACACTCAACAGAACTAGGATACTCGTTAATTCTTAGGATACTCGTTAATTCTTAGGATAGACTTATTTTTATCATATTGGTGTTATAGAACTATTATGTACTGCAAAGCTTTAATGCACTAAACGATTTAAAACGGGCAAGGGTAATTACTAATTAATTTTTTCCATTTCACAGGCACAGCATGTTTTAAAAATCTGGAATCGTCTTCTAATATTAGGCATTTATGTATGTACTTATTTCATTTTAATCCACACAATTAGTTTTACTGTTTTCGAGTCACTTCAAATCAATTGTTATTAAACTAAAACTTAAACCGGTGAAATGTTACTACTTCTTGTAGAGGCTCGAACCAGACATACTTGGATATGCTTGATAGCTTTTAAGCCTCTCGTTTTGCCGAAATCAGTACAAAGCAATGAATAGCTATGAGCAGAATTTTATGAATAAAAAAGACTGAACAGGTAGGGGTCTGTCTTTAATCAGTGTACGTCTTAGTATGATAGACATATTAGAATCTACATGAGATTTACATCGTGAGCAATGTACCACATTAACATTGTGAACGGCATAAACTGTATCAATTATCTGATTATTCGTCTCCCTTAGGGCTTCAACTAATGCAAGACGAATTAAATGTAAACCTGACCACGATGAAGTTGGAACCGACATATACAGAATGCGAACGGCCACTTTCACCAACGTTTGATCTGAGAGACTCCTACTTCAATTCAGGTAGGATTGTTCATTGTACTTTGTTTGTTTTGTAGCGGAAAGTTTACTGAGTATCAATATGCACTATCGACATATATCATTATATGGTATATCCACTGATATATCTCTGAAATCATTTCTTTAATTCCTACAGTAGTGTACATTTGTGTGGGTATTTATATACTGGTTGTTTCCATGAAAACTTCTGTTCAAACGAGGCAACATCTAACATTAGAAGCAACATTGTTGGCCAGTTGGTTTCGTCTGAGTTGACTACGGCTATGCCTATATATGTGGGCTGCTATTGGATTGGCTTTGACTATATGGTTGTGCTTAAAATTTCCATCCAACATGAGTCGTCTACTATTATTGGACCAACAACATTGTTGGACAATATTGCATTCGGGGCGACCATCAAAAGGCAGCGAATGTTAAAAGTATTGTATAGTTTCACTTTACCTCAGAGTTGGCACTGCAGTCTGCTCAATGAAGGATATTCAGGTGGTCTGATGAAGATGGCTCAATTTTATTGGATGAAACAAGCTGTAGTGGTGCCTTTGGGCTACCTGAAGATTCCTTCATTGGATGAAGCAAGCTGTTTGCTGTAACTTTGAGGCAAGCGAAACTATACCATTTGGTCTGCCTTGAATTATGAGATATCGACTGAACATTCTCTGGTATTTCGTGAACCAAAACGCAAAAACACACTAATAGAGGACTATCAATATACCCCAATGCACACTAATAGAGGACTATCAATAACAGTTCGCAAATTCTGGTACTACGACACCCAATCTGTTTTGTACCAAAAGTACTTATTTTAATGTCGTCTGTTATGTTGCCTGCTGTGTTAAAGATATGCTAGACTTGTAAAGGGTTGTCATCAGTGAAATCAACTCTCAATTGACATATGTGTTTAATAATGAGGACATGTAATTTTTGACCGTGTTGACCTAAATCTAATTTAAAATGCTTAACCCGAACTAGTAATTTCCGAAATCTTATACATTATATGAATATGTGAATATGTGAATAGTTGCTCAATTGGAGTGATCCCCGGGTTAGCCGAACCGGCATATATCAAAATGCCGTATAGCAACTAATCGGCAATGTCGGAACTGATCCACTAGCTACTTGTCAATAACTTCCCGAAATAAAGTGCAAAACAGACACCGAATGGAAATCTGATTTTCATGAAAGGTTTCAAGAGACGAAGGTTGAATTGTATTATATTGAATTAATACCAAATTCCTCATCAAACGGATAATACAACACTGACTCTGACAGGGCCTATTTTAAGAATCAGGTCACACTTCAGAGAATGTGTATGCCGGCTTTCATTGAAAGTTTAAAAGTGCTCACTTTCAACTGTCGTAGACAAAACTGTGACCACATTTTTACGCTGGAATCCCATGTACTGTTAGATCTGAAAATGTTGAAATCTGAAGTCTCTGAAATACCAGTTTCTTCATTTTGGGGGTGATTATATTGAATGGTTGCAAACTTGCAAATCTGAAAGAGTTGTTAAAAATATCTTTGTGATTTTTCCTGTTCTTTATCATTAAGTCTAACAGCTAACCGATTTGTTTATGCCATTGTGGCCTAAGCCATCGTTCGACCTTGCTATAATAGCGCTATATGGTCTTACAATGTTGAAACTGGGAATTTCAAATTTCCAATAATGGATGCTTTCACATTCAAGTTTCACACTAAAATGGCTCCGGCCAGCTGTGACGAAGCTGCATATCAGTACAGTACCTCGTGTGCTTACCATATTGATTCAAGCTAATTGCTACAACATAAGCCAGAATATTGGGTATAATCCTCAGGGCTTATAAGTCTCGTAATAGGCAGGACAGTTTTCCTAGACAACTTTTATTTGCTCGTGTGTTCGACAAAACATTGATCATTTTTCCTTGCCAAGGAATCATGTTGCAAAGCTTGTCCGTGCCAGCTTTTGGACAATGAAAATTTGTTCGTGACGGCTGCGAAGGAAAGCTTGACAAGTGTACATTGTGCAAGAAGTATTTCTATGGCCACTTTGGCAAACAGAAGGCGACTTTGACGTGAGATAAATCGGTTTAACAACATTCCTTCACACCAGCAACGAAACTTGTGAAGGCGGAAATTTGTCAAGGAAAACTTGTTGACCGTACAGACGAGACTGAAGTAAAGTTATCAAGGAACGGGTGTTAGATATATATAGATAGATAGATATACAGACAGATAGATAGATAGAAGACTTTATTAAAGTTTTACATGCATGTAACCGCACTGCGCAACTGACAAAACATGCGAGTTTACCGTGCAAGCCGTAGATTTTCAAATAGAAGTTGTCTAAATATATACAATGACAATGTTCAAATATATACATATGTTAAATTATATAAAGTTAAAAAGACATCTATTATAAATAAAACTATTCTAATACGTTCAGCGTTAACCAGCGTTTAAGCATACTATAAAACAAAATTGGTACTATACTCTATAGGTAGTGATAGCACTTATGTATAATAGGACTGAGGCTCGGAAATGGCGTAATTGAATTCATTTGCTCAGATCATGTTGCGGTCGATATTTCTGTATGCCAGTGAGTTTAGTACCTGCTTCGGGGAAGCAGGGTATACGGAGTAAAGTCGGCTATTGTAGGGTGAGGTCATGATGATATAAAGAGTGTTAAATGTGACTAGTGACTACTGGTACGAATGCGAGATTCGTTGTTTCCATATGCTCGTCATCTTCTTGGTAGGCAAACCTATAAAGCTTTCTAATACTTAGAGATTGGTGGTATAATCTTGAACGATCTGCGCCAGTGTGTAGATATAGTTCCAATACTAAGAAAACTTCGAGTAGTTAGGGATATACACTACCTGAAAAATACAAGGAGAACTTCGACGATTCGAGCGAAGGCCCTTCGTCAGCTAGGAGGTTAGTTGTGGTTGTTTCTCTACAGAGTTGTTGAAAGGTCTTATTTTGCAAGTCAAGTCAATCACAAGTCATTTGGTCTGAATCCAAGTCAAGTCACAAGTCATTTGGTCTGAGACCACGATCAAGTCACAAGTCATTTGGTCTGAGTCCTAGTCAAGTCACAAATCATTTGCCTGAGACCAAGTCAATCATTTGGTCTGAGACCAAGTCAAATCATTTGGTCTGAGTCCTAGTCAAGTCACAAGTCATTTGGTCTAAGTCAAAGTCAAATCATTTGGTCTGAGTCCTAGTCAAGTCACAAATCATTTGGTCTGAGACAAAGTCAAATCACAAGTCATTTGGTCTGAGTCTAAGTCAACTAGTCACAAGTCATTTGGTCTGAGTCCTAGTCAAGTCACAAGTCATTTGGTCTGAGACCAAGTCAAATCACAAGTCATTTGGTCTGAGTCCTAGTCAAGTCACAAGTCATTTGGTCTGAGACCAAGTCAAATCACAAGTCATTTGGTCTGAGTCTAAGTCAAGTCACAAGTCATTTGGTCTGAGTCCTAGTCAAGTCACAAGTCATTTGGTCTGAGACCAAGTCAAATCACAAGTCATTTGGTCTGAGTCCTAGTCAAGTCACAAGTCATTTGGTCTGAGACCAAGTAAAATCACAAGTCATTTGGTCTGAGACCTAGTCAAGTCACAAGTCATTTGGTCTGAGACCTAGTCAAATCACAAGTCATTTGGTCTGAGACCAAGACAAAACACAAGTCATTTGGTCTGAGTCCTAGTCAAGTCACAAGTCATTTGGTCTGAGACCAAGTCAAATCACAAGTCATTTGGTCTGAGTCTAAGTCAAGTCACAAGTCATTTGGTCTGAGTCCTAGTCAAGTCACAAGTCATTTGGTCTGAGTCTAAGTCAAGTCACAAGTCATTTGGTCTGAGTCCTAGTCAAGTCACAAGTCATTTGGTCTGAGACCAAGTCAAATCACAAGTCATTTGGTCTGAGGCCAAGTCAAATCACAAGTCATTTGGTCTGAGTCCTAGTCAAGTCACAACTCGTTTGGTCTGAGTCCTAGTCAAGTCACAAGTTATTTGGTCTGAGTCCAAGACAAGTCACAAGTCGTTCTGCACAGTTGTTTTTACCATGTTCATGAACTGCGAAGTCACCCACGACAATTATATATTAAGATTCTATACATTACAAGCTCACAGATCTGCCAATTGGCCTGCACTATACTGAGTCACGCACAGTACACATCGACGAGTGAATTTCCAGTTGCAAGTTGTAATTTCACTGGATATTTACCAATGCACGTTTCATTTACGTTGATAACCACTCATTTCTTGGGAGTCCAAGTCAAATCACAAGTCATTTTGTTCGAGTTAAACTCACAAGTCATAAGAATTGCGAGTCAAGTCCGACTCGAGTCCAATTCACGCGTTTCGAGGCGACCGACAACTCTGGTTCTCTATTGAAGTGTGCTTGGAAGGCTTTTCTGGATAATCCGGTTTTCCTCCCTCAACAAAATCTAGCCTTTCCCCACCGAAATCCTTCCACCTTAGTTCCAGGATCAGACATGTGTTGTATATATGGTGGCAGCGCCCTAGTAAGCCTTCGACATGTACACATATCATTTTTGATTTGCGTTCCTTGTAATTCAGCTTTTTGCTGCAAGAAAAAATGACTAACACGCCACCTTTCCTTATTCGAGGTTTTTGAGTGAAGGTCTTAAAATACTTGGGAAAAACTCTGTTGAATTTCTTATACGCTTACCTGAATGCGCTAGGAAAACAAACCAATTATATCGGGAGAGATGTACGGAAATTGAAGTACCGAAGCATGGTATGTAAACAGACTTTATGTAAATTGTGAATAAGGTATCTCTAACCTATAGAAGAAATTTTCTTGAAGGAACGTCCGAGAATTCGATGATATGTTGTTGAGGATGTGACTAGAAGATTTGGCCGACCATCTGAACACCAGGTCCGAATAGTGCGTCCTTTTGAATTCAATTCATTGAATTATTAATTAGCTCATGAGCTAATTTTGAAGCCGGAATATTTGTACTGAAAAGAGATGTTTTAGATCTGTCTAATCATAGAAATCAAATCGTTAGGTATTTAAATCAGTTTCATTATTATACAAATAGCTTTTCCTATTTGAATCGAAATGCATTAAACACTTGAGGCTGTTTGATTGGTGTTGCCTCGTTAAAATTATTCACTTAGTGACCAAACAGAGTGACCAATTTTCTTATAGACAGCAGGTGTTCTATCCGCATGAGAACCCCATTCTTCTAAAGGCTATCAAAGTTCTTGTGATCACAGTAGGAATTTTGCATGGGTAAATTCCAAGTTTTGGAGGATTTGTAAGAAATGTTTGAGGGAACGAACTCGGTGTTATTGCAATGAGTCAGTTCCCTATTCCTTATACAAATCCTTCAAAACTTAGAATTTACCCATGCAAAATTCCTACTGTGATCACAGAAACTTTGATAGTGTAAATGAACCTTTAAGAATGTTTTTGACTTGACCATCTCATGGAAAGTAATGAAGTTTAATACTAAGCGTACAGTGGGACAAAAATGTGAAGTTTGCAATTACACCATTTATTTCTCCTAAAAGCACTCGAACTGATGCTGCATATTATTTTGCTAATCAGTTTAAATTTATAACCTAGGGGCCTAAAACAAAAGCCATATGGTAGTAGGCTCCTAGCCCATTTCTTGTAAATAGTTTATTTCTTTAATGTGCAATATCAATATCTTGGGCGAAAAACCCCCCCCAAAAAAACCCCACTAAATCCATATTATATCCATACTATTTCGATACTATATCCATACAATGGAAATATACAATTATTATGGATAATCAAAATCCATTCTACTTCCAACAAAGGTCCATACAATTTCCATTCTATGACCTTCTATGGATTTTCAAAATTTTTTCCAGTGGTAATAACAACGAATTATTCTATTGATAACCATCTAGTGGTCATTATGGCGAGTGCATAAAAAAACGTTCATTTCTAAAAAAAATGTGTGGCAAAGAGAAGAATGCATTTTTTACAAAACATTTTTCAATAGCCCCGGCGGGGAGTCTCAGAACTCAGGAAATGCCATTTAAGAGCGTGCATATTTCAACCCCCTTAGAGCTCAATTTTCAGAGATCATACGATCGATCCTATATGCTTTGGCGAAACCGTTTCATTACTAGCAGTGCGCTTCAGAAAAGCACTCACCCCCCTGAAAATATTCAAAATGGTGAACGTTCAGGGTGGTGAATGCCTCTTGCAAGCGCACCAGCTAGGAACATGGCGACAGCATTTTGATGACGAGTCATTGCAAATCATGGCGTGGCTGTAGTTATGCTTTTTGGCTGAGTCGACCTTCTGTAAGCTCTCTATTCTGTGCCCATGGCGTGAATGACTATTCAAGAAACTTGACAGGCGACTATCTGGCGCTAGCGACACTAAAGTGGCTTCTTAGCATTCTATTCATTTTCCGCATTCGATTAACTCTATTCAATTTGCTCATCAAAGAGTTTTAGCTTGTGACGTCGGGCTGGCAAGTGGCAACCGTCATCGCGCATATATCCCTTTTGCCAACCTTGAGGAAATAATATACAATGGTAAAATGCCAGCCAACTCTTTTATCAACTCTCATCGACTTTGAACTTGTTCAAATTATTTGATAAAAGTTTTCGCGTGCACACGTGGTTATATCCAGTCAACTCTCATGCAATTCTTGTAGTCTCAAAATTCATCTCTTCCGCTAAATTTTCGATGCACACAAATAATTAGCTGTGTAAAAATGTGGAACATAGCTATTGAGTTCTCAATTTCTTTCTGAATACGTTTTGCATTACATAACTCCGAAGGCTTGCGCTATCCAGTGTACACTATTTAGATCAGTGACCTATTTGCGTTATAATAACACGAACCTGCGGGTTAGAATTCGACAACTGGACTCTGTAGTTCAGTTTGTTAGAGCGCTGCACCGGAATCGATTCCTACCTACCAGAGAGTCTATGGTTGTATTTTTCGCAACTGCTCCTAGTTAGGTCTACAAAAGCCCTTCGAACGTTAGTTCAATCAACAGTGGCGTAGCCAAGGGGTGGCGAGGGGGGGGGCGGTCGCCCCCCAATCGCAAAAAACCATTCTCTGAAAAAGGCTAAATCCGTAGAGAAATGGGGGGGGGGGGGATACACGTTACATCCTCGAAGCTGAAACTGATCAAGTACGTCTCGACTGAGGAAAACGACGATATACTGGAGGAACTTGATTTGTAAAATCTCGTTAAAGCAGTTGTAGATATGGTTCCAAGAAGAATAGATTTAGTTTAGATTTACATGTATGCATTATCATAGCATGAATATTCTTCTCAGACTTATTCTGTATCGTATATTTTGAGAATGCGGAAATGCTGTCTCATAGAACCTATAGAATGATTTAAATGCAACATTTCTGATCAAAATCACATTGGGATTTTCTTCCCCCAGCATCACACTGAGGTGAAATAAGGTGACGCTGACCGGCTCCTCCTGTTTTTCAAGGTGACTTTTCCAATTTATTTAATTACGAGTAGAAAATTAGAAATGTCTGGGAAAATTTATGTCTTCGATGTACTTTCTAATCTTCTAAATTCTGCAAGATTTCACCCCCAAAATGCTTGAAATCGCATTTCAGGGACTCTAGATTTCAAAAATTTCCAGGGGGTGCATGCCCCCGGAACCCCCTAGATGCTCTCGCGCCTTCGGCGTTCGCTTTGTCCCCCCCCCCAAAAAAAAAATGAAGGTCTGGCTACGCCACTGTCAATCAAGTAAGACACCTAGAATAGAGACTTCCGAGTATAGCATTCTGATGGTTGTCAGTGGACAGTGTGCGTGATAGGGAAGGCACTCATTCAATTTTTTGTATAGCTTTCTCGATATATAAACAATCTTAACCGAGTTTCAAATTAATCAAATATTTCATTCACGAGTCCAGAATCTCAATGAGGATCTCATGCAGTCATATAGCGAAAACGGTATCAACATGTCGTTTGTCTTTATCGTTGTTTGTTTCAACTGTTGTCGCCTGTTAATTTGTTTATCTGTTTATTGTTATGTCTAATGTCTGTCACGCCTCTGCTGTCACGCTATAGTGTAAGTTATGTTATGCACTATATGTATGTTGTGGAACCCCGTTATTGGAGATTTTTCTGTGTGTGGTCATTCCAGCCATAGTGTGTAATTTATAGTTAGTTTATACATATCTTTAATAATGGCAAACTTGTAAAATAAAATAGAATAATCCTAATAGTTAGTGAATGTTTCTTTCACCTCCGCGAGGGCTTTGATTTGTGCAATAGCCAATAAGCATGCACGCAGTTGTCTGATTATAATTTTGCTTCATTCATATATGAGAAGAGTAGTGCTTCCAAACACCAAACGTATGTTTTTTTCTGTGTTGGTGTAATTTACTCAGGTGAATATGATGCTTGTGATGTTACTCTGAGTGTATATCCACACCGGGCAAGCTTTAAAAATATGCCTGACCACGGTGGGAATAAAAAATCATCATATTCACCTGAGTACATTACACCAACACAGAAAAAATTCGATGATTACTAGATTACATTGATATCGAAGGAACTAGATTCTGTTCCGAAATATCACATACTCGAACCGACCTGACCGCGTAGCTCAGTTGGCAGAGCATTGGGCTAGTATTCCAAAGGTCGTAGGTTTGATTCCCACCGCGGTCAGGCATATTTTTCAAGCTTGCCCGGTGTGGATATACACTCAGAGTAACATCACAAACACCAAACGTATATATGTTTCCTGGTACTTTGATTTCTTCCTGTGGTAATGCTAGATTACTAAGGCCGGGATGGCCGTTCTGGCATTTTAGGAAGACCACTTTAGAATTGATCTATCCGGTATAAATAGTTTAGTTTAAGGTTCCTCCTGCATGTAGTATAACCGATAATTGATGATCCTTACTGGAACTCTAAGGTGAACTGTTTGGAACGGATAGAGTTTCCAGAATGAAGAAATTTTACTTATATGTATGGGGAGGTCGTTACTGGACCTTTCAATTAGGAAGAACAGTTTAGAAGTGACAGAGCTATCCACTGTCAATAAAGTAATTTAGTTTTTAATTTTTATTAACCATATTCAATGCTGTGGAATTAGGACGTATATAGTTCTCAAATTAGCAACAATGCACTCGAAATAGTCTACAAGCCAATATTTAGGATATCCGACATCTCTTTATATCAGTGACGCAACATGGGAAAATTTTGAATTTAATACCGTTATCTAATCGCCTTCCTGGTTTCTTCCTGGATTTGTAATGATTTATGTTTCGCAATCGCAATACACTGCATTGTTTCCTAAATTAATTAAATTAAGACCATTTAGACTGGATATCCGTTTCAGGCTGTTCTCACTAGAGAGCCACTAAGTATCCTATGGAGGTCCACTGAGGATCCTATAATTCACTAAGGATCCTATAGAGGTCCACTGAGGATCCTATAGAGGTCCACTGAGGATCCTATAGAAGTCCACTAAGGATCCTTATAGAGCCATAAAGGTCCACTAAGTGTCATAAACCATTGTTCCAGTTTCATTGAAGGAAGAAACATAAACTAATCTAACTTTATTTATTCTGAATTGCTCTACCCATTTCAAACTGTTCTCCCTATAGGTCCAGTGATACCACAGGAGAAAAACATATAAAGTTTATTACTAGCTTTCAGTACCGATTTTAAACTATCCTTCTTAGAGGTTCAGTAACGGTCATCCAGTATTGATGTAGTTTACAACATGCAGGAGGAAACCTAAACTAACTTTATTTATACTAGACAGCTCTATATCAGTTCGAAACTCTTCTTTCTAGAGGTCCAGTAAGGGTGGTCTTTTATTGATCCAGTATTACTACAGGAGGAAACCTAAACTAAACTGACTTTATTTATACAGCTGATAGCTCTCATATCAGTTCTAAGCTATTCTCCCTAGTGGTCCAGTGAAGGTGATCCCTTATTGATCCAGTGTACAGGAGGAAATCTAAACTAAACTAACTTTATTATACCGGATAGCTCTATATCAGGTCCAAACTGTTTATCTTCATTCTTCAAGGTTCAATAACGACCGTGGCATGGCTTTCTAGAGCTTTTTACAGTAGGAAACCGAAGTATCCGGAGAAGACCTGTAGTGTTTCAGTGTTTGTTGGAGCGAAACTTAAAGCACTCTTCTTGCATGCGACTGAGGCAAACTACTCTAGAATCAAAGGAATCGCCAGGAACGGAACCTCAGTCGCAAAGACAAACGACACACGCCACCAACATCTCATCTTACAAACAATTAAACTGTAAACAAGAACATAAAATTGTTGATTGACAACTCTGAATAGTATATAGCCGATTAATGTGGAATATGCGAGAATATGCTAGGCTAACGGCTATAAAATATATCATATCAAATTTTTTTTATATATATATATATATATATATATATATATATATATATATATATATATATATATATATATATATATATATATATATATATATATATTCAATATTGAATTTGTGCGTAGTGGACTAGAGTGCTCAACACCAATAAATCAGTAGAGCAAATAAAAAGACATAAACAACAAATTTCAATCATAAAATTTTATTTCAGCGATGAAATAAAATTTTAAGATTGAAATTTGTTGTTTATGTTTTTTATATATATATATATATATATATATATATATATATATATATATATATATATATATATATATATATATATATATATATATATATATATATATAAGGTAGTCAGCTAGAAGTTTTGTTTTTTCAATCTTGCAAAAATAAATTATCCAACATTTCAAAATTATCCAATTTTTCATCTTACATGAATATTGCTTTCTATACTGTCTGCTTCAAAAATACCGGTACGATGTTATCTTGTTTGAATAGAGGCCCTGCAATTTGAAACGGCTGTACCCTCAATTCTCCATAGAGGCCTTTCAATCGCTTCGTTTGTTTTGCATAAACTGGTAATTGTATTATATAGGTGTTAAAAATGACCTAATTTTGGTGCCTCTGTGTACTTTAGAAACTTTTTAAAGTACAAAACATGTACACAAGATTTTCACTGAGCATTTAACAGTTCGTCGCCTTTGTCAAAACATTGCGTGAGATTACGTTTCCTCCGATTGTGAGGGATCTATTAAGCGGTGTTTTTAAATGCAGGAATCAGAAATTTTTTCTGCCAATCCCTGGATCAAATATTACAAGTACATTTCCTACGGCTCTCGTGGCAGTTGTTGGAAAAGACCAGAAATGTTTAACAAAAATTACGGTAAATGTCAGAACTAACTAATATTTATCAATAATATTAAGTGTTATTTGTTATGACAGGTTTTTAGTGTTAGAATATGCTCTATAGTTTGTTTAAGACCTGTTATTATTGATATTAACTTGTTTTTGAGGCCCGTTTTCTTATGGGGGTTTTAAGACACGTATTATAATTTGGGAAGCCCCAAGTCCTTATGGCGTACAGTGTTAAAACTTCATTTTTTATATATAGCAAATTTTATCGGTGTTACTACAAATATTGTAGATTTAATGATCATGTACAATTAAGAGGGCATTGGGAACAGCTGGAAAATGCACCGTAATTATACTTCAGTACTTTGAATTAAATTTATATCTGGAAGTATATACCCCCTGTGGAGATAGGGGAATATATAGCTTATATTCAAGAGCTTGTATGTCACTATATGGGAGGTTTCGTTTGTATATAGACTGTATATATAGGGCAAGCAGATCAATATATTTCGACTTTGGTATGTGATTTTCCCCCCTGAGATTCTACACTTTTGTAAATGTGTCAAACATACTGGTGTCTTCATTCTTCTGACAAGTGTCGCCAGACAAGCAGAACATTCTATTTGGCTGGAAATATACAACCCGAGACCTTTGCATTTCTAAAACGATGCTCTGCCGTCTGAACTACAAGACCAAGTTGGAAACGATGTTCCTTTTCTTGTGATGTTGATGACATTTCGGATTTTTTTCCTCCGATGTCCGACGCTATATAGCTATCACTTCTCTTATACATTTTCTTTGTGAGAAGAGCGCCTCCCTACCAACACCACCCCATGTTTTTTCCGTCACTATATACACACAGTAATATAACAGTGGACCTATCATGTAGCTGTCTTGAATATTCAAAAATATTTGAAGCTGGAAGGAGGGAATTTTCAGTCGATTGAGATAAGATAATGTGAACACAGCTATAATTTTTACAGCTGGAAACCGGTACCCAGCCTTGAAAACGAAAAGAAAGGTAATATATGTTTTCCAAGACATATTACCTTATATTTATTATTGCAAAGTTTGCTATATGCATGAAGTCAAATATAAAGCTCTCTAATAGCCCCACCCTCAATCTTCGGACAATCGTGCTCAACTGATCGGAGGTGACGGGCAGCGCGCTCGGCATGTATTCTGCCCGGTGTTAAACACCGAGTCAAGGGGGCTGGCGCGGTGTAAATATTTCTTACAAATTCTTCAAAACGTAGAATTTATCTGTATGTAAAATTCCTACTGTGATCACAGAAACTTTGATAGTGGCTTTAATAAGGGGGGATTTCTCAAAGGAGTGTCGATGTCTATATCATATATTTCGCGCACAATAGGGTTATAGGGATTACGCTTGTGTTTGAGGCCAAGATCAAGGAGAAATATATTCTTGCGCAAAGCATGACAGCTTGCAAAAATGAAAAAGTGGTCTATATACTCTGAATCGCAACGTCAGAGTTGGATCGCAAGCTTGCACAACGCTTGATTTCAAAGTTATTTGACGGCTGATTATGACACCCCGAGGTCACGTCTCCTGAAGACGCAATACGTAGTCTCGAACGTCAAGTTTGATCATTTTACTTGACCAAAGCAAAATCTCGTCCTTCCGTATCCGCAAGATTGGCGTCTTACTTATGGGCTGAGAGATTACGTCACACTTTTAAACGGCGAGGGCTGGTCCCCAAGAGACTTCAGGGTGTCATATAGTGTCAAATATACTCAGTGCTTTCAAGCATACATACATCAGAAATATGTATAGAGCATCGCAAATGTACGGTTATGGTTGGTGGACAGTAAATCCTTCAATGTACTATAGAAATTATGGTAACTATATCATTATTATATAATCTACATTACAAGACGATCATCTATATATATATATATATTTGCAGGGTATAAAGTTTAATTAAGTACTTTTACTCAGACTGATGGCGGGTTGTCTTTATTTCAAATCGTATTAGGCATTCAAGTTTTGCTGAAATATATATATCACTGATATAGTGTTCCAAATTAAAGTAGTTTATAACTGTATACTGTTATTAGGCTAATGAGCCATTTCACACTTGCTGTGCTGGGCGGGCTGTCTTTCAAACTTATACTAAGCCGATTTGCTCACAATATAAAATGAGTTGTCTATACAATTATGATAAATCTTTATATTTATCACCATCAGTATGGAGAACGCTAGTTTATAACATATTAGCATAGAATTTTAGGCGGGCTATTTTTTCATTCGACTCGGTTATATGGCGCATTAAACTTTTCTTCCTTAATATATTTGCATCATGCCGATTAAGTAATTTTGCTGACATAGACTGCAGGCTGTGGGGCGTTTATCTTTCCATAAAATCTTACTGCCTATTTACGTAAGTTTTACTTAAGTCACAAAGTGGGGTAATTTTTAAAGTTATCCATGCACCCATATTGAACTAACTTTTAATATGTTGAAATCAGTTTCTCAAAAAACATTTCGTGACTTTTTGAGTTGTGTCATCTTCAATTGCGCTCCCAAGTTTTGACAGATTAATATAATTAGATTCTTTTCACAGTTACTTTGAACAGAAAAGTATTTGTAAAAGCTTTTAGCGGTTATTTATTGACACAAAATTGCCTGGTATCCCTTTAAATCGTGTATAATCATGCCCCAAATGTGGCAAAACTGTATCAGTGATATGCCCAAGGACAAGCTAAGGAAGGAACAGTGACTTATTGAGAAGCTTCGTCGTTTTGAGGCCGTTCATCGAAGTGTCTCTAATCTTTTTCAAGCTGACGAGTGAACATTCGCAGGTTTTTTTGCTGGCCACAATCTATTCAGCGCGCGCGGCGGCATAAGTTCAAAAGATTTTTTTGCGCGTCAGTCGGCCCGAACAATATTGGTTGAAAATTGTTTTCATTTGATGTCGTTTTCGCTCATTCTTGCCCGTTTCTCAAATTCCGAATACGATTTTACAAATGTTTGAAAATGCTTGGCTCGGCACTAAATCACCTCAGTCGCGGTAATTGTTGAAGAAAAGGGTGGGTCGGAAATATATTGGCATAGTTCCATGATGGGGCTTTTTCTAGATGGCGCCAGTTCGAGTGAATTGTTTGTGAGTTAAAAATATGTTCTATTTTTTTTCGGTTTGTTACAGAATTTTGAGTGTGTAGCGTCGTTTTTCGTACTGTGAGGCAAGAGGAAGGTGTTTTCTCTCTCTCTATATTAACCTATATTTTTTTCATGAATGAGGGCACGTTATGGGGAAACTTGCGTGCAGCTTATTCAAACTTGATCTTCCTTCCTTAACCTCATGCAAGACCTATTTTCTATTGTTTTCTTTCCCTTTTTTTGTTCTAAATTACCTGTATTCCAACGCCGCTAACGGAACCGAACAGATTGCAAAGGCCAAAATTGGAACTTTACCCTTAATTTACTGCATGAATAGCGTCACGATGTCATTCATTTGCATGTCTCTGATTCACACACATTCACCAGAGAAAATTGCCACCTAAATCGTCTTCATTTTGTATTTGTTCCCTCTTTATTAACTCTAATTCATTTCAATGTTAGACCAAGCGTTTGAAAAAGAGTTCTATATGTAATAGTGCCTCCATGCATATATGGAACTCTTTTATAAGAGAAAGCAAAATGCTATCAAGTTTTGAAAGGAAAATCGCTACCTATCGCTTTTAAAACATGTCATTTCTCTAAATAATATATCAACATAGAATTTTATATTTGCATGCTAATTCCTTATTATTCTTTAAACTTGTAATTAATCGTTATTTTTTTACACGCCTATTGGGGAAACCAACATTAGCTAACAATGTTAGCGTGGTTAAATACAGTACGTGTATCATCTTCATATAGAAAAGGTTTCAAAACCACCTTTCATTTTAGTCTTAACGGTATTAAAGTAAGAAAAAGGAAACAGTCAAGTTAGTGTCATGTTCAGATATAAGTCATACACCTTTCTAGAAATAAGAAACATTTCAACTTATATGGTGTTGTTGGCGGTATATTAATGATGAACGTTTTTGCCTTTTGTGTCTGTGATGGGACTCTGTTCCAACTATCTAGTACGAATAAAATCAGTTTAGTTTTTTCATAGTGCTCTATTTAGAAACTTTATTTCAATAAATCCGTTGTAGAAAAAGATTAACAATGCGTCAGCTTAAATCTCGGATGTTCCTAACTGTCTGATAAATTTTTAACAATATATAATATTCTGAAATGGTAGCAATATTAATAGATATGAAAGATGGAATAATTAGTTCAATATCTCAGTCCCGTGATGATGAATTTGCACTTTCATCTGTCAAAACATTGCCTCAAATGGGATGTTCCAACCAAGCTGACGAATCACGCAGTTCATTTCTATCATGCGCGGTTAAGGCCCTATAAACTGCGTCATCGAAATTAAATCTTTTCCCGAAACATTGTCACTGTACCTCGCGGCGCCTCACAAAAAGATCTAAATACAATTATACGTGACGAACATTAAACATCAAACTATATACCATGGTATACTGTTCAAAGATTGGTATATTATACGGGTAAAAAGACTGTAATTGATGGCATTTTGAAAAAGAAATCAATATTATTACATTTTCGCAACCCAAGTGACGTGCTGCCTCAAGGAATGAATATACAGTTTTAAAAAGTTGGAAATAAAAGCAACTCATGGGTATGTCTTATAAATCAGTATGTTTTGGTTTACGAAAAGTTGGAGGGAGTTTGATACCATAAAGATAGCATCACTTGCTGCAATTTTTGCCAAACTTTTTGCTGCAATTTTAGGTGCGATTTCCTTCTTCTGATGGATGTGAACGAGTGGATGAGTTAGGAATGTTTAGATGAGAGTATACATATACTCAGAGTATTCATAAATGATCCACTCGTTTATATCCATCAGACGAAGAAAATCGCAGCAAAAATTGAAAGTGTAAACGAGCCCCGAAGAGTTTGTCACTATCGCCTAAAGGCTGATTTCCACTGTTGCGTTTTTCGTACGCACCTACACGCACGTAAAACTTGGAATCCTTCTATTTTTTAAATATTTTACAAATAAGTTAACAAATGCATACTAAAACTTGCGGAACACTAAATTCTGTTGCTTTATTTATTTGGTTATTTCATAAGTAACATTTAAACGGGATTTAAAGTTTTACGTGCGTATACACACGTATGAAAAATGCAACGGTGGAAATCAGCCTTAACTGTCTCCTAAAAGCCTGATGACAAAACTGCATTTTATAAATCATATGTGAATACGTTCCATAGAAACCGTTGCCTTTATATATGCACTAAAAATATTGAATACCTGTTTGATAGATTGTATATACAAAAAAATGCATTGAATATATAGTTAAACAGTTCCCGAATTTAAGACATTATTTATGGAGTACGCCAGGGTTCTACTTTTGGACCATTCCATTTTTTCCCTACTTATACACATTAGTGATTTTTAGGATGATCAAAAGTAGTATTGATAAAACCAAATCGAGTTTAGCTGACTCTTATTGATTATAACTGATCATCAGTTCGAAATATGGAGTATCTCACGGTTATACTTTTGGACCTTTTCATTTTTATATATTTCTAATTATTTTAACATTTTAATGTACATCAGTGATGCAAATGAATATTCAGTCATTATAATTTAGCTACCCTAGTTTGCATGATCATTTTGAACTGAATTTGTATGGAGTACCTCAGGGCTCTACTTTTGGACGTTCCTATTTTTCGTCTCTATATACTTTATATTTTTACAACTTTCCAATGCAAATGATAGAGATTTGTCTTTATGATATTGACAATTACTTCAGACGGCGGATAGAGAACTAGGAAAATGAATACAAAAAAATTTCCCATTGTTTATAGTTACTTTTCAGTATCATAGATGTGATTTATATAAAAACGATTTAACTAAACAAAGGGTGGGAAAATCCGACTGTGTTTGCATGAGTAAATCCATTGGGAAAACGTATATATATATAGGTTTCATTTTGAGGAAAAATTTGCTCACTTTTTTTAAAACATTCATATGCAGTTTCAGGGCAGCTTGGGTTGGTTTCATACCTTAATCATAACTATAAAAGGGTTCGTATATAATAAACCTTTTTTCGATATAATATTCTTTATTTGAATGTTTGCATTTCGATTACAATATATATGTAATTATATGTAACCACTTCTTCAGTACTGGAATAGGATTTCCTTTGTTAATATATAATTCTATTTATAAGGCCGAAACTTTGTATGCGCAAAAATTATGAATTCATTTTTAGGCACAATCCAAGGTCAAAGCTTGTGTAAAAACGCTTTTCAATCCTAAATTCAAAAAAGTTGTAGCCTACTTTTGAGCTAGGTTGAGATTGTTATACCTGATTGTATATACTGCTTCAGATTGAAATTAATATTTTGTAATTTTTGAGGGCATTGACACTGTAAAGTGCACAAGCCGGAAATGGCTGCCTTGCTATAATAAAAAAATACATTGCGCAATTTTCCTAGACGCAGTGTTTAAGAGTTTGACGGCGACCTTAATTGAACAGGTTTTCACAGCAGTATGCAAGCAAATGTTTTGTAACGGTTTCAGGAACATTCGAAAAAGATGTTTGCCATATAGAAAGTTTTTTTTAGATAGAAATGTTCTCGAGTGAATGCGTCCAAATCGCATTATTTGAAGCAGAACATTCTGCCTGTATGCTCTTGCAATTGGGCGCTGACGCTCACTTGGACGAGCGTCAAGCTAGCCTGATTTAGAAGGTCGCAGGTTCTTAACCCAGCCACGGCAGGCGGAATTTTCTTACACAGTTTGGACGCATTCACTCGAGACGAGAACATCTCTTCCCATCATTTACCGAGTGAACAATATCACAACATTACACAACGTTTTTTGTATATATTGCGCCATTACGCAATTTTTTGCCAATGCGTATTCAGAGACTAGGGGAGCCACTTAAAAATTGGTTTGCAAGGCTGCAACGTCTTGCAAACGTTTAGGGGCATTGTAATTTGAAGTACAGTATATGTTTATGCAGTTTTTATAAGAAGAAAACCTGCCTTTCAAAAATTATTTTGTATATACTGCATTTATTACGCAATGTTCCTGCGCATCTGTAAAGCTGAGGGCCGCCTACAAGTATCCACCAAAGTTCCGGCATTCATCATAATCACAAATTAAACAAATCCGGTCAAACTGGCTTCTTTTCCGTCAGCATATGTATTGTTCTGTGACTGGGCGTATAATATTTAGTGCCTAGCCTTATACCTTTCGACGTGTTCAGTTTCGAGGCATGTGAGACCTGCATACGAACTCGCGCGGACAGCAGACCGTATTTGTAGTACAGAAAAATTTCGTTGGACGTTTTTGGAGTAGCTTCAAAGATGATGTTATACTGTAGGTACATGATTTTTTTAACTGTGTGTTCTCTTTTTCAATTTGTTAAATTGCGGCATCCCGAAATTGCGGTAAATATCATTACCGGTGACTTTACATGGAAATATGAGGCATGGGCGTTTACGTAATTACTGTGACCAAGGCAGGTTTCACTAAGCACCATCGCAGGTAACAGATGGATGAGTAACCTGCACAGCTGCACTAGTTATCAGTGTGAGAAAATAACGCTTTTTTATTATGTGTTGCATTTGATGGATGGAAAATAAATGAAGAAATGTACTTCAAATTTTTCAAATTATTCCGGACCTATTCTAACACCGTAACACCTAGCCAAATTAGGCATAATGTCATGACAAGTCTGGGAAAATGAAGTCTACTTTTAAAGACAGCTAGTTATATAATATCCTAAAAACATTTATATTTTTGAAATCGTTATCCGCTTTTTCAGACGCAGCTGCCGTAAGGAACTTTGAGGAAAACTCTCGAAAACTGAAGATTAAAGTTGAACCCGACGCGAGTCAGTCATGCCACACTTTCACAGACGGTACAGCCGCAAAACCCTGGTCCCTTGACTCAGTCGCAACAACCAGTGCAACTCTCAGCAATCCTAGTTACAGCCGTGCAGTTGTACAAAACGACGAAACAAGCCGAGCGCCCAGCAGAGGCCAAAGCGAACCCACACCAGCACTTGTATCATCCGCAGTTCACAGAAGCCCCCCGATGCCACAACTTTACACCCAAAGCGTTATCACAGAAGCTTCGACCACTTCGCAAACCGCTACGGATCAATATCGACCTTTGGTATGTATAGTGAAATTCTCATTATAGGGGCTGGTTTTTCAAAGCTGGATTAACCCTAACCCCCGGTTAAAATTTAACCTGATTTTTTAAGCTGGTTTACACTATCAAAGTTTCTGTGATCACAGTAGGAATTTTGCATGGGTAAATTCTAAGTTTTGAAGGATTTGTGCGAAATCTTTGAGGGAACTGAGTCACTGTTAAACACTGAGACAGTCCCCTCAAACATTTCTTATAGATCCTTCAGTTCTAAAGAAATATTTCCAAATCTATAAACAAGCTGAATTACGAAGTGCGTAGTTCATCTGACCAAGTCGAAGGCCTCCTAATGATATCTTTGGCAGTCACCTTGTGACTAATATCTGATCGCGGACACAGCTATGATGGAAGGGTCTCCCAACCCATCCTGCCAACATTCCGTGTGGGAAGAAAACCCACGAATATCGGTAGAGCGTTGACGGACTCTCTTCTCGTAAGGTGTCACTCCGCAGTGAAAATCGAACCCACAATCTCAGAGGCGAAAGGTATTTGCTCTGACGAATGCTCGCGCCATCGAAGCCTCGCGTTTGAGCTGTTTCCGTTCACAATTCATCCCTCAGTTTTCATTAAGAATGATTTGCACTGGCAACCCTATCATTTACCTTTCCACGTGAAAGATGGGCATACCTGCGAGCAAATTATGCTAATTAACTATTTTCATGATCATTACAGGTTCGAGCACAAAGTAACCCGCCACGATACATGCACAATTCCCACAAACACAGCTGGACACAACGACAGAAAGAAGTGAAGAAAATCCTTAAACAACGAACCCAAGAATGGAAGGAGAAGCAGTCTCTGTATCAGTTGATGCGAAGTGCTGCCGTGTCGCAGAATTCCCTAATTGGCTATCGTAAGCGGGGAAAAGACCAGGTGTTGTATGCCCCAGGCCGGGGAAAACACCCTACCGGAACTGAGGTCATACCCCAAACCGCATTCAATTGGTACCCAGGTTTCGTGACCCCAACCGATCTGACACATATTCGCTCATATCCGGTTCCTGGTTATCCAATTATGCCTGAGTATGATCCGAAGTTTACCCCCAATCTTGGTCCGCGTCTGAAGCGTCGTTATAGCAACGAAGTGACTTCGTCAGGCGCAGGAAAATCGGGCAGTGCAGGTCAGACAGTGGGTGGTGGTCATGAACCGATTATCAAAGAAGTGGTTTCGCTTGCTGACACGACATCTCCCCACATTGATGAGGAAAGTTCCGTCGAACATCGAAGAAGTAAGCGAGTTAGGAAAAGTATAGGTATGTATAAAACATTAGAAATATCTGAAAATTTGGATGATTTTGTTTACCCGTAAAAACATACAACAATTTTAATTTTTTGCAAGTGTCATCACGCAAGAAATTGCTTCTTTGCAAAAATAGTTCTCAACCTTCAATTTGCACATCAGTTCCTTTTTGTTGCAATTAAGCAAGTGACTTAGTCTATAGATGTTTCTGAATCAACTTCTGTTCAGTATAAAAAAGGAATGGCTCTTACGACATCTAGGAATTATGATCCATATTTGACCATCAGCCTCCGGGGAGAACAGTTCAGAACTGATCGAGCTATCGTGTATAAATAAAGTTAGTTTAATTGAGGTTCTCTTCAGTAGTGACACTGTGCTTTGTGAGAACAGTTCAGAAATGATAGAGCTATCCAGCATGAATAAAGTTAGTTGATAGTTTAAGACCTTATCTTTATATTTTCAGATGAACCAGGTCACCCAGAACGCCGAGAATCGGTCGACAGTGCAAACAGCGAGACTGATGTCGACTCCTTAACCGCAGGAAAATATATCTCAGATTTTGCAGAAACATTTCAAAACACGCCCGAAGACCATCAAGTGGCACATATCAATGGCCTCCTGAGTCTGCCATCGAGCCGAGAGACACGGTATGGTATTACATATGGCGAACTGAAAAGGCGATGTGGCGCTCCAGAGTTTCTGACACGTGTTGACCTCGTGGCGTATGTGCGCCACTCCAAAAGCTCTGGACGTAGTCTCTTGGACAAGTACAAAATCGTGTCCGCAAACCGCGCGTCCCGTCCCACCATCATGTCCAAAATGTGCGAAAACGAGGCTCGCGTTTTAGGAGATGGGATCCTTCGGATGAATATGGATTACTTTCCCGACAAGATGTTGGCGGAAGTCGCTACTGAGAAGCTGAAAGAAGGTTTGGAAGATGGCGAAGAAGATGAAAAGAAGGAAGATAAAATGAAGGAGAAAGTGAGAGAAAAGATGAAGAATATTGAAACTACAAGGTACGGGATCCCTAATGTAAGATATATTGGTAACACAGCGGTTAGTCTTTCATCCTGGGGTTGGATTTCTCCAACATGTAGTTTTCTGTATCCACCTCAGACACATTTGAGAAGGATACTTTCATCTTTGCACAACCAAGAGTTTCTCCTACGGTAGCATTGGAACGATAAAAGATCTTAGTTTCCTCCTGTAGTAACACTGGATCAATAAGAGTTGTCTCTTACTGGTCTTCTAGGGAGAACAGCTTAGCACTGATAGAGCTATCCAGTATAAATAAAGTTAGTTTAGTTTAGGTTTCCTCCTGTAGTAACTCTGGATCAATAAGGAAGTGCTCTTACTGGATCTCTAGGGAGAACAGCTTAGCATTGATAGAGCTCTCCAGTATAAATAAAGGTAATTTAGCTCAGGTTTCTTCCTGCAGTAACACCGAATCAATAAAAGATTCTTAATGGACCTCTATGGAGAACAATTTAGAACTGATAGAGCTACCCAGTATAAATGAAGTTAGTTTAGTTCAGGGTTCCTCCTACTGTAACACTGGATCAATAAGAGATGGCCCTTACTGCACATCTAGGCAGGACAGATTAGAACCGATTTCCTCTATGGTTAGATTAAAGTTATATCTTCATCATTTTAAGGTCGATGCTGAAGGAAGTTTTCGATCTGCTTCAATCAGAAAAAGACCAAGACGAAATGCACAAGTTTGAGTTGGCATCGCACACGTTTGGAACTGTCAATCTTAAAAATCATCTTACCCTGTTTGATCGTTTTTTTCAACAGTACCAAACCAGTTTGATGGGCTCAGTTGAAGGCCCTGATTCTGAGGCATAATAGACGAACGAGTAATTGACAATTGAGGTGGGATTATATCTTCACTACTACAAGCGAAACCAATAAGAGGCTTTACATTTGAGTTAGTAAATTGCACGTTCTTTGACTTGATCAGAACTTTATCCAGTCCTAGGACTTGATGTAATATTTCAAATCCGACTATGAGAACTGGACTAGATTTCAAATCCGTGCAATTTGGATCAAAATGCGAGGACTTGAAATCTAGTCCAGTCCGAATTGGAGGATTTGAAATGACATCTCATACGAGTACATCTCTACTTAATGCGAGGTGAATTAATATTGATTCAGTCCAAGGACTAAAGGCTAATTTCCACTCAGGAAACTTATCCGTGGATTGGAATGGACAAGTAAATTTTTCTTTGTTTTGTGAGCTCTGGGTGGAACTAATGACTTTAACACAAAGAAAAATTTACTTGTCTGTTCCAATCCACGGATAATTTTGCTGAGTGGAAATTAGCCTTAAATTAATTTCGACTTTATCGCTCCTAGGACTTGATCAAAACTTTATCCAATCATTTCTTTATCAATTAAAAATTATCCAGTCTTTTTTTATTTGACTTAATCAAACTTTGTCCTGTCCAAGAACTTGATCAAAACTTAATCCAGTCCTTGGACCTGTTCAAGACTTTATTCAGTCTAAGACTGGATTTCATCACGTGACCGAAATGGAGGAAGATAATTGGCTTATTCGGTAGTAGGCTATTCAACGAATATGTAAAAATTGTAAATTGGTATAGGAATCCACACTTGCCAGTAGAATAAGGAAAAAAGTTGAATTTGGGTTAAAAAATATTTTTACTTGATCAGTTATAACTGTTCTACACACATACATACAGACATTACGGTAATGGATTATATTCAAGTTTTCATGAAATGAACATTTGTACATTATATGGGATCTTATTTTTTATAAATAATTTGCTACTTGGATATTTAAGCCATAGGCATATATTTATGGAGGCTACGTGTAGAGTTTGTTCGTTTAAACTATTTGAGCTGTAATAAGATTCGTTGTGATCTCATAACATTGAAATTGTAAAATTTTTGAACTGTAATAAAATTTGTTTTGATGTCATAACATTGAAAATGTTGGGGAAAAAATCGTGCTTTTTGTTAACGCCCCTTCTTGTTGCAAACCCAGGGAAAATATTGGATAGTAATATTGTACTAAACTCGGAAGCACTCGTGCTTAGGTACATAATATAAAGTAATACAATACAACATACTTACTTCAACTGCTTAGTACCGGTAATTGTACACCGCAGAACCAATAAGAACACGGAACAGATTGAGACAAATTCTTAACTGTGTAATTGTCATCGTAGAACAAGGTGTCTTGATGGACAAATTATAAGTGTGTCTTAATTAAGTTTTTTTAGCTATTTTTATTCCATTCAATTGCTTTGTATTGGCTTCAGGGTAAAGTCTATGTTACACAAGGTAGCTCAGACACAAACCACGGAAGCTTTAATATTAGCTGTCGTGGTTTGTGTATGCCCGCACTGTCTATGCACCATCTTGAAGATATTAAAAACACGTAAAATTTGTCGAGTTACAGCAAGACAAATGGTGATTGAAATGGGTTGCAAAATCTTGTCAATTATACATTCAAAAGCTTTTAACAGACTGAAAACAAGCAATACAAACCAAATCTATTGTTGGAAAAAATCACACCTCACTGCACACCTCGGCCACAGCCTCGGCTGTCTCACCCTAAAAATATAAGGCGCCCCAAGAATTGGGCAAATTCAGGTCTTTACTTATGAAAATGGCCGCGGGAAGTTTAAAGCGCCGAGATAATTTGAAACTTTTCAAGATTTTTTGCTACTTTTTGGACCCAAAAGGTTCCCCAAAGGTAAGAAAGTTTAAGGATAAAGTACATGTTATTGTTTATGCATGTTTTAGAGACAAACTTGTGTATGAAAAGCGAACAAACAAGGCAAAAGTTAGGTGTGTTTTGTCAGCTTTTTAAATTGCACGTGGGTTAGTTTTAAAGGTCAAATAACGTTTTATTTGCAACGCTTTATTCGCAACTTTAGGCCACATAAAATAAATTCCTTGATTCTCATCACCGCCCGACTGTATTTTAAGAGCCGCGTGAAATTTTTTTATATTTTGTTAGACAATATAAATGTACCGCCCGACAAAATATTTCAAGACAGTTAAGTTTTTTACATTTTATATTGGGTTTTTAGTACCATTTTAAGTTAAACTGCCAATTTCAAACAAATAGAACCTTGAAAGAAATTTCATTGCATTTTAACGGAACTTCGCATTCAGTTCAAGGGCCAGTCATTGTTCGTGGAGAAATATGTTTATTTCAGTTTGTGACACTTTTATTTATTGATATATATTAAATTATATAAATATAAAATATAAACCTCCCGCCTCTTCGACATTTTCAAAGTGTAGTGATGAGAATCAAGGAATTTATTTTATGTGGCCTTAATAATGCGAAACTAGAACTGCTAGAACTGTACTATTATTGTGAAATTTAGGTTTGAATGTACAATTTTTTAGCCAAAAATATATACTTTTATGAATCATAATTTAAGTATATCCTTTTGGCTAAAAAATTGTACTTTCAAACCCAACAGTTTTACATATATATTAAATTCAAAGCGTTAGGACATCCTCACCATGCTTACGAGTTATATATTTAAGCATACTCATGAGTATGCAGGATATGCTACCTGAATGTCTACACATGGTGAAATTGTTCGTATCAATTCAATTCTGAGATCCATTTTTGGCAAAGATCTGATGACGTCAACTTGGATCAGAGAATATATTTCAGATGTTTTGGTTGCTTCCAAGTTTCCTATTTGGTGTGATTTTCTTCGGATGGACGTGAACAAGTAGATGAGTTACGAATGCTCAGATGAGAGTACATATTCTCAGCTTTGGTGCAGCTTCGAGCTCGCTCACTTGTGAGCTACAAGCCTAGTGAAGTCATTTGTGTGTTCCCTAATTACATGCCATCCTATGTCTAAAGTATACTAGCTGTCATTGGTTATGTTTCACATTTTTATTTACAAAAGTTTTGTATTCAATATTTACCATATAAAACAGCTTTGCCAGCGATTAACATGTAGCAGCTATAAAAGTGTTTTCAATACTATAGTAGCTAAATTATTTAACATGATTTCATTTCATTTTTAATTATCCCTAATTGCAGTCTTTATAAATACTGCCATCCGCCAACATGTGTATTTATATTTATATGATTACATTTCACATCAGTCAAAAATATTGTGTATAATGTTAGTTTGAATATCAAACCTCAATACTTATGGGTGTGGACAGTTATAATTTTTATGAAAACCAAATTACTGGTAACACTAAGCTGGTGATTGGACTGTTTTTCCTTTAGAACTGTTTTTCAGTGTTCTGTACTAAAGTGTACATCAGGTTATTTCCATGGGATCTTGGTTTGACTTTCAATAAATCTTCTGGTTGTACTTTACCATCTCGGAATGTTCAGTTGGTAAAGAGCTGGACCCAATCCTTCACAGTGGAAGCCTCCCTTGCCATTCCATATTTCATGTCAAAGCAGTCATCAAGTATTTAGCTCTGTCTCCATCTCTTTATCTGATCCATCTTCCTCGGGCTCATCTTGTTGTTGCTCTTCGTCTACATTTAACAAAACGCAAATTTAATACTAAATTTACAATATTTCAAACAGATTATCATTTAGCAAGTTTTTTATATTGAAGGTGGCACAGTTCCTTTCACCATGAACATATATATGTTTGCCTCAGTCACATTGTAGAGGGTGCTCCTAGATTTTATTTCTGTGGGGGGCAACTAATCTTTGAAATGTCAGAGCCTGGCTTAGACAACTAGTTGTTTAGTTTCATGATTTTTGAAATTGTCAGCCACTGCATGAGTTAATGTCAGAATTCTTAGTTCAACTACAATACAATACAATACAATTAAAACAAATTATTTCAATTTTCAACGGGGTGAAGTTACAGGTATTATTAGCATGACAAAATTGCTGGATGCTGATTGGTTGAGAGGAGTACAATTATTTCATTAATTGTACTGCAGTACAATTAATGATTTTCCCGAAACAAATAAAATAGGTATTTTGAACACAAATGTGAAGTGAAATTGCCCTTGAGGAGCTAGATGAAAATACGAACAAAAGCACCAAATTTTGCTTTAACAAAAGAACTAAATTAACATACGAACAAAAGTACCAAATTTTGGTTGAAAGTCTGGCAGGACTGGGTTTTGGCGAGAGAATATGATGTTGACGGAGAAGTATCCAATTTTGTCATATGCTAATAATAAACAAGTAATCATGCGATGTTGCTCGTACAATTAGGGATTAATAGTACGAGTGCAGATGTTTGGAAATTTTGCCAAAATTGGACTCACCCCGCCTTCCAAACATCTGCACTCGTACTATTAATTCCTAATTGTACTCGCCATCGCATGATTACCTATACTAATGCGTGTGGGGCATGCTACGTACAATACAAATATATTACCTATTGGAATTACTCTTAAGACTTATAAAGTATATTGTTTGTGATGTTACTCTGAGTGTGCATTCACACTGGGCAAGCTGAAAAGTTTGCTTGACCACGGTGGGGATCGAACCCGCGACCTTTGGGATACCTGTCCAATGCTCTACCAACTGAGCTACGAGGTACCAACTGAGCTACGAGGTACCAACTGAGCTACGAGGTACCAAGTGGTGTTGGTGATATTTCGGAACTGAGTGGAACTCGTAGCTCAGTTGATAGAGCATTAGACTAGCATCCCAAAGGTCGCGGGTTCGATTCCCACCGTGGTCAGGCAATCTTTTCAGCTTGCCCGGTGTGGATGCACACTCAGAGTAAACCACAAACAACATATTCACCTGAATACATAAGAAGTATTATAAAGTGTATGTTTACTACTAGTTTAAAATAAATTCAAATACGTTTTGAAGCGCACACTTTGAATAAGTGGAGCTTGTCCTCAGATTATGGAGGTATAGTCGCTCCATTGGCTCCCTGACTTCTACAGCGTTTCCAGTATGCAAACAATGCTGGTTTTCTCTGGACATTCTGGATTCCTCCTGTTGTAACACTGGATCAACGAGAGGTGACCCTTACTGGACCTATTGGCAGAAAGTTCAGAACAGGCAGAGCAAAGAACTGATAGAGCTATATATCATTGTCTCGACGAAGTTAGTTCTTTATAAGTTTAGTTTTAATAGTTTTGTTTGTGGAAACACCACGTAAATTTATTACTGCAAAGCTTTCGATCCGTAAGTCCGGATCTTCATCAGTGCTAATAATATGTGCACATATTATTAGCACTGATGAAGATCCGGGCTTACGGATCGAAAGCTTTGCAGTAATAAATTTACGTGGTGTTACCACAAACAAAACTATTATATGTTTTATCGCCATGCAAACATACAAAGAACTTATAAGTTTAGTTTTATCTTTTAAGTTCCAAGATAGTTTTAATGTTTAGTTATGAGTGGATTTTACAGTGTTTTATATTATGTTTATTATAATTATTTTAACTGTTAAAAACTTTAGTTTATTCCACCTTTTTTGGTTTTTCCAAACGAGAAAAATGCCCTCCGTATTGAACTTCTTCCCCTGTGATGTATATCTGAGTTTGATGATTTGACTGACACACCACAGCCTGAGTCACGTGATATGCCTTCTCCCTCGGTCATGGGAAGTTTTTCTAATGGTGGACAAATTAATGGATTAGTTTTACAGTGAAGCTTTAGATTTATGCCAAGTTAACCATATATGTATTATGATTTATGAATTTAAGTTGTTAGTTAATTTTATATCCATATGTTGAATATTGTTTTATGTTATAAATTTGTTGGTTTATAAGTATATTTTAACCTTTTAGAACTAGCACGTGCTTCTCGAATCGAGATATTGAGGTCATCGCTAGAAAATCTTGTGCCAGAATTTATGGTTATATTTTCATGACTTATTCGCTGGTCACACGAGAATGACAGTTGAGAAGCGAGAGTTGCATGAGAGTTTTCTCAACTCTCGTGCCCCGGTCAAACGAGAACAAGAGTTGCATGAGAGTTGATGAGAGTTGAGAAGCGAGAGTTTGCATGAGAGTTTTTTCAACTCTCGTGCCCCGGTCAAACGAGAACAAGAGTTGCATGAGAGTTGATGAGAGTTGAGAAGCGAGAGTTGCATGAGAGTTTTTTCAACTCTCGTGCCCCGGTCAAACGAGAACAAGAGTTGCATGAGAGTTGATGAGAGTTGAGAAGTGAGAGTTTGCACGAGAGTTTTCTCAACTCTCGTGCCCCGGTCAAACGAGAACAAGAGTTGCATGAGAGTTGAGAGTTGAGTAGCGAGAGTTTGCATGAGAGTTTTCTCAACTCTCGTGTCCCGGTCAAACAAGAACAAGAGATGCATGAGAGTTGATGAGAGATGAGAAGCGAGAGTGTGCATGAGAGTTTTTTCAACTCTCATGCCCCGGTCAAACGAGAACAAGAGTTTCATGAGAGTTGATGAGAGTTGAGAAGTGAGAGTTTGCATGAGAGTTTTTTCAACTCTCGTGCCCCGGTCAAACGAGATCAAGAATTGCATTATAATTGACGAGAGTTGACAATTGAGTGTCAACTCTCAAAATTTGAACCAGTTCAAAGTTGATCGCAATATCGCATAAGTTCTAACGATCGTTTTCTTACCTGTGTCACATGGGCTCATTTTATCCTTTTTGTCAAGTTTTCTGGATTTACTAGGGAAAGACAGAGTACAAACATATAATGAGTTTAAAGCTTTCTTAACTGAGAAAAAAACTTTATATATATGCCTTTTTACCGATTTGTGACTTACCTTAGTTCGGTAAAAGACATAGTTGATCTTGAACTCCGTGGAGTCCCTGATCGTCGATAACGGGGATTACTCAGTGGATATGATATACCCCCTTTCGTTTCGTCGTTTTTCATTCTAAACGCAATGCAGTCAAAAGAAGATACAACTCGTGTTATCCAATATGTTCTGAATATGCATGTTGAACAAAGTAAGAACAGAAACAGAGTTTGGTTTATTCAAGCCCTTCGAATGGAAAAAACGGCATTCGTGGTTAAGTGAATGTTAGGGGGTTCGGTGACGTGTCGTCACAGCAAGCGCCTTTCACGTTTGAGAACTTGGGGTTCGATTCTCGCTACTGACTCATGTGAAAAGAGTCGGTGAACGCTCTGTCGAAAGTTGTGGGTTTTCTCCGGGTGCTCCGCTTTCCTCCCACAGGGAATGTTGACAGGATTGCAAGCGATATTTATACAATTTGAAGTGAAAAGATTCTTTTTGTTAATGCCACTTCTTCAGTATATTGCATGTTTATATATAAGTACTCCGGGGTCGGTTGTTCAAAAGCCTATAACCCTGGGTTAATAACACAAATCTACAAATTAAATTTTCCAACAGCTCATCAATCAAGTTGAATATGTTTTTCCAGAAATCTTTTCTGGTTCAATAGAGGTTTTATTTTCTAAAGTTTTGAAACGAATCAGAAATACATAAACAAAAACAGCAGGTTAAAATTTAACCCAGGGTTAGCGCTAATCGGGCTTTGAAGTCCTTGAACAACCGGCCCCGTTGCGATTATTTCCATACTAACCTAAACTTATCTCTACGGTACAACATGAATGCTCTGATAATGGTCGCCAGGATAATGATACCCACGATTACGCCAAGTACAATAACAATGACGTCATAATGCCAACTGCGAAATCCCGCAGTCTGTTTAGCATTTTTTGCGCCTAGGAGAGAAGATTAGAGAGAATTAGCTCACGGTTGAATGTTTAAGGCATTGCTACCCAGTTTGCAATTTGCATGCATTTTTGACACTACTGTGCAAGCATATTCTGCCAGGGGGGGGGGGTACACGAGAACAAAGGATACTAGGCTTTACTAGGCATATACGAATTATCACCACATTATACCTGTTTGACACGGTTCTGTTATATTGCTTTCGATGCTTGATACATTTTCTGGCGATGTTCCGTTCTTGAAATATGCGACCAGTTGAAATCTATGCAAAATAAGTTTCAGTTCACAAATGAACATGTGGAGTGGTACGTACGTACATTCTACTACGCTCAATTTTTGGTATACACATGTAACGCACAAGGTGTTACGATTACAGGTCTGCAAACAAGTTGTTACAAAACAGGTTGCTCCCAGTTGTTGTAACGAGTTTGGAACAAACTTGTAACAAGCTTGATGGCATTATCAGAGTTATTACAAGGTTGTTCTAACACGTTTGATACATGCAGTCATGATATAAAAAGAATGTTACAAGGTTGACGACACAAGGTTGTAACAATATTGTTATATCATGATTCATGACTGTATCGAACTTGTTGGAACAACCTTGTAACAAGTCTGATAACATCAACAAAGTTGTTACAACTGTTACAAGTTATCCCATATTTGTTGACAACTTGGGACAAGCATTGCGAACACAACTTGTTGACGGCTTGTTGGCACACTTGCTACAAGATGCGCTCATGCGAGATTTTTGCGTGTTTTCGGCGTGGATAAAATTTTAAATAGGTAGTCCAAGTACGGATGAAAATGGTACGGGTACCAAAATTGAGCGTTTCTAGCGAACCCACATGTAAATTTGCAATATAGAGACCGTAATCGTAAAACCAACCTGTAATTTTTTTTTGCTTGCAATTTTCCATTACAAAATTTCTCCTTAGTTTTGATACATTTATCACCATCTGAGCCCACTGTAAAGTCGAACGTTTTCTTCATCCTTATTTGCGGTGTGCACGTGACCTTTCCTGTCATATACCGCTGTGCATAAGCACCGTTATCTTGCCCAGTGTTGACGTAATGCCACGATACTATATCGCGCTTCGTCACCTCTTTGTCTGCAAAATTATTGATTGAGTGTTATCGGGTAGACCTAACCAGGAAAAATGAAACACTAGGTCCTCTCGTAGAAATCGAACCTGCAACCCTGCGATTCCGGTGCAGCGCTCTAACCAACTGAGCTACAGAGACCAGTTGTCGAGCTCTAACCACAACTTCATGTATATACTCTATATATACTAAGGTGTTGCCAATGTAAGGTATAAGGGTAAATCATTGAACTATAAGTAAACTGGAAGGCTAACTCGGGGGATTGAGGCCAGTGCATTTTAGTTTTTCTGAGTTATGAGCAGAAATACTCAACACTGAACGTTGTGCTGTATATGAAACTGAAGCTATTGAAAAACGCTATTTGGTGTAGAAATTTCAAGACTTTAGCTAAAAGGGAAATATTTAAAAACTACAAAAATAATTGCCGATAATTTTCCATTTTTTGGCCGAATGGCAGTTGTTTTTGTATTTAAAATATTTTTTTCCGAAGTCTTGAAATTTCCACACCGAATAGTAATTTTCAATAGCTCCAGTTTGATATATAGTCAAACGTTTGGGATCAAGTATTTCTGCTCATAACTCAGAAAAACTATTTTGGCTTCAACAAATCATAGGCCTTCATCATAGCAATTATAGCCTTCCAGTTTCTTTATAGTTCAATATATAATGGGGTAAACATCAGGATTTTGGAGGCATAGTACTAATCATCTGCTTAGTATATTTAGTAAACCCATCTGCAGTCGAACCCATATTAACGACACCTCTCTTGAGCATACCCTTCAAAGCGGACACATTCGCGAGGTCCCGAAGGTGTTCGCTTAAAGTGCGACTAACCTCTGATATCATTTTTGGTATGTGTAATATTTAGGTCATTCGACGAAGAAATGTAATATATCTTTAAAACAAAAAATCCCATCTTGATCAACTTTTTCACTATCAATGTTCCCAGATACGATGTCATTAGGTGAATTGAAAATAAGTTTTCCTTTGTCTTTTGTACCAAAAATTCACCTGATTACATCCTATCCGGAAACTTTGACAGTGAAAAAGTTGATCAAGATGAGGTTTTTTACTATAAAGATATATTACATTTCTTCTTAGAATGACCCAAATATTACACATACCAAAAATTATATTTGGGGTCTGTCGCACTTTAATAGGGGTTCGAGTGTATACCCAGTCTGTACTTACAGTCAGCTATGCTTTCATCTCCCTGTACAACGACTCCAATATGACTGATATCTGCCAAACTGACATTAATCATGGTAAACCTCAATTTTATTGTTGATGTGGTTCGTTCCAGCGTCTCCACAGAGATGGGAAATGTCGAGCCAATGAAGACGAACACAGGAACGGGTTTCGAGGAAAATAATAATGGAGTTCCATGGTCTTTGGCTGAAATGTGGATCTTCAGTGCCAGCAAGGATGTTGCAGGTAAATGCTCTCTAGTTTTAATTTCACCAGTCCTTAAAACGAATGGAAAAAAATATGGTTAAAATTTCTTACGCCTAGTTATCCAGTATGAATAGAGCTGGTTTTGCTAATTTCTTCAATCTAACCTGCTATGAATGGTGAAGTAATGTTTATCTTGTCCCTTGACCATGCCATACGTAACTCTCCCATTCTCTCCGTCATCTTTGTCTATCGCTTGAACAGTTAGAACACTCATTCCCAGTTCGTGTGACGTCACCACGGTCGAGTAGTAAGAACGAGAGAATGTTGGTCTATTGTCGTTCTCATCCCCCAATCGGATTGTTACATTTACCATCGTTGTCAGAGATGTCCGACCTAGGTCTAGAAATAGATACAGCGAGATATTTATCGACTATATTTCTCAGTCAACAACACATTTAATGTAAAATATCGAGTTTTCCTGAAACTTGAAATTGAATGCATTGTGTTTGTACAACGTTAAATTACTGAAAATATTCTCTGAGGGCATACGATTTAACGCCCTTATCCGAGACGATTATCCTAAGATGTAAAATTCTGACCATTTGCAGCACTGTAGGTCTGCCGGAATTTAAACCCACGACCTCTCGCATCAAAGTCTGATGCTTCATACACCACCGAAAAGCACGTTGCCTCCAGCGTGAGTATATACAGCCAGGTGCACGTGTGTCTTCAAAACTTGCAATCAAAAAGGTTGAGCTGGTATCTGTCATTCAAATAAGCTCCTGTTTGTGTCCAAACAACCAGAATTACTGGTTTGTTTCCAAAATATTTTGGCTGTTTAATCGTCAAAAAGGAAAGCCTGACTTTTCAATGAAAGGATTATATCTATCTGGCTTTTGCCCGTCCCAACCTCGCAAGCCAGGGTGTGAGTCCATCCTTACCTGCACTTGCCATATAAGGCAGCAAGTACATATCTTTCTCTTCTCGATCCAGTCTTTTTGTGGTGTATATCCACCCGGTTCCAGGGTCTACGCGGAACGGCATCTTCCCGTCCAAGTTTCTAAACCAATACGTAACCTTCCATCGCTTGTCTGGGACACTTGCGTTCACTTGATATATGGGGAAACCAATGTCCACGCCTTCTGACATCAGCAAGGTGTACGAGTCTCTGGCAAATTTTGGTGACTTGGGCATGTAGCCACGGACATTGATGATAATGCTGGCAGTTCTCTCTGATCTCATTGGTTCTGGTTCACCGCTGTCCCATGCTGCCACAGTGATGTTGAATGTCGATTGCTAAAGAGGGTAAAAATTATGAAGTGTTGGTGAGAGAGTGGTAATTATGTGCACGTGTCCGGAGTTCGATTTGTGGAATACGGAGTCATGCGGTTGATAGCTTGATGCAGGAGTATCTGCGTGTTTGTAGTGTTCTTGTTTATATAGGTCACATTGTCTATTAATGGTTGGTCGATTTGTTTTGACGAGGTTTCCATTGTCTGTTTAGTATGTGGCGCAAGGATCGTCAGACAATATACAACAGAGAGCAGTTTACATCACAAAAGAAGTTAACTGTAATTCCGTTTTAATGTGTCACATGTCCGGTGGACTAGCCGACTAGTTGTTTGTGTTTCACAATATCTTAACGCAAAACAGACTGTATTGTTGTTATAATAAAAGTTTCAGTAATATCCTGTAAATATACGGCAATGTTTAGGAAAGAAAAGCCTTCATCTCTGTATATGTTTTATTCTAACCTCGCTGTGTATTAAAGATTTCTTCAGAAACACAATCCCATCGGGTTCAAATGAAAAGGTCTCATTGAAATTCCCAGAAACTGCTTCGAAGTGGACCAGACCGTTGCGACCTTCGTCCGGGTCCGTCGCATTAATTTTGAGAACTGGCGAGTTAATAATGGATGATTTCCACACGTCTTGAGTGTAATGAAGTTGTGAGAATTTGGGATGGTTGTCATTGACGTCTAGTATCTCCACGCGAAGTATCGCTTTGGCTAGAAGACAGGGAATGAAAAGAATAGTAAGAGATGGTTCTTCTTTATTATTACAATAGTTATAGTTGCCTAGCTTCATGACTCGTCTGAAGTTGTATTTTGAAATGATAGTATTTGTCGTTTCTTTAATGCTCTGCAGAATGACTTCTAAATTATTTCTGAGAGAAAATATGTAGTCCATCTTGTTTCAGATGTGGCATTTTTTATGTTCTAGTTAAAACATGAGCAGGCGATCTTTATCTGATATACAAGGGGATGCGAATGTTTTAACGGGCTTAAAACGACCCATCTTCATTCATTGACGAAGTAATTTTAAAAATAAACATTGTCTAAGCCGAGAAAATCAAAGCTGAAGTTTATGTAAATCAGGACAAATCTTTATCCGATTTACAAACATTGATTAAACATTCATTTCTTTTGAATTTTCTACATGAATTATTATCATTAATATTATTTTAAAGTTATATAGAAGTTTCTTTTTCTTACCTGACAAGACGGTTGTTATGGATGTCGAGTCCGCACTTTCATAATCTGCTTTCACCGCCAATCTGTTTAAAGATTTTTAGAAACGGTTAGCGTAGCTTAGATGTGGAATGCGATAAATGATGAGGAATTCCTGGACGTTAAAGCCACGGTCAAACGAGGATGAGTTGTTGAGAGTTGCAACCTCTCACTCACGTAATTGTCCACCAACTCTCATCGACTCTCATACAGTTTCATCAACTCTCATCAGCTCTCATGCAACTCTTTTCTCGTTTGACCGGGACATGAGAGTTGAGAAAACTCTCATGCAAACTCTCGCTTTTCAACTGTCATCAACTCTCATGCAACTCTTGTTCTCGTTTGACCGGGGCATGAGAGTTGAGAAAACTCTCATGCAAACTCTCGCTTCTCAACTCTCATCAACTCTCATGCAACTCTTGTTCTCGTTTGACCGGGGCATGAGAGTTGAGAAAACTCTCATGCAAACTCTCGCTTCTCAACTCTCATCAACTCTCATGCAACTCTTGTTCTCGTTTGACCGGGGCATGAGAGTTGAGAAAACTCTCATGCAAACTCTCGCTTCTCAACTCTCATCAACTCTCATGCAACTCTTGTTCTTGTTTGACCGGGGCATGAGAGTGAAAAATGAGAAGGCTCGTGAAGAACTTGTATGATAATACCAGATGGATTAGAGAAAGCATGCCTTTTTTGAAAAGTCTAAGGCCGACGATCTAAAGGAAGACGGAGAACTAAATACCTGGATGCTGTGTTGGAGGAAATTGGAAATGGAATAAAGACAGTCTACTTTGATAACAGAAATGCTTGATCGCTGATGAAAAGCGTGAATATGTGATTTCAACTTACATATAAACCTTGTGCGTTTCATAATCCAATACTTCATGTAGTGTAATCACTCCTGACGTTTCTTCCATCGTAAATCTCTCCAGTCCCTCCTCCAAATAATAATTAATTCCACCCGTAGATCTCTTCCGCTGACCAGCCATAACTTGAATACCTCCAACCCATAGCGATGCACTTGCTGTGAAAACGGTCTCAAGCAGCCCTAAATCCTCCTTAACTGTAATCTCATAAATATCCTGCTTGAAACGTAACCATTGTAGTAATACAACCACATTGGCAGGCTTGATCGCATCAAGTTCTGGGTAGCCGTTGTCATGAACACCAATCGTCAGATTATAGACCTCACTATCATACGGGATTTTACCCCTAGTCCTAATAACCCCCTCATTGTTTACCATAAAAACCTCATCATCATCTCCATCTAAAATCACATACGTCAACTCGCCAAGTTTCCCGTAATCGGGATCGGTTGCCGATACTCGTTGAACTTCGGTATCTAACGGTACCTGCCCGTTAAGCCGAACTTCGAACGACGTTTTCTCGAAGACAGGCCGATTGATGTTATTTGGGTACAGTACAACCCTTAACCGGCCTTTAGTCGTGTACAGTCCATCTGTGACCGTTATATCATAGTCATTTTTTCCCACCGTGTCTACCTTTCGTTTTTTTCCGAGTCGAACCTCGCCTGTGTCTTTGCTGTATGTAATAAGCTCAAATTGTCCTTTAATAGTATACTCCAGTTTCGATTGTAGACCAGTGTCGTTGTCCCTGGCAACCAGTCGACCAATCAGAGAACCCACAGATATATTGCTGAATACGCTGAATACAAATGGGGATCTCAGGAACTCTGGGGGATTGTCATTGGCATCGAGGACATTTATGGATATATTGAGCACACGGGTGACGTTTTCTTTCAAATTTTTTGCTCTAATCTCTAGGTTATATGTAGAGATGTTCTCGCGGTCGAGGGTCTTGAGTAAACGAATTGTAGAACCCCAGTTTGAAGTTAGTGGATAGAGACGGAATGTTTTATCAAGATTGCCTAGGAGAGAATTGCTGATTGTCAATGACTGAACAAAACTAACTTTATCTAGTGATAAGTCTATCAGTTCTCAATTGCTCTTCCTAGAGGTCTAGTAAGGGCACAGTTTAATGGGTCAGTGCTACAGCATGCTGCAGGACTAAATTTATTCAGTATAATTGATAACTTTATCAGTTCTGAACTGATCTTTTTCGCGGTTCAGTAAGAGCCCAATTAAACTAACTCAATTTATAACGGATAGCTCTGTCTGTTCTGAACTCCTCTTCCTTGAGGTCCAATACGATCCCAATTAAACTACTTATAATGGATAACTCTATCACTTCTAAACTGTTCTTCCTAGAAGTCTAGTAAGGGCCCAATTAAACTAACTATTTATAATGGATAGCTCTGTCAGTTCTGAACTGTTCTTCCTAGAGGTCCAATACGATCCTAATTAAACTAACTATTTATAATGGATAACTCAATTAAACTATTTATAATGGCAATCACCATGCATGCACTATGTCATTAACTCCCCATAAATATTGGTATATAATCAAAATATATTTATATAAAAATAAGCTGTAACAGAATACCTCTTATTATTTCATAGCTCATCATTTCGTTATTCCTCGTTCTGCTTTCTGCCGTGGCTTCAAACCGAAGCACTTCTTTTAAATACGGCGCGTCTTCTAGCACATTAACGTGTCGTGCGCTCGTGAATTCAGGATATGCAGCTAACAAAAGAAAAGAAAAGAAAAGAAATGAAGAGAATAGATGTGCTATTTAATAACTTGCTACAAAAGCAGGCGTCTGTATCTCGACTCCCTCCGAACTGCCTATAACGAATGACCTTCGCTGTCTTCGTTCGAAACATCGCAATACACCTAATCAGCGATCCGTTTTTATGCCCGTTATCACGAAAATCATCGATATATTGTTGGTGGCATGTACATGCCTCATCTCCTAGTATCTACCGACTAAGGTTTTCTAGTTTGCTTTTTTACCAAAACCATTTTGTCTTTCTCCTGGTACTTCGGTTTACCTTCGATGTTTCGAGCGAGGACCCTTTGTCAGGAACTACTAATTTCCCAACGCAGGGCTTTCGTTTCTACTGTCATCATATTTATTTAAGACTTCATGTTATAGAGTTACAAAATTACCAGTTGTCAGATAGTGAGATAGTCGTTTTCAATTTTGCTTTTCACTCTCCAGATTTTTACGGATGGCGAGTTTGTAAACCTTTGACTTATACAATGGACAACTTGCATGTTAGACTAATTTTTTATCTAGTAAATTCCCGTAAAGAACTTATTAAAATTAGTAAAATTGCAAAATTTGGTTACGAAATGTTGTAAAATACGGAAAATATAGCCTTCCAAAGTTTGCATATTTTGTATATGTTTTTATTACGTGCGGCAATTGTTACCATTTTTGAGCCGAAAATGGTAACAATTTCCGTACGTAATACAAACATATTCAAAATTGGCAAACTTTGCGAGACTATATTTTCCAAGCTTTACAACATTTCGCAACCAAATTTGGCGATTTTACTAATTTCATTATGTTCTTTTTAGCTGTGGTGCTTGATTCCCTTCTCTTTACTTATATATTAAAATTTAGTCTAATTAACATGCAAGTTTTCCATTATATATCAACCATGCATATGCTTACCTATGATACGGTAAAGAGCCGCGTACGTTTTCACCCCTGTATTTTCTGATGGTTCCAAGTCACACGAGTGCATTTTAGCGCATACAACAGCGAAACAATTGTTTTGATAAAAATAAGCGATGTTTCCTTGTTGACTGTTACATGCTTTGCGTAAACAATCCTTCATATCTTTTGTTGTCTTTCCCAATCTCTTGTAATTCCCCGCATCCATACCTCCAATAATCAACACATCGTTTCTTATGGGCTGTGGCAGACATATCGTTCTTTTTGCTAAAGACGAAATTAGAGAGAAGCTTGTATACAAGTACTCTACATTAGTACGATGCTGCAATCGTCAAAACAAGCGCCTTTCACGTCTAAAATCATGGGTTCGACTCTCGCTGCGAACACACAACAGTCGTGTGAAAAGAGTCAGTCAACGCTCTGCCGAAAATCGTGGGTTTTCTTTTGGTCCTCCGGTTTCCTTCCACAGGGAATGTTGACATGGTAGGCTGGGATGAGCATCTGAAGCCAGGTTTACACTATCAAAGTTTCTGTGATCACAGTAGGAATTTTGCATCGGTAAATTCTAAGGTTCATGAAGGATTTGTAAGAAATGTCTGGGGAAACATGACTCAGTGTTAAACACTTCCTGCCAGAGGACCTAGTGTCGCATTTTTCGCAACCGTTCCCTGGTTAGGTATAAGAAATGCATGATATATCATCACTTGGATTATCCAAACACATCTACTCCAACAACAATATTTCTGTATTTACTTTTAGGGGCCATGCAGTTACCCTTAGAAGTGCTATAGTGGACCCTTGGAAATTGATCGCCTGCCTGAAAGTACCAGGTATGTACTATATCCAATATTATTCAAAATATTGATATTGTAACTGCATGATAATATGGGGAAAACTTGTACAGTACTGCACTGATGTCTGACAGCGCCAGCAGCACCGAAATTTTCAACAAAATATCTTCGCAGGAAATTGTCCAAAAATACACCTTGCAGGAAATTTTTTGTCGTCTTATATACTGGAATGCCATGTAATTTACTTATTGATATTTGTTGTGTTAGTGTAGTGTACTCAGGTGAATAAGATGCTTGTGATGTTACTCTGAGTGTGTATCCACACCGGGTAGGCTTGAAAAATATGCCTGGCCACGGTGGGAATCGAACCTACGACCTTTGGAATACTAGCCCAATGCTCTGCCAACTGAGCTACGCGGTCAGGTCGGTTCGAGATGCGATATTTCGGAACTGAGTCTAGTTCCTTCGATATCAGTGTAATCTAATAATCATGATATTTGTTGTCGAACCGACCTGACCGCGTAGCTCAGTTGGCAGAGCATTGGGCTAGTATTCCAAAGGTCGTATATAGGTTCGATTCCCACCGTGGCCAGGCATATTTTTCAAGCCTGCCCGGTGTGGATACACACTCAGAGTAACATCACAAGCAACAATTTACTTATTGTTTAAAAATTCCAAAAGTGTTTTGCAAGTCGAGATTGTCTTGTGCCGAGATTAATGTGCGTCACCATACGTTCTCTGAAATCTACATATGCAGGATGTTTTATAGTTGATTTTCACAGCAAATTTTTATTTTTGGAATTTGCTGCCAGGAAGAGCAATGTATTTTTTTAGGTCTGAATTTGTGTTTACTAACATGTTCGCGTCATGGCGCAAACCTTTTGTTTAAGTCGCCGGGCGCTACAGTCTGTTTTTATTTGCTGGAAAAATACAGAAATCCCTGTAACGTTTGATGCATGCAAACTCCCTTCATCATGAGCGCTACTCAAAAGTTCCAAGTCTTTTCAATGTTAGTCCGACAGATGACAGATTTCTACCCGACAGATCTAAGTCGTTAGTCTATTCATTACATGCTTACCTTGGCAAAGTTTACACAGTAAGATAAAGAGGCCAACAGCGAACACGGACCATCGCCGCCCTGCCATCACGAAGCCATCTTTGTTCACCATCATCGAAAATCTACGTGAGGAATTGTGTTTAATTAGCCAAAGTAAATATCATGCGCGCTTTCAATTAAAATTTCGTGCAAGGTAGCATTGTTTTCTATAAGTATAACAAAGCCGTTTGCGAGGGCGATGCGAAGCTTGCTGCCCTTGTGCATACTCTTTTTGTTGTTTTCGGTCTATGTATGCAGCGCTTCCTAATATAATAATACTAATATTTAATCAACATAAATATCAGTTTCGGAATATATATATTATAGATATAGGCTGTTGCGGTATTGGAAAATTCCGGAAAATATATATCGAAAAAAAATATCGAAAGTGATAGCCTATACTTTAAATGAGTTTGTCAGAACGTCGTAACTATATTTTGCAACCATAAAGAGTCATAATTAAAATATGATTAAAATATTAAAGGGAAGGAAGAATTATTTTACAAACGTCAAAGATCATATAAACAGGCCCTTTGCAAAAGCCTTGTTAGCACAGTTCCAACTGGTCTTTCGATGCACCAAGATATTTACCTTTCTAAATTTTGGATATAAGTTACAAACTGAAACATTTTACTGACAATGTGCTTCATCGTGTACTTTAATATTCAACGCTCGTTTATACGCTTGTAATTTTTGCTACGATTTCCATTGCGATTTTCTTCTTCGAATTCTGATGGATGTGAACGAGTAGATGAGTTATGAATGTTCTGAGTATATGTATCCTCATGTGAACATTCATAACTTATCCACTTGTTCACATCCATCAGAAGGGGAAAATTGCACCAGAAGTGTAAACGACGGGCCTTGAAGATTGCCTGGAGTCTTAAATTTGTGGATCAAACATACGTGCCATTAAACATTGGAATACCAGTGCAGTTGAAAATACTGATCCTTTTCATATATTTGTTGTTGCATATTTTTGTGTTGACCAGATCTATCTATATACACGACAAATTCAACTATGTTAAAGAATTACTTGGTTAAAGATTTGCGTCTATCTTCATATGTACATGCACCTTTCTTCAAATTGTTAAAAAAATTCTATTTATCCTCAATTAAAATATCCCTTTCTAAAAACCAAACAATATACCTGTGATTACGGCACGTGAACGGAAAAAAACTTGCTTGGATTTGTAAGAGCAGTTTTGCTTTAAAACACTTTTAATGGATGATTCCTTTAAGACGATCTTATGCGGAGAAGATGTTTACCACCCACTTTTGTCAGATTTCTTTTGAAAGAACGCGATTTATATAATCTTACCAGAACAATACTGTCTTGAGTTTGACTTATAGTCTTACATATAGAAACAATACAGTCTTAGATCTGCCTTATACCCAGTCTTAGATGAACAATATATGCTGTCTTGACTTTTTAAGAGCCCATAGATCAATCACTTGCCATTAAGTTACTGTCCTACGCTCCTGTCTCCAAATTAACTATTTAACCAAGTTACTGCAACAGCAGGCTTTACTTATCCATCATGAATTGAAGAAAACTTAAAATGCTTCAAAGGAATACTGTTTGTTTTAGTTTAAACATTTAATATATCTCTCTTTTCTGGCATGTCATTTTTGATCAAATAATGTTCTACAAAGCTTCGCCGACCATGAATATAGTGAATTGTTTAAGTAATATATTTGTACTAGCGAAACACAAGGGCTATCAGATTTGATCTTAGATAAGATGACATGGATCTGTAATCGATATTATTGTTCATACAAGTCCTATGTGACATTGTTGCCTGTGTAATTAGCTGTAAGCATGTGTTAGGCGGCTCTTTCATGATCCACAAAGCTTATAGAAAATACCTGCAAACATAGATTGCTGCTTAATAGTTGTTGTTTGCATAACAATTTAGTTGGTGGTCGCAAGTCTAGGCTTTTGGGGTAGACTTTGCATTTTTCATCAGAGTATCAGGAAATTGAAAAAAAAACAATGCACTTTTCGCATTTATATTTTTTGAACTTATGATTTTAAATGTAATTTGGAAAAAGTGCTAAAACATATGTGTTCTTTTAGGTGTAAACGTCATTGGGTATCAATTTATGAAATTTTTCATCTAATTTCATATTATCCATTAATTGTTTGATAATTATAGCAAGGCACTTTACTACCCAGCTTAACTGCGCATGCGCTTCTAACTTAATAAGTCATTTGATCAATTGATCATTCTATAGCTGTATACTATGTTGTGTGGGTTCAATAACCTTCAAATTGTGCTAATCTCGTTATGAAAAGGTTGTAGTACATTAAACAAAAATGGAGTCGTGCCTCAGTGAATTCATTAGTGAGCTTTAAGACCCCGTTCACACGATACTGGCATGGATCGAATTCTGAAAATCATCACGGTTTCAACTGTTCACACGATACCGGCAGATTATATTCCGCTTTGACAATATGCTGCACAAATCAGTTAAAATAGACAGAATAAAATATCCAACAACAACTTTTGCAGTTTTGTTAATTTCATTTTGCGTAACCGTAATGAAATTCTTACGGTTATAGGCGTTCACACGGCACTCCGACGGTAGAATTTCGTTCCGTTTTCAAACTCTTACGGTTTGCATACAGTTTTCAAACCCTTACGGTTAGCGTTACGCAACCGCTAAACGTAAGAATTTCGTTCTGTTTTCAAACTCTGCCGGTATCGTGTGAACGGGGTCTAAGAGAGCGACCTTTTTGTCACCCGACAGTTTTGCATCATATAGCGCGGATGCAAGGAAGCAAATAACTTTAAAAATCTTATGTTTTGTCATATGCGTTGAAGATTACTACAAACTGACACAAATCCAGTTTTTAATCCAGTTCGTGTTGACAAAACGTCACTTGCTTAAGCTCGCTATTGAATAAGTTGATGATTTCAAAATGCAATGTTTGGCCAAGTCAAGCCAAGTAATTGATTTCGCCATAATAGTCACAGAAAATGTTCTGATGTAAACCCAGTATAAAATAGTTTATTGTCTTTAAGGTTTCCTCCTGCAGTAACAATATGTCATTATAGATTTAAGGAATAAACCTTATGCTGCATGCATGGTCATATATTTGGAGATATCTATTAAGGAACTGCAGCTATTCAGTATAAAGGAAGGTATAGTTTTCAAAAATTCGACGTAACATAGGATTAACAATGATCATACATGCAGCGATACAGTGATCAGTACAATATGTACAGAAATGAAGAGTTTTGGTAATGATGCACTTATACCAATGGGAAACAGAGTTAAAAGTCGAGAAATCTCTTTGGCAATGCTTTGGTATACATACACAAACGTGGGGTTCGCGAGTGTGTCGGTATAGCCAGGCAGAGCCATCGTGGTTTGTGCCTGAACTACCTGAAAAAGATATACGTCGATGTATTGAGATGCGGCCTTTAACCCGGAGGTTAACGACCAAGGGCCTCGAAACGTTAGGCTTATTTTATCTTTTCAGGTAGTGCAGACACGAACCATAGCACACTTGTTATATAAGGAGTAAACTATTTCCTGTCAAAAAAATGGTTTTTGGTTTTGATAAACTTATACCAATGGGAAACAGATTTAAATGTCGAGAACATGAGTATCTCTCTTAGAGCAATGCTTTGGTACATATACAACGTGGGGGTCTTATGTCTGTGCGCAGGCAAGTCGCGAGTGTGTATAGTTAGCAAGGCAGAGCTATCGTGGTTTGTGTCTAAGTTATCTGAAAAAGATAAAATAAACCTCGATGTATTGAGAGAAGGCCTTTAGTCTGGAGTTTGGCCAACCAAGGACCTCGAAACATCCAAGTTTTTTCAGTTATCTTTTTCAGATAATTCAGACACAAACCATGGCACTTTCTATATAAGGAGTAAAACTATTTGCTGTCAAAATATGCGTTTCTGTTCCTTAGTTTGCACTTTGGTAACCAATCCCACACATATTCCATCCTTTCCCATATATTACACCCATAAATAACAAAGGTTACTGCTCTAACTAAATATCAGGGGTATCAATCTCTTTCACATCAGATAAAAAGCCAGACTTTAAACCAACACTCCTGCTAAGTTTAAACACAAATAAACCGTTTACCTTTGCTACTTTTTAATCTTCGCCAAGAATTCCCATCCTTTTTCCTTCATAACTTGACAAACTTTTCTTCTTGGTGTAACGAGTCTTCGTTCATTTAAAGTTATCTAGAAGGTATAACGGTATTCGGTGTAATCGAGCCGGAAACTAACTAACATTCAACAGACAGATGGTTTAGAAATGTTCAAGCAAATGATTAGCTTTACAAAATTTTTCGCTACAGATAAAAGCAGGCGCATGCAGCGAGGGTACAATGACTTGAAATCTATGCAACAACAAAAACATCAGGGGGCATATAAACAAGGTTTATAACCAACTATATTCCTAATAATGAGCAATAGCAACAACGGGAATAAATTTAATAACCACCCTAATGAGACCTTGGGTTGTGCACACTGAGTCCCCTTTCAATTTCACTCGGGCGACCTAGGGTATGGTTAATGAACATGCTATGATCGTACTCTTGTACCTCTTTGTGTGAAATTGATATTGTTTTGAAGATATATAGACCATATTTGAACAAGGAACTTACGTTTGTTCATCAATATATATTTACTTAATTGCTCGTAATTTTTTATTGTTTCTTTGTGATGTCAATTTTTTGCCCATTTGCCAATCATTTTTGAGTTGGGTTCCAATTCACCGTTCAAAGTACACTTCCAGCAATGTTTATTCTAAAGCCCTGGGCAAACTAGGAAACATTGTTGTGGAAACATTTGTGATTCCCTGTTTGCCCACCCGTGGAAACATTGTCGCGGAAACAAAATTTGCTTCCCGAGAAGCAAAAATGTTTCCTAGCGAACTCAGAAACATTTGATGTTTCCCTATGTTTCTCACTACTGTTTCCTAGTGTTTGCCCACGCTTGGAAACATGGCGAAACATTGGTAGGAAACAATGTTTCCGCAACAATGTTTCCTAGTTTGTCCAGGGCTTTAGAAACACTGAATTATTAGAAACAAAAGATAAATATGGTGTATCCCCTTAATTTGTAACCGCGTTCGATATTGATAAGAGCTTCGATGGCGCAATCTCGACAACTACATGGACTCTGTAGCTCACTTGGTTAGAGCGCTGCACTGGAATCGCTGGGCCACAGATTCGATTCCTGCCAGTGGCGGAAATCTTGGTGGGGCGGCTGGGCGACCGCCCCCCTCCCCTTCCACCTTCACGGAAAATGCTAAAAACAGCCTTTCCGAGTGCAAATGGGGGGGGGGGGTTGTCGGAAAATTGAAAGTTTTGTCGGAAATTTAGAAGGCTTTGCCCCGCTACCTAGACTGCGAGCAATCCCTCTATTTTCCTTCGTTTTATTGTAGTCCGGGAAACAATAAAACGAACTAGGAAAATAGAGGGATTGCTCGCAGTCAACCCCCCACCCCCCACCGGAAAAAGTGAATTTCCGCCACTGATTCCTATCAGAGGGCTTGTACTTGCATTTTGCTTTTGGTTAAGTATAACCTGAGATCACGCAGGCTCTATTTTTCAGGTTATAGGTTAGGTCTAAAATTGAAATGCCGCAAATCCTAATTACAATGGACCATTTGCGTAACAGACTAAATTTTGATCTAGACAAAAATTTCATCACAGCTTGAAAGAGCATCACAAAATTAGTAATATTCCAAAGTTTCGTTGCAAAATGTTGTAAAATGCGGATAATATAGCCTTGCGAAGTTTGCAATTTTCAGTCATTTTAGATTACAAATGGGAAATTGACAGCCCGATACGCTTTGAGGCTGTCAATTTTCCGTTTGTAATCTAAAATGACTGAAAATTGCAAACTTCGCAAGGCTATATTATCCGCATTTTACAACATTTCGCAACGAAACTTTGGAATATTACTAATTTTGTGATGCTCTTTCAAGCTGTGATAAAATTTTTGTCCAGACTTGTTTAGATCAAAATTTTGTCTATTACGCAAATGGTCAATTGTGATGAACCTTTGCATGCATGTGGATAGAGCTATCCTGTATAAACTTTGCTTGGTTTTTAGTATCCGTTTTACTGACGACATATATTAATGAAAATCTAAAAAAATTTATATATTGTTTATATAAATTTTACATGTTCTAATTATGTTCGGAATTTCGGTATACGTTTGTCGTGGACAACCGCGCACCCAATATTTTTAAAACACAGTACCGATGTTTATATATCAAAATCTAGAAAATAACTGCAAGTCAGTCGCTTACGGTCGCACATAATTGTCAGATTAAATTAACGAAGTCCATATTTTATGTTAGGTGTCGTACAAAACTGATCCAGGATGCAAGGCAGAGCTTTACGGGTTTAGAATTAATTTGATAATTTAATTTAAAGTTTAGAAATTATAACTCGCGTGATTTAATTTAATTTAAATCACGCGAGTAAAGAAATTATGACGCGTGATTTGAAATTAATTTCAGTGCATGTTTTAGTTTCAATCAAGGGCTCAAGGGCAAAATTTATTCGAGACTTTAGAAATTAACTCATGATGTAATCTGGTGTTCTATAAAACGCAATATATTCACATATATAATCGCATAGAATGCTCGCCCTATGCTCGCTATTAATTTACTGTTAGTTAATTGTTTCCGTTATATATGGTCGATGGAAATGCCGACAGACATGCAGTGCCCGCTGTTTACTGAACATTTAAATGCATGCAGGCATACAGCGTTTATAAATGCACAGACTTCGTACACACAGCCAGACGTGGTCTTATAAGACTGCTTTACATGCACTATCAAATTTTCTGTGATCACGTGCAGATCGACACAGTAGGAATTTTGTACCGGTAAATTCTAAGTTTTGAAGGATTTGTAAGAAATGTTTGAGGGAACGACTCGGTGTTTAACAGCAAATCTAACGGATTTTGCTTTGTCATGATTTGTATATACTGCGCCATCAGAGAAATGAGTTCATGCAATTAATTAATGACCAAATATTGATCGACCAACTCCGACAGAAGTTCACTGCGGGACTGATGATGGACAACTGCGAAGTTGATGAGAGTTGAGATGCGAGGGTTTGCACGAGAGGTTTCTCGACTCTCGTGCCACCATAGTGCCACCGATCAAACGTGAACAAGAGTTGCATGAGAGATAATGAGAGTTGACTAGATATTACCGCACGCGCGTATAACTCGTAACTCGTAGCTCTTAAAAACTCTCATCTCTCATCAGCTCTTCTTTCTCGTTTGATCCAAAACATTACGTTATCACCTTTGTCGAACAACGATTAAAAACACCTTGACCAGGTTCGAACGATTCAACAAATCCTCCGTTCACTTAGAACGTCGAAGTTTCTAGTTTTAAAATTTCTCAGGCAGACATATCAGTGAAAGTCATAAAACAGCTTCCTGTATATTATTTAACCGGTTAAACTGGAACTCCCATTTTGAGCATGGATATATATATATATATAATATATATATATACCAAGTTAACCAATACTTTTGTTTTCGAAAAGTCTGACATACAAGTATAAGAATTCAACGACTGTCTGGGGAGTCCACAGTTGTGTTAACTATTATAACATTCATTAATTGATGACTAATAAATTTTTCTTCAAACAAAGAGGCGACATCATTTATATACTCTAACTTAAAAAATTATCACATACCTTTACAACTTCAGCATTTCACAAACTTGTAATTTATCCACAGCTGTGTTGTGTTTAATGTTTAGCATATTTTGTTCAAACAAAGTATATATATTGTAACTTATTTTATTTTTTACGCATACGTACAGATCTCGTTAGCAGCAGGTGTCGCGCTTTGTTGCGGTCGCGCTGACATTTACACATTCCGACTTTTCAATTATTAAATAACGGCGTTGCGTAGTAACAGGTAAACTAAAGCCGGTAAAGGCAAGTTTCCACTCATCGCAAAAACCAACTCGCAAACGCAATGCATGCAAGTATGTGCGTCCAATTAAAATAGACTGTCGAGCATTGTGATTGGATGAAAGTATATTCACAGCAGCCAGGGGGGATGCCTCTCTTTAGGGCCCTTGCTAAGAACATGGTAGACTGGCCGCCAGATGCGCGCAGTAACAGCTACCTTACGTTTTTCTCGCGAAGTGAGACCTCTGTATGGTTAGTACTCTGTGGTATTAGGTTGGATTAAGCCCGGTTTCCATATGGTCGTAACGGTCGTAAAGATTGAGTCACGATCTGTCTAAAATACAACATTTTAGAACTGAATATACGCGGAGTGATTATAACTAGAAGCCCCGTTTACACTACGCTAAATTTTTGGTACGGCACGGATAAAATTGGTACTCGTACCACTTTTTTGGTTCTTGGACTACCTATTTAGGTAGTCCAAGAACCAAAAAGTGGTACGGTACCAAAAATTGAGCGTAGTGTAAACGGGGCTTAGCTAAATAGGTAGTTCCAGAACCAAAAAAGTGGTACGGGTACCAATTTTATCCGTGCCGTACCAAAAATTGAGCGTAGTGTAAACGGGGCTAGAGAATACTTATGATTTATATGTGGTTTACAGGTATAAACTATTATAAAGTGGCCGTTGAGAAAGATCGTGACTCAGGTATAAATTATTATACACCATTACGACCATATGCAAACCACTCTCAAAAGCAGCCATATGAACACAGGTAACACTCATGTGGACTGGTGAACAGCTATCATTTGATGCTCGTGTGATGTTACTCTGAGTGTATGTCAGAGTAACATCACACAAGCATCTTATTCACCTGAGTACATTACACCAACTACAGCAAATATCAGCTATCATTTGCTCAAACTAGAGAAACTATTCATGCGTACAGTACACAACATTTTACGAAATATGTTTGACTAACTGAGCAATATAACGAATATACAAGATAAAACAAAAAGTCTGAATTAAAATCATGCATTACGGTAAAATCAATAGTGGCTACCAGTATGAATGTACGAAACTACACGGCCCATAAATACTACTATCTGATTGGACTTAAATCCAATGACTCTAATCACAAATTAACGTACAAAAACTAGGGCTAACCTATTAGTCTAAACCACACAACAAAACCAGTATACACGGAGAATATTGGTATCAATGGTCATCTTAGGGCTTTCCATTTTCCAAAATGGGCAGTATTACAATCGAATTTTGGAGCTTTTCTGGAAAATGTCAGATTTACAAACTCGTAAAGCGAACAAGGTATAGTCTAATATTCAAATACAGATTTATGAAACTATATAGACTAACTTTCTAGCATTAATCCTATAACAAAATTATCATGCATTTAAAACATAGGTATTTGAGTCCACATATTAGCCTAGCTTAGCCTGCTCTATATACCCTGCTCCTCTATATACTGCTATAAAAAACTGACATACAAATAGAATCGACATAAACAACTGTTCAAACTTCAGAACAGTCTAACAAGTTCCCATGGTTGTGGAGCCGTACATCGTATAGTCGGCGTCGTTTTGTAGATAGGACTCGACAGGTTTCATTTGATCAATCACAAAGTTTCGAATACATCCTTGGAAGTTGACGTCGTAGCGAATTCCTGATGGACCGCCCAGAGAGTACATTGCAGCGCCCAGCCCGTTCTGGGGTTTGATATCAAGTGAGGTGAAGATGCCAGTGGTTGTAGCAATCTCTGAAATTATAGAAATAAAATATTTTAACCCATTGAGCTCTCCTTAATTGACAAGTAAAGGCGTTAGGCAGAACAAAATAGACAGAGCGAACCTGCAATTCCGGTGCAGCGTTCTAACCAGCTGAGCTACAAGGAGACAGTTGTCGAGCTCTAACCACAACTTTATGTATATACATGGTGTCTCAGAAACAAGGAGACCTTTTAAAATTCACTGTATTGTTATAATTTGAATAGCATACGACTATGTGCTGATTAATTTAACCATAGGCATAGCCTGTCGAAGGGAACATGGCTGTGAAACTCATTAGAATAACAATATAACTCGTTATCTATGTTAGTCAACGTTTATTGTAAATCTGGTCCGTTGTATTTTTGCCCAATTAACCAAACGCAATGTTTTGGGAAAGTTACCTATCCGTGACTCGAGCAATAGAGTAAATTGGAAATTGCTATTGGTGGATTTGGCAAAAATACAATGCACACGTGACGGTGAAGGACCTGATTTATGAATAAACGTTGACTAATATAGATAATGGTATGCTATGGTATGGTAAAACTTCATTTAATGACGCTGGCCCCGACAGCAATTAGCTGATTTCCACGGGGGGCGTCAAATATTAACTATTTACAAAAAAGAAATATTTACATTATAAATGTTACTGGTGTGACCACAAATATCATTTAGCTATCATTACCTCTAATAATATTCTTAAATTGGCTAACAGATTCCGCTACCTTTGCATCAAACGGGAGGCTATTCCACAATTTAGCTCCACTATAATTGAAACTCTTTTTAAGGTACTCTCGTTTTGGTTTAGGAAGGGTTAAATCTGTTAGACTATTTCTCAGATCGGTTTCTCAGTTTAGCGAGTGTTTCTCAATATTAGAGACTCCTTAAGGTTAGCGCCGATGTAGCCATTCAAGACTTTGTAATAAGTTATATATTGTTATTCAGATGAGTTTCACAGCCATCATCCCTTCGATAGGCTATGATTTAACGCAGCGCCGCGTAAAACATTAAAAACTTATTGCTTTATGGCCAGTTGAACCTTTTTTACTCGAACTAATAGTATGACTAGTTTGACCATTTTTCTGTAGTTTTTCTCCTTGGCTTTATGCTATTTTATGCTGTTGAATGGTTGCATTTTTCATCTATAAAAAGAACCCCTTTACAATTCGTGCTCTATACAAGGTGTATAAAAAAAAGATAATCGAACTTCAGCGCGCTATTATACGTGAATCACTCGGCATATGAACAATTGGTTTTCATATTTGGAAAGATCAGGCTTTTACATATTGAATGACATGCTTTTCATACCAAGTGGAGAAAAAATAAGCATGTACGAGGCCGATCAAAAATGTTAGTCAAAATCGCATATTTTCACCTCTGTGCCTAATTAAAACAATGCATAACAAAAGAAAAAGCAATTAATCACTAACGTATCGTAGCTTAGCTAAGATCTATTCCTACTTAATAATAATTATGAATATGTGCGTAGTTTAATGAAGTGAAATTCATCAACTTAAGTACCAAAGGGAGTTCATTTTCAATGGTTTTAGACCCAACTCTCAACTGTGAAAATATGCGATTCTGACTAACATTTTTTATCGGATTCGTATTTGCTCATTTTTTATCCATTTGGCATGAAGAAGATATCATTCAACAGCTAAAAGCATGATCTTTCCGAATGTGTTAAAATCTCGTTCATACGCAGAGTAATTCGGATACAATAGCGCGCTGAAGTTCGATTACTTTTTTTTTATACACCCTGTATACCCTGCCCCCCCCCCCCCTTAGTATAAATGTCATACTCACGTTGAGAAAGATCATCTACAGTTACTTTGACAGATCTCCCTCGCCTTTCCACCACAACCTTGTGCCAAGCGTTGTCATTTAGACTTCCTGAAGGAACCCGCACTGTAATATTGCCTAAGATATATTGCACAGAGTCAGAGGTTTAAATTAATTCATTACTAGTACCAATGGTACAATGTCTATAGTACTGGGATTGGATCAAAATGAACTCACTTTACTTTAAAGCCATCTACATGTATCCACTATTTAAGTTAAAATATTTAAGTTAAAAATAGTGAAATTCGTACTATGGAATTTGCAATCTTGCATCGCTAAACCTATAGTATATTCATACTATATCCATAGCCTATGTAAATTGCAATTAGTATAGAAGATCCACACCATTTCCATAGCAAAGATTCCGAAAAAAATTCCAGTGTTACGACACTGTTGGAAAAAGTACTTTCTTTGGAGACACCATCCTCCTCCTTACAAATCGGAAAATGATCAAGATAGTGACTCTGATTGATTCACATATTGTATTGACATATAAGTATTAACATTGCTTTTCAGTCTTCAGTATTTGAGAAAGTCATGCTTTGGAAATGACAATAAATTCTTATTCCCCAACCCTTGAGTTGTTTTGTTTAGTTTCATTTACCCAACCTTTTACTCACTCAAACTTTTGTTTACCCAACCCTTTTCTCTTCGGTGCCATAAGCAATAAATATCTTGCAGTCCGGTCCTAAATGGATTCTATCACCTTACCAGATCCCAGATCAACTTCGAATACTATATTCCCACTCTGCAGTTTCAGTAGAATAAAGTCACGAAGACCACCTTTGCCGTACAAAAAGAGTCCGTCGGCTTTAGTCGTTTTAAATTCCAAGCTGATGTCATCGTTCGAACGTTTGATGATGTTATTTTTGGTGATTGTTCGTTCGATGAACGAGTTTCCATTTGGACAACTGCAAGCTGAAAAACAAAATTGTACAAATATTTGATTTTGGCTTCAGTTTCCATCGCTTGTTATCGTTCAATTTAAGCTACTGCTTCACGTTGAAAATTTGCATTGGGCATTGATCATACATTGCTCATATAAAATCTAAACAGAAATTAGCATGTCCTATTATTTCATTACTTAGCACACAACACACAGATGATTATCATGATTGCATGTAGGACCGTAATATAAGCCCACCGAACACAAGCCCTCCCCCGTATATAAGCCTACCATCAGGGACGTAACACATTTGGGCCGAAAATGGCAGCAATTTCCCGCACACGATACAAAAGTATACAAAATTTGCAAACTTTACAAGGCTATATTTTCCGCATTTCACAACATTTCGCAACCAAACTTTGCAATTTTACTCTTTTTAGTATTCTCTTTCTAACTGTGGTGATTTATTTGCATCTCCTTGACTAGCTTTAAAATTAGTCTATAATGGGAATTGTTTATTTGCCGGCATGCATTTTTGACACAACTGCGCAAGCATATTCTGCCAGGGGCGGAGACGAGAACAAAGGATACTAGGCATATATACGAATTATTACCACATACCTGTTTGAAACGGTTCTGTTATATTGCTTTCGACGCTTGATACATTTTCTGGCGATGTTCCGTTCTTGAAATATGTGACCAGTTGAAATCTATGCAAAATAAGTTTCAGTTTACAACTGAACATGTAGAGTGGTAGGCTACATATAGTACATTCTTCTACGCTCAATTTTTGGTACACACACATAACGCACAAGGTGTTACGAAACTGCTTGTTGCAAGTTTGGAACAAGCTGTTAGCAACTTGTAACAAGCTTGATGCCATTATCAGACTTGTTACAAGGTTGTTCAAACACGACGTTTTATAGAGTCATGATGTAACAAGAATGTTACAAGGTTGTAACAAAAATGTTATTGAACTTGTTGGAACAACCTTGTAAACAAGCCTGATAATATCGACAACAGGTTGTTATCAGCTTGTTCCATAGTTGTTGACAACTTGGGACAAGCATTGCGAACACAACTTGTTGACGGCTTGTTGGCAGACTTGCCACAAGAGATGCGAGATTTTTGCGTGTTTTCGGCATGGATAAAATTTTAAATAGGTAGTCCAAATAAGGATAAAAATGGTACGGGTACCAAAATTGAGCGTTTTTAGTGAACCCACATGTAAACTTGCAATACAGAGACCCTATTTGACTAAATCATAAAACCAACCTGTAATTTTTTTCTGCTTGCAATTTTCCATTACAAAATTTCTCCTTAGTTTTGATACATTTATCACCATCTGAGCCCACTGTAAAGTCGAACGTTTTCTTCATCCTTATTTTCGGTGTGCACGTGACCTTTCCTGTCATATACCGCTGTGCATAAGCACCGTTATCTTGCCCAGTGTTGACGTAATGCCACGATACTATATCGCGCTTCGTGACCTCTTTGTCTGCAAAATTATTGATTGAGTGTTATCGGGTAGACCTAACCAGGAAAAATGAAACACTAGGTCCTCTCGTAGGAATCGAACCTGTAACCCTGCGATTCCGGTGCAGCGCTCTAATAGTAACCAACTGAGCTACAGAGACCAGTTGTCGGGCTCTAACCACAACTTCATGTATAATATATACTAAGATGATGCCAATGTAAGGTATATAGGTTTATTTTGGGGCATAGTACTAATCGTCTGCTTAGTGTTTAGTAAACCTATCTGCAGTCGAACCCATATTAACGGACACCTCTCTTGAGCACTCCCCTTTAAAGTGGACACATTGGCGAGGTCCCGAAGGTGTTCGCCTAATAGGGGTTCTATAACAAACATACTTGCAGGGAGGTGAGTCCGGGATTGGACGCACCGTGGGTGGCTGGAGGAAAGTTTCCCGAACTCACCGAGCGAAATGAGGTGTCAGCATGTGGGTTGCTAGCCTGCTCACAGACGTTGTAGTTCTTACGCCAAGCGATTTCGTCGCTTGGCGTAAGAACTACAACGTCTGTGAGCAGGCTAGTGGGTTGCAAGATTTAACGCACCTCCTCGTAGCCAATAGGACAGCTGCTAATACGCTAGGTACGAGATAAGAGTGTATGCCCAATCTGTACTTACAGCCGGTTATGTTTTCAACTCCCTGTACAACGACTCCAATATGACTGATATCTGCCAAACTGACATTAATCATGGTAAACCTCAATTTTATTGTTGATGTAGTTCGTTTCACCGTTTCCACAGTGATGGGAAATGTCGAGCCAATGAAGACGAACACAGGAACGGGTTTCGAGGAAAATAATAATGGAGTTCCATGGTCTTTGGCTGAAATGTAGATCTTCCGTGCCAGCAAGGATGTTGCAGGTAAATGCTCTCTAGTTTTAAGTTCACCAGTCCTTAAAGTGAATGGAAAAAATATGGTTAAGATTTTTTCAGTATTGTTTGTCTTAATTTATTTATTCTTCTAGATAAAGAACTATTTTTTATTTTTACTCGAAGCTTTTCTTACATCCATTTTAGTCCATCCGGAAACTGGTTTTATCTTTACTCTTGGTATGTATATGAGCATGCTCATGAGCACACCGGATTTTGGTATGACTAAGTACTATTCAAAATGTCAAGATTTTAATAAGATTTTAAAATGTGCCTGCACAAATTCAAAAGGTGCCATGCTCGCACGCCTGGTTATCCAGTATGAATAGAGCTGGTTTTGCTCATTTATTTTCAATCTAACCTGCTATGAATGGTGAAGTAATGTTTATCTTGTCCCTTGACCATGCCATACGTAACTCTCCCATTCTCTCCATCATCTTTATCTATCGCTTGAACAGTTAGAACACTCATTCCCAGTTCGTGTGACGTCACCACGGTCGAGTAGTAAGAATGAGAGAATGTTGGTCTATTATCGTTCTCATCTCCCAGTTGGATTGTTACATTTACCATCGTTGCCAGAGATGTCCGACCTAGGTCTAGAAATAGATGCAGCGAGATAATTATTGACCTTATGTATCAGTTGAGTGATTCTTCACAACACATTTAAGGTAAAATATTGAGTTGCCTAAAGTTTTAAATTGAATGTACAGTATTGTGCTTGTACAACTTTATTGAAAATATTCTCTCAGGACATACGAGTTGATGCCCTTATTCGAGACAAGTCTGATCCTAATGTAAAATTCTGACCATTTCCAGCAGGTGCACGTGTGTCCTCAAAACGTGCAAACAAAAAGGTTGAGCTGGTATCTGTCATTCAAATAAGCTCCTGTTTGTGTCTAAACAACCAGAATTACTGGTTTGTTTCCAAAATATTTTGGCTGTTTAATCGATCTTCAAAAAGGAAAACCTGACTTTTCAATTAAAGGCTTCTATCCCAACCTCGCAAGCCAGGGTCTGACTTCTGAGTCCATCCTTACCTGCGCTTGCCATATAATGCAGCAAGTACCTATCTTTCTCTTCTCGATCCAGTCTTTTTGTGGTGTATATCCACCCGGTTCCAGGGTCTACACGGAACGGCATCTTCCCGTCCAAATTTTTAAACCAATACGTAACCTTCCATCGCTTGTCTGGGACACTTGCGTTCACTTGATATATGGGGAAACCAATGTCCACGCCTTCTGACATAAGCAAGGTGTACGAGTCTCTGGCAAATTTGGGTGTCTTGGGCACGCAGTCACGGACGTTGATGATAATGCTGGCAGTTCTCTCTGATCTCATTGGTTCTGGTTCACCGCTGTCCCATGCTGCCACAGTGATGTTGAATGTCGATTGCTAAAGAGAGTAAAAATTATGAAGTGTTGGTGAGAAAGTGGTAATTATTCGCACGTGTCCGGAGTTCGATTTGTGGAATACGGAGTTATGCGGTTGATAGCTTGATACAGGAGTGTCTGCGTGTTTGTAGTTGTTCATGTTTATAGGTCACATTGTCTAATGATTGGTCGATTTGTTTTGACGAGATTTCCATTGTCTGTTTAGTATGTGCCTATGTGGCGCAAGGATCGTCAGACAATATACAATATATAACAAAAGAACTTAACTGTAATTCCGTTTTAATGTGTCACATGTCCGGTAGACTAGTTGTTTATGTTTCACAATATCTTAGAGTAAAACAGACTGTATTGTGGTTATAATAAAAATATCGGTAATATCCTGTAAATATACGGCAAATTTTAGGAAAGAAAAGCCTTCATCTCTGTTACGTATGTTTTATTGAGTCTTGCACACATCGACTAAGTTCTGGTCTTGAATAACTTGGGCTTGGATAGATCAAATGGTACAAACAAAAAGTTAAGTACGCAGGTGAGAAGAGTATTGCGTACCTACGTGGTACGTGGCTGACAAAATAGAAGTACCAGAGCGTAATATTGGTGTACCTCCAGTCCGTAAGTACGCGAATTATCGCACCCTAGGCCTGTATTCTAACCTCGCTGTGTATTAAAGATTTCTTCAGAAACACAATTCCATCGGGTTCAAATGAGAAGGTCTCATTAAAATTCCCAGAAACTGCTTCGAAATGGACCAGACCGTTGCGACCTTCGTCCGGGTCCGTCGCATTAATTTTGAGAACTGGCGAGTTAATAATGGATGATATCCACACGTCTTGAGTGTAATGAAGTTGTGAGAATTTGGGATGGTTGTCATTGACATCCAGTATCTCCACGCGAAGTATCGCTTTGGCTAGAAGACAGGGAATGAAAAGAATAGTAAGAGATGGTTCTTCTTTATTCCAGCATATTGCCTAGCTTGCTGACTCGTTTAAAGTTGTATTTTGAAATGTTAGTATTTGTCTTTTCTTTAACGCTCTGCAGAATGACTTCTATATTATTTCTGAGAGAAAATATGTAGTCGATCTTGTTTGAGATGTGGCATTTTTTATAGTTATATAGAAGTTTCTTGTTCTTACCTGACAAGACGGTTGTTATGGATGTCGAGTCCGCACTTTCATAATCTGCTTTCACCGTCAATCTGTTTAAAGATGTTTAGAAACTTTTAGCGGAGCTTAGATGTGGAATGCGATATATGACGAGGAATTCCTGGACGTTAAAGCCACGGTCAAACGAGAATGAGGGTTGAAGAGAGTTGCAACTCACACGTTTATCCACCAACTCTCATTGCAGACTTTGAACTGGTTCAAATTTTGATGAGAGTTGATAGAAGTTTTTGCTATATGCGCGCACTAATATCCAGTCAACTCTCATCAGCTCTCATGCAACTCTTGTTCTCGTTTGACCTGGGCATAAGAGTTGAGAAAATTCTCATGCAAACTCTCGCTTCTCAACTCTCATCAACTGTCATGCAACTCTTGTTCTCGTTTGATCGGCAGGGTTTTTTTCAGGATTTTCTCTTGGGTCCGTTTTTGCAGAGAAGATTGAGTTTAGCTGAACAGCTGGGGTGGCTGCACCCCCCCCCCCCTACCGGGGGGCTGACACCTGTACTCAATAAATGTAGTTGAGACGGAATATGTTAAAGCAGGGGCACTAAGGGACACTATAAACTGGTTAAAGATGGCGAATGCATAGTTTTTCTTGTGTTGTGAGATGAATTCCAGCCATTTTTTCTTAATTGTCGAGCTTCCAACTGAAAACTAATTTCCACACGTCACGAATTTAACTCAAACAACTTCATTTTTACTGCACTGAAACTTTGGTGAGAAGATTGAGTTTCAAAACTCAATTCAAGATTGAGTTTTTGGGGCCGTTTAACGGCCCTAAAAAATCCCTGAAAAAAACCCTGATCGGGAAGCGTGAATATATGATGTCAACTTACATATAAACCTTGTGCGTTTCATAATCCAATACTTCATGTAGTGTAATCACTCCTGACGTTTCCTCCATCGTAAATCTCTCCAGTCCTCCCTCCAAATAATAATTAATTCCACCCGTAGACCTCTTCCGCTGACCAGCCATAACTTGAATACCTCCAACCCATAGCGATGCACTTGCTGTGAAAACGGTCTCAAGCAGCTCTAAATCCTCCTTAACTGTGATCTCATAAATATCCTGCTTGAAACGTAACCATTGTAGTAATACAACCACATTTGCAGGCTTGATCGCATCAAGTTCTGGGTAGCCGTTGTCATGGACACCAATCGTCAGATTATAGACCTCACTATCATACGGGATTTTACCCCTAGTCCTAATAACCCCCTCATTGTTTACCATAAAAACCTCATCATCATCTCCATCTAAAATCACATACGTCAACTCGCCAAGTTTCCCGTAATCGGGATCGGTCGCCGATACTCGTTGAACTTTGGTATCTAACGGTATCTGCCCGTTAAGCCGAACTTCGAACGAAGTTTTCTCGAAGACCGGCCGATTGATGTTATTTGGATACAGTACAATCCTTAACCGGCCTTTAGTCGTGTACAGTCCATCTGTGACCGTTATATCATAGTCATTTTTTTCCACCGCGTCTACCTTTCGTTTTTTTCCGAGTCGAACCTCGCCTGTGTCTTTGCTGTATGTAATAAGCTCAGATTGTCCTTTAATAGTATACTCCAGTTTCGATTGTAGACCAGTGTCGTTGTCCGTGGCAACCAGTCGACCAATCAGAGAACCCACAGATATATTGCTGGATACGCTGAATACAAATGGGGATCTCAGGAACTCTGGGGGATTGTCATTAGCATCGAGGACATTTATGGATATATTGAGCACACGGGTGACGTTTTCTTTCAAATTTTTTGCTCTGATCTCTAGGTTATATGTAGAGATGTTCTCGCGGTCGAGAGTCTTGAGTAAACGAATTGTGGAACCCCAGTTTGAAGTTAGTGGATAGAGACGGAATGTTTTATCAAGATTGTCTAGGAGAGAATTGCTGATTGTCAATGACTGAGTAGTGCATTTGAAACCAAAACTAACTTTATCTAGTGATAAGTCTATCAGTTCTAAATTGCTCTGCCTAGAGGTCTAGTAAGAGCCCAATTTATTGGGTCAGTGCTACTGTACTACTGGAGGACTAAATGTATTTATACTCGATAACTCTATCAGTTCTGAACTGCTCTTCCCCGAGCTCCAGAAAGAGCCCAATTAAACTCATTTTATAATGGATAACTCCATCACTTCTAAACTGTTCATCCTAGAGGTCTAGTAAGGGCCCAATTAAACTAACTATTTATAATGGATAGCTCTGTCTGTTCTGAACTGTTCTTCCTAGAGGTCCAATACGATCCTAATTAAACTAACTATTTATAATGGCACTAACAACTATGTCATTAACTCCCCATAAATAATGTTATATTGGTAATTATAATATAGTATTTGGAAATTCTGAACGCTGATTGGCTAAGAGCAGTGTTGATATAACTCAATGTCAACACGGAAACGTCGGAAAATTTCTTTCCTTATATTTCTTTGTGCTATATTATAAAACAAATATAAAACATTTTTTCCGTATTGATATATAGTTATATCAACACTCGTGGAAATTGGGAAAACTCGAAATTGTATGAAAACACTCCGCATTCAGGCGTCGTGTTTCCACACAATTTCTCGTTTTCCCAATTTCCACCCGTGTTGATATAACTGTATATCAACACGGAAAATGTTTTATATTTGTTAAATATATAATCAAAAAATATATTTATCTAAAAAAATAAGCTATAACAGAATACCTCTTATTATTTCATAGCTCATCATTTCCTTATTCCTTGTTCTGCTTTCTGCCGTGGCTTCAAACCGAAGCACTTCTTTTAAATATGGCGCGTCTTCTAACACATTAACGTGTCGTGCGCTCGTGAATTCAGGATATGCAGCTAAAAAATGAAGAGAATATTTATCTGTTATTATAGAGAATATTTAGCTTGTTATATAAGCAAGCAGGTGTTACGTGCGGAAATTGTTACCATTTTAAGCCGAAAATGGTAACGATTTCCGCTCGTAATACAAACATATACAAAATTTGCAAACTTTGCAAGACTATATTTTCCAAGCTTTACAACATTTCGCAACCAAATTTGGCAATTTTATTAATTTTATTATGTTCTTTTTAGCTGTGGTGTTTGATTCCCTTCTCTTTACTTAGATTAAAATTTAGTCTAACATGCAAGTTGTCCATTATATATCAGCCATATGCTTACCTATGATACGGTAAAGAGCCCCATACGTTTTCACTCCTAAATTTTCTGATGGTTCCAAGTCGCACGAGTGCAGTTTAGCGCATATAACAGAGAAACAATTGTTTTGATAAAAATAAGCGATGTTTCCTTGTTGACTGTTACATGCTTTGCGTAAACAATCCTTCATATCTTTTGTTGTATTTCCAAATCTATAGAAATTCCCCGCTTCTATACCTCCAAGAATCGTAACATCGTTTCTTATGGGCTGTGGCAGACATATTGTTCTTTTTGCTAAAGACGAGATTAGAGAGAAGCTTGTATATAAGTAGTCTACATTAGTACGGTGCTGCAATCGTCAAAACAAGCGCCTTTCACGTCTAAAATCATGGGTTCGACTCTCGCTGCGACGCTCTACCGAATAATGATGTGGGTTTTCTTTGGGTACTCCGGTTTCCTCCCACAGGAAATGTTGACATGATAGGCTGGGATAAGCACCGGAAGACTGGTTTACACTATCGAAGTTTCTGTGATCACAGTAGGAATTTTGCATAGGTATATATAAGTTTTGAAGGATTTATAAAAAATATTTGATGGAATTGACTCAGTGTTAAACACTTCCTGCCAGGGGACGTAGTGTTGCATTATGACATATCATCAATTGGATTATTAATGCATATCTACTCCAACAACAATATTTCTGTATTTACTTTTAGGGGCCAGTTACCCTTAGAAGTGCTATTGTGTGGACCCTTGGAAATTGATCGCCTGCCTGAAGGTACCAGGTATGTACTATATATCTATCATTATTATTATTTCAAATATTGATATTGTAACTGATAATATGGGAAAACTTGTACAGTCCTGGAAAATGGCTGGCAGCACCGCCGTCAGGAAATTGTCAACTAAATATCTTCGCAAGAAATTGTCTTAAACCTTGCAGGAAATTTTTGTCATCTTATATACTGGAATGCCATATAATTTACTTATTGTTTAAAAATTCCAAAAGTGTTTTGCAAATCGAGATTGTCTTGTACCGCGATTGAAGTTTATCACATTGTGCGACACCATACGTTCTCTGAAATCTACAGAAGTTTTATATTGGACTTACACAAGAAATCAGTTTTTATTTTCCGATTTTGCTGCCAAGAAGAGAAATGTATTTTTAATTTTTAGGTCTGAATTTGTGTTTACTAATATGTTCGCGTTATGGCGCAAACCTTTTGTTTAAGTCACCGGGCGCTACAGTCTGTTTTTATTTGCTGAAAAAAATACAGAAATCCCTGTAACGTTTGATGCATGCATGCTCCCTTCATCATGAGCGCTACTCAAAAGTTCCAAGTGTTTTCCATACTAGTCCGACAGATTTCTACCCGACAGATCTAAGTCCTTAGTAGTATTCATTACATGCCTACCTTGGCAAAGTTTGCACAGTAAGATAAAGAGGCCAACAGCGAACAAAAACCATCGCCGCCCTGCCATCACAAAGCCATCTTTGTTCACCATCATCGCAAATCTACGTGAGGAATTGTGTTTAATTGGCTAAAGTAAATATTAAAAAAAAATGCACTTTTCGCATTCGTATTTTTTGAATTTATGATTTTAGATGTAATTTTTAAAAAAGTGCTAAAACATATATGTTCTTTTAGGTGTAAACGTCATTAAGTAATTTCATATTATATTATTCATTAATTGTTTGATAATTATAGCAAGGCACTTTATTACCCAGCTTAACTGCGCATGCGATTCTAACTTTATAAGCCATTTGATCAATTGATCATTTTAGCTGTATACTATGTTGTGTGAGTTCTATTACTTTAAATTGTGCTAATCTCGTTATGAAAAGGTTGGACATAAAAAAAACGGAGTCGTGCCTCAGTGAATCCATTAGTGAGCTTTAAGCAAGCGACATTTTTGTCAATACGAACGTCACCTGAAAATTGGTAAGACTAATTTTGGCCGACGTGCAAGGAAGCAAAAAAATGTAATAGGTTTTGTTGTTGAAGATTAACACAAACTGACACAATCACAGTTTCTTATCCAGTCCCTCGCGGCATGATCTGATGTCCGTGTTGACACAACCTCGTACCCAGGGCTTTTGCGCTTATTGCGTCGCTTGCTAGGCTCCCTATTGAATAAATCGATGATTTCAAAAATTCAATGTTTGGCCAAGTCAAGCCAAGTATAAATTGATTTCGCCATATTGATCACAGAAAATGTTTTGATGTAAACCAACTCTTACTGCTATAATAGTTATGTAGTGCATGTATTTATCGTCCTGTATATATAAAACAAAGTGTTACTCTGTTACTCTATAGGGGGCTGTTCATTTTGAGCTCACGGGCTGTCCGGGTTAACCGGGATGATTCGTTTAATAAAGCTCTTATCACGGCTTTGACAAACATCCAAAATGACGTTTCAAGTTGAATTAGCTTAGTTTGATTCCAGTAACAGTGTTTAGTTCATTCAAACAATGTTTTATTGTCAGGAAAAAAATTTCGTGACACGATTCATCTAGGCTAGCCGGGCTGGCCCGAAGCTTAGAGCCACTAGATTTCCTCCCATAATAACATTATACCATGAAATATTAGTCTTTGACCGGGCAATTAGGGGGAAAACTTTAACAATGACAGAGTAAGTATCCAGTATACAAATAATGAATGTTTATGAGTGCAATGGTAAGAATATTTTCATGAGGTGAAAGATGGAATGTCAGTCCATTCAACGAGGCGACAGCCGAGTTGAATGGAACATTCCATCTTTCACCGAATGAAAATATTCTTACCATTGCACGAAGAAAGATTCATTATTTGTTTTATATAATACCAAAATACACTAATAGATTCGTATAAGAAGCATTTTGAGGGATGCGATTTATCGACGGAAAACACAAAGAGTGCAATTGTACTATACGTTTTATTCCATTGCACTCGCGGAGAGTGCAATGGAACATGTTCCATTGCACTCTTGGGAAATGGAATTTTCTATTCAATATCACGTGACCATAAACAGCCAATTAAATGATTAGAATTTAATAAGGTATTATATAATATAAAACAGTTTACTTACTGTCTTTAGGTTCCCTCCTGCACTAACAATATGCCATTACGATTTAAGGAATAAAACCTTATGCTGGACATATATAAGGGTAATTTGGAGATATCTATTAAGGAACTGCAGGCTGTAGCTATCCAGTATAAAGGAAGTTAGTTTCAAAAAATTGAACGTAACACATAGAATTAACAAAATGAGTACAGTGATCAGTACAATGTGTACAAAAATGAAGAGTTTTGGTAATGATAAACTTATACCAATGGCAAACAGAGTTAAAAGTCGACAATGCTTTGGTGGTCGCGAGTGTGTCGGTATAGCCAGGCAGAGCTATTGTGGTTTGTGCCTGAACTACCTGAAAAAGATACACGTCGATGTATTGAGAGGCGGCGAGTTTAGCCCGCAGGTTAGCTCGTTAAACGTCAAGCTTATTTTATCTAATTCTTCAGGTAGTGCAGACACAAACTTGCTGAATTCCTGTAAAAAAATGAAGTTTTTGATAAACTTATACCAATGGGAAACAGATTTAAATGAACATGAGTATCTCTGAGCAATGCTTTGGTACATATATACAACGTGAGGGTCTTCTGTCTGTGCACAGGCTATAGTCGCGAGTGTGTATATAGTTAGCAAGGCAGAGCTATCGTGGTTTGTGTCTAAACTATCCGAGAAAGATCAAATAAACCTCGATGTATTGAGAGAAGGCCTTTAATGTGAAGGTTACCGACCAAGGACTTAATTCGAAATATCCAAGTTTTTTATCCACTTGCTATATAAGGAGTAAACTATTCGCTGTCAAAATATGCGTTTCTGTTCCTTAGTTTGCACTTTGGTAACCAATCCTACACATCTTCCATCCTTTCCCATATATTACATCCATAACTAACAAAGATTACTGCTCTAACTAAATATCAGGGGTATCAATCTCTTTCACATCAGATAAAAAGCCAGACACTAAACCAACACTCCTGCTAAGTTTAAACACAATTAAACTGTTTACCTTTACTACTTTTTAATCTTCGCCAGGAATTCCCATCCTTTTTCCTTTATAACTTGACAAACTTTTCTTCTTGGTGTAACGAGTCTTCTTTCATTTAAAGTTATCTATAAGGTATGGCGGTATTCAGTGTAATCGATCCGGAAACTGACTAACATTCAACAGACAGATGGTTTAGAAATGTTCAAGCAAGTGATTAGCCTTACAAAATTTTTCGCTACAGATAAAAGCAGGGCCATGCAGCGAGGGTACAATGACTTGAAATCTATGCAACAACAAAAACATCAGGGGGCATATGAACAAAGTTTATAACCAACTATATTCCCAATAATAAGCAATAGCAATAGGTAGAGCGGCGGTCTAGATACCCGAAGATACGAGTTCAAATCCCGCTCGAGCCAACGAATTTTTCGATGCTCGATTGCAGTGTCAGATTAATATGAAACTAGTTTTTCGTATCTCTGAGGATGGTTCTGAAATATCCTAATGAGACCTTGGGGGTGCACACTGAGTCCGAAATGCCGACAGACATACACCGTTTATGCACAGACTTCATAGATACAGCCAAACGTGGTCTCATGTAAGACTGGTAACTGGTTTACATATGCACTATCAAATTTTCTGTAATCACAGTAGGAATTTTGTGTCGATAAATTCTAAGTTTTGAAAGATTTGTAAGAAATGTTTGGGGGAACTGACTTGGTGTTTAACAGCAAATCTAACGGAATTTGCTTTGTCATGATTTGTATATATTGCGCCATCAGAAAAACGAGTTCATGGCAATGAATGACCAAATATGATCGACCAACTCCTACAGAAGTTCACTGCGGGACTTTGTTGCGGTCGCGCTGACATTCCGACTTTTCAATTATTAAATAACGGGCTTAGTTATTCTGGATTCTGGATTCTTTATCAATTCTGTAATTGTTCTCCATAGAGGTTCAGTAAGACCCATCACGCGAGGGCCATCTTTATTGATCAAGTGTTATATACTGCAGGAGGAAATATAAACTATTATAACTAATTTTATAACTGATTCTGCATATAGCTCTATCAGTTTTAATAACACTGTTCTTTCTAGAGATCCAGTAAGGGTCATCTCTTAGCGAACCTGCTTAAGTTCAGATTTGACTACCACTATACTGCTACCTCTCACTGGCTCTGATTGGTTAGTTGAGTATATTAAACGCGTCTGATTGGTTAATATAGCAACGGTAGTGGAAATCGAATCTGAACTTCTCTATTATAAGAGGGTCTGAATGGGGTTAACTGACTACTGACATTTGCCTGAATTTTTGACTGACAACTGACAAAATATCTGACAACTGAGAAATAACTGACAACTGAGAAATGATGAAAAAATGATGAGTCAGCTTTTTTGCAGTAACTGACTACTGACAGCTTGCAATATATCGCACTGACAACTGACAACTAGCTTAAATTTTAGCTGACAACTGACACCCAAAGACCCCCATTAAGACCCTCTTATAAGAAGAGAGTGGTAGAGTCAAACGGGAGGTGCTCTTCTTCACATGTGACTATCGTGCATGTACCAAAAGGCCCTGGGGGCGAGGTTGGAGAAGTGGCACCCCCGATCGCAGACGTGAATGACACGTGCACCGCTGACCATTATGTCACACACACACACCGCCCAGTTTAGCAACTGCCATCTTGAATGCTGAGTAAATGCATTGCAAAGAAAATGAAATAAAAGAAGTTGTGCAAATTTGAGCGTTATATTTGTGGTCAATATAGGTTGGAGAAATATTTTATTGCAACATATATAAGCGTCAGTTTCCCGCCCATTTTCTACCAGACCAGATTATTATCCCGCCTACCAAACTTCTTTTATTGTCAATATCACGAATGCACATGATATAAGTTGCGTTCAATCTCCTGTAAAGGCCATGTTACATGCAGGAGAGGGTTTTTTATAGATGGAAATTTCGATTGTAAATTATATACAGAGTCAGTAGACATTTTTTGCTGACACCAAATTTGATGGCCGGCAATGGAAACTACTGTCCACCTCGATTTCAAGCACTTATCTATAATGGATTACAGCATGTCAGCATCCACAAAAGTTTCACTACAAAAATTGCCTCGTATGGTAATATGACCTTAAGCGTGCACACTTCATGACTGGTTTACATTACAAAAGTCTGAAAAGTTTCTCTGATCATTGTTACATCCTTTATCAAACTTTGATAAAGAAAATATTTGAACAAAAATTGTGTGTTTGAAAGACGTTTATGCCTATATAATATAAATTATTTTGATCAAATTGATCCTATACACTTACTATTTATTTTATAAGTTTATAGACCAATCTACTCTCCAGAGCTAGGCTATAATAATTAATAATTGCCTTATCATTTCAACATTATGCACGCATAGCCCCAAAAATATTTTTCAATTTCTTTTGAATCGATTCAATTTTATTCAGAATTTTAAACAAAATTTGTAAGTTTCTGCCTGTTGTCAGAATCAGCAGATATTTTTTTGCGGACACCAAATTTACTGGCTGGCAACGACAAGTACTTATTTACAATGGATTACATTGTCCGTCTTGTTATATCTTGTGCACTCCAGCAAATTCAGGAAGTGTCTATTACGTCAAGGCTATATGTGTATAATGGTTATTGGATGAGAGCATTGAAATGAATAATATAGCAGGAAAGCTACCTCCAACCGGAAATTTGAAGCCAAATTTCTAAGTCCTAACACTAACAACAACACTAACCCCAACACTATAATCCTGAACTAAAGCGAATTCTGAGATTAAATTTATCTTGAAAACCTCCCAGCCCTCGTCCATCCTTTCAGCATGACCATAATGGTACCCAGTATATCTGCAAATGTTCAAATTCAGTTCACTGATTTCAATCTGTTCATTGACCAAAGTTTACTCTGGACTGATATTAATATTGTATTTGAAGAAATTTTCTGGATCATATTGTCTCTTCACTTTACGAAGTCTTTCCATTACTTCCTCACTCATTTCCGTGTCCACTTTCATTTTGAAAGGAGACAAACATTTGATGGTCTCGTCAAGCCAGGCTACTGCTTCACGTTGAAAATCTGCATTGGGCGTTGAACATACATTGGCGATACAAAATCTAAACAAAAACAGAAATGCCTGTCGTATTATTTTATTAGACAGGTTCAGATTCAACTTCCACTACCGCTACCTTTGACGGCTCCATTGGTAGCGGTTGCGATGGACTGTTTAGACCTGTTCAGATTGGACTTCTCCCGACGACCATAAATCGCTTTGTTACGGTCCCAAAACAAAAACATGCGACGATTTCCTCACGCTCTTGCAGTTACTGCGCATGTGTAACACATTTAAGGTAGCGGTAGTGGTAGCGGAAGTCAAATCTGAACCTGTCTATTATTTAGCACACGACACACGAACGATTACAGGACCGTAATGGGGGGGGAGAAAGTTTAAAGTTATTTCCCCCAATTTTTGCCCGAATTACGTTTATAATCATGCGATTCCGAATATAAGCCCATTCGTGTATAAGCCCATGGACTTATTATTGGACAGGTAGTTATTAACGCAGCGATGGGGATTCCAACAGCTCAGACGAATGACGATAATTACATTTAACAATTATAATATAGCATTTGCAAATTCTGAACGCTGATTGGCTAAGAGCCGTGTTGATATAACTCAATGTCAACACGGAAAATTTCTTTCTTTATATTTCTTTGTGCTATATTATAAAAAAAATATAGAACATTAACACGACGCCCGGGCGGAGTGTTTTCACACAATTTCGAGTTTTCCCAATTTTCACGAGTGTGGATATTAACAATTATTCGCCGAAGGCAAGGTGATTATCGGGGAATATTCGCCGAGACGAAGTCGAGGTGAATATTCCCCGATAATCACCGAACCTGAGGCGAATAATTGTTTTAGTATTTTTACACAAGTCTTTTGTGTTTTTTGGCCTGAATTTGTTTTAATTTCGCTTATTTCTTTATCAGTAACTTCCACAAAACGGCTAGCCGCTATTTTGAAAATTTCGGTTTTGTTATATTCACCTGTAGGTGAATATAATTAACGGCTTAATACGTCAAATTTGACCAATCAACGTATACTGATTTGTTATGTTCACTTGTGCAAAAATACTAAAACTGTATATCAATACGGAAAAATGTTTTAAATTTTTTTATAATATAGCACAAAGAAATATAAAGAAAGAAATTTTACGACGTTTCCGTGTTGACATTTGAGTTATATCAACACGGCTCTTAGCCAATCAGCGTTCAGAATTTACAAATGCTATATAATACTGTAATCTGTATGTTAACCAACTTGCTTTATTATTTGTTATATACTGTATTTCCCTTCGTTCATGGTATAGTTTACAGGTACATAAGTATTATTATATACTAACACCAAATGTCGTATATAAGTCTCCCCATATACAAGTACCCCCATGTACAAGCTTGCTTAAAAATGTCCTAACAAACAAAATCACTTTAACATGGAAAAAGTGTTTAAAGTTTCCGGAGGCTGAATTTGCCTTTTAAAGGCGCCGATTTTCTTCTTGTGATGGATGTGAACGAGTGGATAAGTTATGAATGTTCAGATGAGGGTACATACACTCAGAACATCCGCAACTCATCTGCTCGTTCACATCCATCAGAAGACGAAAATCGCACTAGAAATCGGAGCAAAAATCGCAAGTGTAAACGGGCCTTCAAATGTTCCTCAAAATGACTATGGTCACAAACATAGCGTTTTCCCTCCAGTAGCTTAGCCAGCCCGCCAGCTGCTCCTTTTACTGTTCGGAGTACTCCGGATTTTCGGAACACTAATGGAATGGAACAGAAGAGAGTCACATGACTGTTCTGAACTGTTCTGACTACCCCGATTTTCGAGTGGGGCAGCCAGAACAGACACGTGACACTGCCCATTTTCACGTGATTGGAAATGGAGGCGACATATTTTGTGTATCCAATGCACACCAGGTGATCTCGTGTTCGTATTTTAGCCAATCAGCGCTCAGGAAGGGTTGTCCGAATAGAAATCCATTTTGATGTATTCAGTCAATTATATCTTTCGTTATTTTTTATGAAACTAGTTGAAATTTTGTACTTAAGTTTGGTTATGAGAACTATAGCTCTGACAAAAATATGGAATCGAAATAAACTATATTACAGGAGATATCCAGTTGTTTCAATCATAAAATGGATTTCTATTTGACAACTAGTGCCAGTACTTTTCCGCGTATCAAAATCATCTGGCACTGTATAGCGGAGCGTTATTTTGAAGGGTTATAACCGCTATATTTCGACATATACTAATTATATGCTATTTGAACGCCAGGGTTGGGCAAAATCAACGAGTAAAAACGTTGCAAAAGCATACTTAGATGTACAAATAACAGCGAATCATTATACGCTTTATTATGCGAATAACTAATTAATATAGTAATGCATGGTTGCACGCATATAGATAATAAACTAAAGACTGTTCCAGAACACCGTGTGCACTCCGTTTTATATCGCTTCAGAACAGTGTTCCAAATGTTCTAGAACAGTAAATGGAGCAGCAGCTGCCTGCCGATGATTTGGTCCCGCTATGCAAATATTTTCGTCGGTTCATTGACTGTGAAAACAATCATTTCTAAAGAAATGAGTAATGATAATAATTTTGAATTTGCATAGCGGGACTGAATTGTCGGGCTCGCTACGCCAATGTTTCCTTCATGTATATAGGCCCATTTCCACTCCGGAAAATTTTCCGCAGAAAGAAAATTTTGTAAAATGTGATTGGCCCGAAACAAATTTAACGGCGGAAAAAATTTTGAAGTTGAAAAGTTTCCGCTTTTAAAGGCCCATTTCCACTCAAGAAAAATTTCCACGGACAGAAAGTTTTCCGAAAATGTCATTGTTAAAAGATGAAATTGATCAACTTCAAAATTTTTTTCCGACGGAAAATTTGTGTCAGCCAATCAAATGGTACAAAATTTTCTTTCCGCGGAAAATTCTCTTGAGTGGAAATGTGCCTTAACACAGTGATATTTTCGGAAAATGTTCTGCCCGCGGAAATTTTTCTTGAGTGGATGTGGGACCAGAACTGGAAAAAAGTTTGTTGTTCGAACCTATTTCCAGAAATGCTCAGAAATACCTTAAGAGAAAACCCCATTCGATATTGCGATTGGAACGCGAACTAATTACCGTTAAATTTACAAAATTACTGCTCAGAATTACTGCTCAGAACTAATCTTAGGGCGCTTTCCATTAACACGGCCAGAATGGTCAAATTGTTGAATTGAACACAAAATGTTTCGGCTTCTCACCTATCTGACCGAAAAATTTAGATAAAATTAGAATGAGGTCCATTTTCGCCAGATATTTGAGAAACATAGACCAGATACTTCCATGGGATACAGAGACAAAAATTCGGATCTGAACGGTCAGGCCATAAAATGGAAAGCGCCCTTAGTATACATATTCTCACAATTATAAATGAGTGTTATTTATATAAGACTCGCCGTCCATTTCATATTTTATCACGCGTTTACAAGTGGTTTATATTTTCTTTTTGATCTATAGCCAGAGCAACAGTTTTCACCAAGTTTATAAAGTGACAAGACTACAGCTACTGTGAGTAAGGCAGTCACAAATGAAATGACCATTGATCTTATGTAAATGTTTTTGGCACTCACGTTCATGCTGTTGTCGTTGTTGTTGTTGTTGTTGTGGATGTTGTTGTTGTTGTTGTTGTTGTTGTTGTTGTTGTTGTTGTTGTTGTTATTGTTGTTGCCAGTAGTAGGGTTGTTCTTATTGCTAGTTTTATTGATATTTTCTGTGCCTGTATCCAACTTGACGAGCAGCCATTTAGCGTAAGAACCCAAGAGCCCAGCAGCTACTCCCGACTCGTGCGCAGAACAGCCGTGACCAACAACCACATCCACCAATAGCCTACGCATGCTCCTAAATGATCCTACATTTCTTCGATGACCCATGTTACCCTCGAGTACAGATCTTCTTTTTTCCCCATCACCCTCGTCATCACCATTCAAGTTTCCGAAACACCCAACCGTCCTTTGCCAACTCAAAACATTCCCAAGCCTTTTCAAAGTCAGGAACTCCTCGTAACCATGCAAGGCACATACAAAACCCTGTTCCATGTACAAGTCCCTATTATATTCCTTGACATTCGGCTGTTCTAATGCTCTCATCTCCTTCATAATTCTAACACAACGATTCTCTATTAATCCGTCCACATCGTAGCCCAAGTGATCTTTCAGAACCTCTGAATACTTTTCCTGACATCCATGTATCACCGCGAGGGTTAGGAATAAAATCTGGTGTGTTGGACCGTAATCCACTTGGGTTTGATCCGTAATTGCATTCACACATACCGGAGTAAATATACACTCTGTATGGTTGGGGTTGGACCCCAAGGCTTCGGACATGCACCTATCTGAAGTGGCTTCATCCCATGTTGCATTTTTGCCCTTTAGTTTGAGGCCGGCTTTGACCATGGGAAGTTTACGATCTCCAAAATCTTTGAAAAATCTCCAAGGCTTATCCACTATATCTTTGAATCTATCATAATACTCTTTTGATTGTTCTTTTATTGACACCTGCGCTCGGTTATTGATGGAGGCAGCCTGCTGTTTTAACTTGCTAAGCTTTTGGTAAATGTACTTTGTTTCAGCAGCTTTCCAAAACGACTCGTCGTGTTGGGTTAAAGTTAAGGCTAATGCTCCCTCGGCTACACGTAATCCGAAAATAGCATCAAGGTTGACTTGGCTTATCTGTTCTTCGTAGAACGATAATAGTCTTTCTATCGCATAGATAGTTTGGTTAAATGCTTTTATGTAGGCCATTTTGGTTGAAGGTTGGTCTGTCTTTGGTATACGAGATGTTTCCAAGGTTGTACACCAAAGTAGGAAAATGAGGAAATTATATAGACCCATAGTTATCTATAGTACGAGGTTATATACAGAGCTGACGTATATTATAAATCCACTGTAAAAATCTTCTCAGAAAGGTCGATTGCTGATCAGCCTTATTTAGTCTCTGTTAGATGTATTGAATCTATGTATTAAAGAGACATAGTTAAATCATGCGCATCAGAGCAGCATGACGTGTCTATCAATCCAATAAAATATTAAACCCTCTTGATGAGATTCACTGCTTGGCAATAAAGTCCAAACAGCGCTCAGCCTCGGAAATGAATATAACACGTTAACTGGTAGTCAGTCTCTGTTAGATGTATGAAAGTTTACACAAAAATAAACGCGTGATCACAAGCTTATATCATCAGCAACAAAAGCTGACGTGTTCGGTATTTACCCAAATTATACACGATATTACTTAATAAAACGTCCCGACACGGATTCAACTTTGTGGCACGAAGTCCAAGACAAAGTAGCACTGGTCTTCTGAATCAATATGTGGACGTACGGTTCATCTGTTCAGTTCCTTTCAGCTGCAAATGAGTAGACTAGTATTTGAAGCAAATTTAGTGTAATTGTCGCTGCTCTACGCAGCATAAAATCCACAATTTCCCCAGACTAATTGCTCTGTGGTCTTATATGTTGACAATTTATTTCTTCACTACGCAATGAATTTCTGTAGAAAGCGATGGAAGTTGCAATTGTCAATTCACTCAATTGAGGCCAATATCAAGACTTCCGCTTTCAGCTCTCAGCTTTGTCACCCACAGCTTGCCTGATATTATGTAAATAATATTATAACCACAAAGCGAAAGGTGACGTGTTGTTATATGAATCCCTTCTGCTTATCTCAAATTGTGCTGTATCCCACGTTTCTGCACTGATATGAAGCAGTAATAATTCCTTGAATTAGATCACTGTTATGATAAGAGAAAAGATAAAATACTTGAATTCAGATGATGTATAAAAAGGTCAATTGCACTGCATTGACTGTGGATTGACTGCAAATGGTTCCTCTATATAATTTGCCAGAATAATCGTAGTAGTTTAATCTGTTATATACTCCGCTGTTTGTGGCAGTGTCACTCCAATTGTTCCTCACAGATCGTGTATGGTTGACATCGTCAAATATCAGAAATTTCAATTGAATTTATAAACTCTCGTTTGTTGAATGCCAAGTATATACTGTCTGTACAAAATCTGTACAAATCCTTGAACAAATCCAAGAACAAATCGTTGTTAAGTATAATGATCAATGTACAAAAATTCTTCTGTATAGCATGTCAGCACATTTGTTTCAATGTTTTCTTTAATTGTATTGAAATATCGAACCAATATAAACGACTGATATAAACACGCGGTTTAATTAATATGCCTAAAATAGACGAATGTCGTTCAAGCAATAATCTTTATTAGTGTTAATAGACGACACTTCTTCACAAAAGTTAATACACCAGTACAATATCAAAGGTCCAAAATGCTTCCCTACTGCATTGTGTTTAATTAAACGACATAGACAGGACAATCTATATATCAAATCAAACCGCAAAAATCTTTCTCGAAATATCATGCAGATTATATTACGTTTAATTACCGGATATTGCAATCCCAAGCAATATTTTATTGGTTCGTCGAGAGATAAATGCCGCTTTTTGTCAAAATGTTTGCAATATAATTTTTTTGTGTACTTATAAATTTTAATATTCGCATAATGGCAATAACCGTGCGGTGTGGCGAATTAGTCATAAAATGGGATAAAGGTGATTAGCATGCATGTGTCACGAAACTGAAAAGTAGTTAACCGATTTGCGGCTACGTTTTGCTCAAGTCATCAGTCAATCTTGCAGGTGGTTTTTAGCCCCCGTTATAACACGATTCGCTTTTTACGATATTAAGATACGCTGTTCATGAGTATGTCTGCCCACAAAATTTTCCCCTTTAACAGTTTTCGTTTTATTTCGTCATATTATCGCGATTTTAAGTGTTAAATTCGATGTTTTGACAAGCGAATCCCGTATGGTGTAACTGAGGCCTTCGTCAGTCAAAAGTTGTTTTCTATAATTTTGTGTGTGTTGGTGTTGTGTACTCAGGTGAATATGATGTTTGTGATGTTACTCTGAGTGTGCATTCACTGCACCGGGCAAGCTGAAACGTTTGCCTGACCACGGTGGGAATCGAACCGCGACCTTTGGGATACTATATAAATATAGTTGTTTTCTATATTTACAGATTCCAATTCTACATTATAGTACTAGTTAAAACATGAGCAGTCGATCTTTATCTGACATACAAACTCGAGCCGAAGGCGAAAATTTGTATATCAGATAAAGATCGGATGCGAATTTTAAAGTAATTTTAAAAATAAACTAATTGTCTAAGCCGAGAAAATCAAAGCTGAAGTTTATGTAAATCAGGACAAATCTTTGTCAATCAGGACAAACCTTTGTCTGATTTACAAATATTGATTAAACATTCATTTATTTTGTATTTTCCTCATGAATTATTGAGTTTTTTTAAAGTAATATACAGTTGTCTTGTATTATTTCTCATAAGTTTCCGACCAAATACTGCATTGAGTTGCCTCCAGGTATTCCGGTTTCATGCAAAGATGCCCCAAAAATGGTTCCAAAAATGGCAGATTTGCGAATTGTGCTAGACCTTCCCGACTCTCGCCAGCATCGCGGAAGCAAAACAGGGGCTAGGCTGAGCGGCAATATCGACATACTTTACCTTGCAGCTCGGTACAAAAATGGACTCGAATTCTCCGGTAGCTCACTATAAGCGCCTCCCGTAGTTAAAACATAGCAAGCACTTCCTGACATCTTTTCCACCGAGGGCAATGCATTGTAACGACCAATTAGAACGTCTATTACTTCATTTGACATTTCTATATGATAGGGAGAAATTAGAATCACACGTTGTTTAAATCTCAGGGGTTTGCCTTTATTCACTCTGAATAGCTCTACTAGTTTCGTCGAAATTGTTCTCTCCAAAGGTGCTCCCATATTAGGGCCATTTATACGGGACAAAATAAGTTGCGTCTTACATAAGAAGCGTCTTATATAAGCTGAGTTATCGCATAAATGGTTCTCTACGGATTTATTCTTATTTACTTGCTATAGCTATAATGTTGTTTCGGTTGTTTTTGTTCGAATATGCAAGGCTAATAATTTTACGTTGTTTCAAGTTTCGGGCATGTGTAGTTAGAATTTTTGTCTAAAATTTCTTATTTAAGACGCGACTTAAATAAGAACAGCTACAAGTCCTGTTCTTATGTAAGACGCGTCTTATTCAAGACGCGTCTTACATAAGAATTTTGTACCTTTTATACGACAAACTCGCGTCTTATTTAAGTCGCGTCTTATGTAAGTCGCGTCTTATTTTGTCCCGTATAAATGGCCCTATTGATCCAGTGTTCAGGGTTCGAATTAGGGGCTCGCTATGTAAATTCGCTTTTTGGGAACGCAAAATCATCCATTTTGCGAATGACGTTTCGAAAAAACAGCGGGTTGATTTTCACAATCACTTCGAATGTATTTTACTATAATGTAAGATATAGAGTATTTTGCTGACTATTATTGTAATTTTGTACTGAAAAGATGTGTGAAATTAAGAATATGGCTACAATTTCTGCAGAAAATTTACGTAATTCGCTACGAAACGACCGCCATTTTGTTTTTTGCAAGCAGTGTTTCCACTTTTCAAAACTAAAATTTCCTTAAATCTTCAAAAAGGAAATTTGCGAATCGATGTTTCCTGTCTAATTCGAACCCTGGTGTTACTACATGTGGAAACCTAAACTATACTAACTTTATTTCTACTAGATAGCTCTAATTCTAATGGACCTTTCACCTTTTGACTAAAATTTAGATCTCAACAAGTCTAGACAAAAATTTTATCACAGCTTGAAAGAGCATCACAAAATTAGTAATATTCCAAAGTTTCATTGCGAAATGTTGTAAAATGCGGATAATATAGCCTTGCGAAGTTTGCCATTTTCAGTCATTTTGTATTACGCGTGGGAAATACATACCTCCTTCGGAAAAAGGGTATGTATTTCCCGTTTGTAATACAAAATGACTGAAAATTGCAAACTTCGCAAGGCTATAATATCCGCATTTTACAACATTTCGCAACGAAACTTCGGAATATTACTAATTTTGTGATGCTCTTTCAAGCTGTGATAAAATTTTTGTCTAGACTTGTTGAAATCTAAATTTTAGTCAAAAGGTGAAAGGTCCATTCACACGCACCTTTTCTATGACCAAAAGTGTCGTGATCTGATAAAGGGTAGGTATTATAGTTTCTGTGATATCATGTTTATATCGGTGTGCGGTATATAAAACCCGGTCATGAGCGTATTTGATTAGAAAGGAAAATTAGTGTTATTATGACTATCAATGAAATGAGTATATATGCTTAGAACGTGAAGATTGTGTGAAATACTTAGGGTATTGATTAATGGTAATCTCATATGGCAATATACCATCCACATAACGACGGCAAAATAAGCATTATTACCTCCGCAGGAGAGGAGGATCTATAGGGGTATGTTAAGGTGATCTTGGGGCGTGCTAGGAGGATCTAGAGCATGCTCGGCCGGAAAATTTTGTAATCTAGAGATTCTGAAATAATCGCATTTCCTGCGTTCTTGGCCTGACCCTTGAAAACCAGACGAGTTGTGGTTGAACAGCATGTATTTATTTTAAAGGGAAACTCTTACATACATTCCATTCCATCTAAGTCTACAATACGTTTCCCTTAGCAACCACGTACTGACGTGCGCATTTACTCATTCGGTACCGCAGCCATCCTTGCTGAATGCTTATCCCAACATTTCACAGCAAAGGGGCGTGTTATCTCCGTGGAATCGCAGAGCGCCATATAGAACCCTTTTTTTTTATGCCACTTGATCGTAACCGTATGCTGGTGCCCGCTGTTTTCCGTCGTAACCACGGTAACGTTGCCACCAGATTTGATTATGGTCACTTCGTCTTTGTCCAGTATGACTTCGTGACGATGACGACCAACTTTTGTTAGATTCGTAGAACTCCCAGTTCGTAAATCTGTATCGGTGTTTACCTCTGGTGGATATTGTCCACCATCTTGTCCTGACAATGGATCTCGGAAAAGGTTCGCATGCTTCTTAGATTCCATCAGGAAATCTCCAACAGCCTGTATCTCTTTCCACGCCGTGCTTCCTTCAACATGTATCGGCATAATGGGGTACCTGTGGAATACGAAATATCGACGTAAGGCTTGGCTATATCAGTCCTATAATGTTGTATCTAGAAATTCAACGAAAGAGCCATTCCTTATTGATCCAGTGTTGAAACCTAAACTAACTTTTTAAATTTGATAAACACAACGAAAGAGCTACTTTTTATTTATCCAGTGTTGAAACCTAAACTAAATTAACTTTTTAAATCTGGTAAACACTCTGACTGATTTTATGTGAAACTAACTTTATTTACACCGGATATTTCTATCAGTTCTAAGCTGCTCTTCCTAGAACTCTATAGTGTTACCATAGATATCTTATATACACTAGATAGTGCATCTAATTACTCTGCAATTAAAAAATTGAAGCCATGATTGCAGACTCAGGATATTCCCATGAAATGAAAAGATTCGTATGTTTTCTATTTCTTAAGCAGGGAACTTAAACATTAAGATAAACCTATTCCAAATACACTTTCAAACTATTCAAATGATGAAAGTTATTGTTGTTTTTTAAGCGTTTATTAGCGAGTGGGAAACTCCAACATGGCCGCCATCTATTCCAATGGGGGTAACCGCTGGAATATTTTTGGCTTCAATTTTACTAACAGAGATGCGCTATCTAGTGTATATAAGATATCTACGAGTGTTACCATATAAGAATTATAAATTAACTTACTTTATACTGGATAATTATATCAAATCTGTTCTAAACTGTTTTCTGTGGAGGTCTAGCCACCGGAAGAAGGTGCGAAATTTGGTAAAGTCAAACTGAATCGTCCCCCACCTAATATTTGGGCCACTGACCCTCCCCCCTCCCCCTCACCCTAGGTTAAATCATCTATCACTATACCTTTGTCTAAGAATGCCTACTCCTGGAATATCGGGCAGGAAGATTCGTACACCGGAGGCGCGAACCTGTCTCACTTCTCCGGTCGGGTCTAACACCCCTACCAAGTCTTTTGTCGTGTCAGCGGCGTCGACATTGGTTTCGTTTCCCGTGAAAAACCTATTGGGTGTAATATAATAGATTTTGCTGTTGACACCATCATAAGCTTTCGTTTTCGTTTTTCCGCCATTGCGGCCGTCGGCAGTCACCGTTTTTCCATGGTCGAGGCGTTCGTCTCCCTTGTAAGTGAGGTTGTGTGGGTTCCAATTGTTTAAGGGTGTGAGGTAGATAATTTCTAGTGGTATGGCGTACGAGACTTTCTGGTCGTTTTGCGTGCATGTTTTGTTTCTGTCGGGTCCTTTGCAAACATTCAGTTTCAATCCTGTTGAAAATAGGATGAGTTTATCGAAGGCTAGTTTCTTACAATAACCTACTTCTACCGATAAAACCCACAATGCGCCCCTAAATTTGCCTAACATTCTTATTTTATTCCATTTAACGCCAGATTTTGCATTTCAAACGAATACCAGACTTATTTCTCTTGTTAACCCATTAAGCAGTAACTCGCCCTACTTTATTATTTTACTATCCCTATGCCAGAAGATATTGCTATCCGGAAATGAGTAAAACGCGTTGGGTAGACCCAACAATCAGAACGTTTTGTCTCTCTGCCAGTCCTTGTCTAAATGACAAAAAGATCACTTTGCATTTTATGAGGTTCGCGAGATCTCTTTAATATGTTTTGTCTTTCATTGCTAAACTTAGAGCTTTGAAAGTTTTTGTAATATACTTTAATCTCGTGTTATAGTATAGGCCCTCCCTTTTTACACCTTGAGGCTCAAGAAATAATCGATCACTGCCAAAATAATTCAAAACAACGCGTCGTTGTAAAGTCACGGTCATAATTTCCTACTTTTGTGTTCGCCTATAGCCTGCGTACAGGCAGATTGCTTTGGGCACATACCTGCGACATTCTCTTGCGTCGTCATCGCCACAAATAGATTTGGATCAGAGAATCCACGATGTCGTGTCTGTATCCCCATCGCTCCTTTCTCCAGCACTTTATACCGGCGATGATAATACCCAGCATTCAGTTTCTGGCCACCTTGCTCCAGGTCCAACGAGTAAGCTTCCTGGCCCAGGACGCCGTCAGTGATATTGGCCGGGTAATTATCCTTCCCGGGGATTTCACTCATGAGTTTGTCCAGTAAGCTTAAAGTGCCTGTTTTTTCCTTAATATCCCGCCACCTGCCATCGTTCTTTAGGTTAACCTGAAATCGGGCTGCGCGGGTCTGTGCATGTTTTTCGACTGTGCGTTTCCGTGAGAGTCTGGCCGCTAGGTCGTCGACAACACGCAACCTGAATAAGAGTAAGATCATTCTCGTACCCAGAGTCCTTCTTACGCGCGGTGCGACGAGGGGCTCTCGTCAAATCCAAGACCAGATACCATAAAAACATGGTATAAAAGAATATATCCGGTATTAGAACAATAACCTTTGTTGTAGCCAATCAGATGCCAGTCTGATATGGATTTGGTCAGAGCCCCTAGTCGCGCTCCGTTGACCGCGCGTAAGAAGGGCTCTGGGTACGAGAATGGAGTAAGATGTAATCCGATACAAACCCGACCTGCTCATCGTCAACATAAGATGTGAACACATTCCAAATATTCCCAGTAGTATTTCGTTGACTTTATTCCAAAGTCATTTGGTTTGAAATAAGGTCGAAATATTACCTCTAAGTCATTCGTAAAAGAAGCTTAAGTCATTCAGACAATAAGGGAGCGTTCATTATTTATACCCGAGGTTGATACCGAAGATATACGCGTTTGGTGATTAATCATGTTTTTGACTAGCTCATGGGTTGGGTAAAAAAAATTGTAGCTGTCAGCTACAAAATAAAACCAAAATCACCATGCATTGGAAAATATGAAGAAAATTGTGTACAATACGTTCTGTACCAAAATAGACCATCAACGATTGAGGAAGGATCATTGATCAGCAGGAACGTGATTGCTTTGGCACACTCAGTGAGTTTCAGTGTGAGTGAGCTTTTCGAATTTAGGCAACTTGATTTGTGTCACCATAATCTTGTGTGTTTAATCATTATGAAGTACAGTAACACGTGGGTGGGGTAAACATTATTTCTGTACCACTGAACCGCAGGTATAAATAATGAACGGTCCCTAAGTTTCACGGTGAAACATATCGTAAATTTTTACATGGGTGGAAGCAAAATGTCTTACCTGTTCACTGGAAGATAATCTTTAAGAGGATGACATAAAATACGATAATTCCACTGAGCAAAGACAGTTGTCGTTTCATTGCCTTCGATGATTGTGGTGGGAAGGTAGGCAAAATTCTCCAAGTTGTCTTTACGTCCTGTGTAAGATGTGAAACGAATCTTCTCCTGAAGTTCAAACCAACTGCTCGCGTCAACAAAATGGCGGTCACTGTCAAATGGTTCGTCGATATTTGGCGTGCTTTTTGTCCAAGTTCCTTCCAAATAACATAACACTGGTTTAAAGTAGTTTCTGTAATCTCGTACTGTGTGGTTTTCATTCTTCCAAGCCTAGATGGATAAGTGAGCAATGAAATAGAAATTTGGCGTCGAACAGCTCACGTCTTCCAGCTGACAATAGGCTTAAATTTTAGCTGACAACTGACATTAGTATGATAAAATTGTATTTTGTTCAGAGAAACTTTTATATAGTGACACCCAAAGATGTTCAAAGGTCATTATATATTACCTTAAACCACTCGATCATCTCTTCAACTTGTTCATCAAGCGATCCTTTCGATGCCACCTCCGGCGGGACATCGGGGAACGGTATTTCTTCAGTCTTATGGTACTCGCTTGTATTACTACTGGGCATATATAGCCGGTAATCATTATGCCGTGTACGAAACTCGACCCCGTTCAAAACTCCGATAAACTCGGGCGAGTTTTCTGATATTGTTAGAATGATCATGAATGGCGACGATGCGTTGACCACTAAGATGGGAATTCAGATGGTAGGATTTTGTCCCGCCTTCCCCATTACGCGTCTGCTTTACGCCGGATTGTCCCTCAGATCGGAGCCGTTCTTCAACGAAAAGTTGTTGTAGCATCATTTGACGAGTCAATGCTCCGACTCGGGTTTTCATCTTTTTGGATTCTTCTTTAGTCTGTTTCAAATCGTTGCTTAGAGAGACCATTTGTTCTCGTAGCAAGGCGATGTCGGCTGCCGGGTCTTCGAAACGGTTGTCGATAATGGATGCGGTAGCTGACACCAGAATTGCAGCGCATAGAAGCGCAAGCGTTCCAGGATTCATATCTGTTTAAAAATCTGAACCAAAATGATTTTGGTTAAGCGAATATTGAAATGGTTTTGAAAATTATATCAAGCTAGCTATATTTATATTCTGGGTATGCTGCGGAACGTGACATCATTAGTAAGTAGATGTGTAGACGTTGTGCGTATAGGAAATGGTTACGATGGAGGTCTCAACAACTGGAATGAAAATAGTTGCACTGTGACGTGTGGACTAAAGTGTTTAATTGTAGCCTTCTCTATTATGCATGGGTTGCCTGGTATACATATAGTACAAAACATAATCCGAAGATTAGCATCTTGAAACCCAAAATATGAGCCAAACAAGAAAGTAATATATCGTAGTGAGTAATATTTCGATTTTATTACAAAATCATCATCAGACTCAGTCTGATATGTTTTGAAATTGTCGGCTGGTATTGGTTTTTGGTCTAAATACATGTTCCCACCAACTATATTCGAACTGGCGTGGGGTAAAATTGCTTCGGTCCCTCCTTGGATTTTTTCGGATACGTCACTGCTTCAATCTACATTATGGAATGTTTTAATTTTTTTTTGAAAATTGAATATGTAAACTGTTGAGCTTCTTATATTCCCTCATTTTACAATTCTTGAAAACTTCACCGAAGCAAATTCTTGAAACTAAATTTGTATAAATTGTGCGTGCACTAGGATGTATGTGATGACGTAGGCACAGCACGTTTCAGAAACCACTCATGACACGCTTAAACGCGTGAGTAAGAAAGGAACTTTCTGTTGCCAAAATAAGACGTGTGAAAGTATTTATAGTTCCTAATTTACAGTGGCACTTTAACTGATACCGGCGAATTAAGTTATGTATTTGATTTGATATGCATTTTGATTTTTGACAATAGTTTTGCTATGACATTGACAATTTCTGACAATCAAGAAAACTTGGTAATATTATCTGGAGTTAGTTAGCATAAGAAGTTATTATGTTCATATACTGTATAATTGAAAAAAGTTCTGTATTGAACGTATTGAGATCGCTTCAGATTGGTTTTGGTAACGTTTTTAGAACGATGGGTAGTTGAATTGGTTGCAAAGGATTGCCGCCCTTCGGCCAACCTTCGGCCACGTTTCCACATGTTTCACGGCAATAGACAACTTGAATGTTAGGCTAATTTTTGATTTAGTCAAAAAAAGTAAGTTCCCGTAAAGATCTTATTAAAATCAGTAAAATTACAAAATTTGGTTACGAAATGTTGTAAATTACGGAAAACATAGCCTTGCGAAGTTTGAATATTTTCAGTGTATTTGTATTACGTGCGGAAATTGTTACCATTTTTGAGCCGAAAATGGTAACAATTTCCGCACGTAATACAAATATACTCTTTCTCCGTAATACTTCAAAGACGCTCTCCGCAGAGGCGATTGGAATAGGCTTACACGAATGGACTAAGCTTACATAATGAATCTTGCATACGAAACTTCATGTAAGATTCCGAAACTTCATGTAAGATTCATGTAAGCTTATTCCAATCGCCTCTGCGGAGGAGAGAGCTTCAAAGACATAGTCTTTCTTTGACGCCACGTTGACTTTTAATAATAACTATTTTTAATTTGCCCGTCAAAATGGCGGAAGTCAGTAAATAAGTGTTGTGACGTCACAAAGCTCAATACTTGACTCGACCTGCAGGTCTGAGTATGTATAATTAGCCGTAATAGATCTTTCTGGTAATTACGTCACAACTACACTGTTTTTAACTTAGGAAAACTCAAATGGATAGATTTCAAGTTTGCTTCTCACGGGTTATGGTCAGACAAGCAGAACATCCTTAGTCAACACATGAATAAAGAAGAATTTTGGATTTTGACTATTAAATGTGGAAAATAAGCTTAAACACGAAAACGAGGCTGAGGAGCCATGGCCCCTCTTGGCCCCTCTGCCTCGTTTTTGTGTTTAAGCTTACTTCCACATTTATTGGTCAAAATCCAAAATTGCTCTTATCCATGTGTTGAACACATAGTCTCACGGTGTTCAAAAACCCTTGAAAACTAGACGAGTTGTGCTTGAACAGTATGTATTTATTTAGTGAAGGGAAACTCTTACATACATTCCAATACATCTAAATATCGTGTCCGTTAACAAGTCTACAATACGTTTCCCTTAGCGACCACGTGCTGACGTGTGCATTTACTCATTCGTCACCACAGTCAAGATCGCTGGGTGCCTATCTCTGCATTTGTTAGCGAAGGCTCGTGTTATCTGCGGTGTGGAGGCGCAGAGCGCTATATAGAACCCTCTCTTTTTATGCCACTTGATCGTTACCGTGTGCTGGTGCCCGTTGTTTTCGCTCGTAACCATGGTAACGTTGCCACCAGATTTGACCATGGTCACATTGTCTTTGCCCAGCAGGACTTCATGATGATGACGAGCAACTACCGTCGGTTTTATTTGCGAATCTCCGGTTCGTAAATTTATATCGGCGTTTACTTCCGGTGTAGGTGTTGGGCCACCGTCGGTGCTTCCACCATTTTCTCCTGACAATTTCTCGCGGAAAAGGCGCGCATGCGTGTTCGACTCCATCAGGAAATCTCCAACAGCCTGTATCTCTTTCCACGCCGTGCTTCCTTCAACATGAATTGGCATGATGGGGTATCTGTGCAATATTGAAATAAAATACCATTTTAAGACTTGCCGAAGCTCTCTAACACGTATGTCTGTAATAGAGGTGTCCGTATTAGAGAGATGTCAATATTAGGGTGGTGTTTGTATTAGAGAGGCGTTCGTATTAAAGATGTTTCCGTATTAAAGATGTTTCCGTATTAGAGAGGTGTCCGTATTAGAGAGGTATCAATATTAGGGTGGTGTTTGTATTAGAGAGGCGTTCGTATTAAAGATGTTTCCGTATTAGAAAGGTTCCGTATTAGAGAGGTGTCCGTATCAGAGAGGTGTCAATATTGGAAAGATGTTTGTATTAGAGAAATATTGAAAAGTATCCGTATTAGAGAGGTGTGTGTATTAGAGTGGTTTTCGTATTAAAGAGGTGTTCTGTACCTTTGTCTAAGAATGCCAACTCCTGGGATATTAGGCAAGAAGATACGGGTACCGGATGCACGGACCATGCGCACTTCTTTGGTGGGGTCCAAAACCCCTACTGAGCCTTTCGTTGTGTCAGCAGCATCGACGTGCGTTTCGGTTCCCGCGAAAAACTCATTCGGTGTGATGTAATAGATCCTGCTGTTGACGCCATCATAAGCTTTCGTTTTCGTTTTTCCGCCATTCCGGCCGTTGGCAGTGACCGTTTTACCATCGACGCTTTTCTGGTCTCCTTTGTAAGTGAGGTTGTGTGGGTTCCATTTGTTTAAGGGTGTGAGGTAGATAATTTCTAGTGGTATGGCGTACGAGACTTTCTGTTCGTATTTCGTGCATTTTTTCTTTTTGCCTTTCCCTTTGCAAACATTCAATTTCACGCCTGTTGTAAAAAGGACGGATTTATTAAAGAGTACTTTCTTCATAAAGTTTCCGATTGATAGGCATACAACTACTTGAAAAAAACAATGGAAACTTGGACGTTTTGAGCGAAGGCCCTGCTTCCCCACCCCTCCCTCCCAAAAAATACCTGCAACAGTCGGCTGTTTCGTCATCGCCACAAATAGATTTGGATCAGAGAATCCACGGTGTCGCGTCTGTACCCCCATCGCTCCTTTCTCCATTACTTTGTACCAGCGGTGATAGTACCCAGCATTCAATTTCTGGCCATCTTTCTCGGGGTCCATCGAGTATGCTTCCTGGCCCAGGGCGCCGTCCACTACATTGGCCGGGTAATTATCCTTACCGGGGATTTCACTCATGAGTTTGTCCAGAAAGCCAAACCTTCCCATACTTTCCCGCCAAACGTTGCTGTCCCTTGGGTTAACCTGAAATCGGGCTGCGCGGGTCTTCAGTTGTTCTTCGACCGTGCGTTTCCATGTGAGCCTGGATGCCAGATCATCTACAATACGCAGCCTGAACAGGAGTAAGATATTTATTGATATATATTTGGTCCCATTCTGTTGTTAACTAACCCACACACATAAAAAAAACGTGTAAGTTGTTGCAGATTTGCAAATTAGGTTGTTGTCAAGTCGATATCAGGATGTGTTCGCACTGCTTGTTCTCAGTTGTTGTTACAAGTCTGAAACAGGTTGTTATATCACCTTGTTACAAGGTTGTTGACGGTAGCAGACTTGTTACATGTTGTTCCAGCAAGACTAATACTGGCTGTTCGTAAAAAGTTGCTACGAGGTTGGTGTTAGCAACTTGTTATGTGCAGACAATATCAGACATGTTGGAACAACTTGTTGCGAGTCTGTTGGCCTCAATTCTTAGAAGGGCATAGAAGCAAAATGCTTTACCTGTTAACTGGGAGATAGTCTTTAAGAGGATGACATACAATACGGTAATTCCACTGAGCAAAGACAGCTGTCGTTTCATTGACTGTCTCCATGATTGTGGTAGGGAGGTAGGCAAAATTCTCCAAGTTGTCTTTACGTCCTGTGTAAGATGTGAAACGAATCTTCTCCTGAAGGTCGAACCAACTGCTTGCGTCAACAAAATGGCGGTCACTTTCAAACGGTTCGTCGATATTTTTCGAATTTTTTGTCCAGGTTCCTTCCAAATAGCATAACACTGGTCTAAAGTATTTTCTGTAATCTCGTACGCTGTGGTCTTCATTCTTCCAAGCCTGAATGTGTTTAGACAAAAATGAAGGATGGATTATGTTTATCTGGAAAACGCATCTCTAACACATACGTTTTATGCTTCTGATGCAATCGACAAAAGGTTTCTAATTGGTAAAGGCACCGCTTCTAAGGCGTGCTCTTCATGTTCCTAACTTAATTGTATTAGATCCGACGTCTTTAAAGAACAGATATAATTATAAGCTAATTAGAATTAATTGCGATAATACCTTGAACCACTCGACCATTTCTTTAACTTGTTCTGTGACCGATCCTTTTGATGCCACCGCCGGCGGGATATCTGGAAACGGTATATCTTCAGTCTTATGATACTCGCTTGTATTACCACTGGGCATATATAGCCGGTAATCATTATGCCGTGTACGAAACTCGACTCCGTTCAAAACTCCGATAAACTCGCCCATGCCAACTGTTCTGATATTGTTGGAATGATCGTGGATGGCGACGATGCGTTTACCAACGTGCGAATTGTGCTGGTAGGATTTTGTTCCACCTACTCCATTACGCGTCTGCTTTACGCCGGATTGTCCCTCCGATCGGAGCCGTTCTTCAACGAAAAGTTGCTGCAGCATCATTTGACGAGTCAATGCTCCGAGTCTGGTGTTCACTTTTTTGGATTCTTCTTTAGATTGTTTTAAATCGTCGGTGAGGGCAGCTATTTCTTGTCGTAGCGCAGCAATGTCGGCCACCGGATCGTCATAAGCGTAATTGATAAGGGATGCAGTACTTGACGCCAGCATCGTAGCGCACAGAAGCGCAAGGGTTCCGAGGTTCATCGTTGCTGAAAAAGCTTTAGGAAGACAAGAATGGTTAAGAATGGTTTGGTTGTAGCACATTGAAGAGTGCCAGAGTGGGCAACACAAATTTTTTTGTAGGGCACTAATTACTTAATCTGTTTTAAGATTACTATAAAGCCATGCACCTGACGATTCCTCTTGGATGAAACAGGCTGTAGTTGGCAACCTCTCGAAGTCTTATTTAACCAGTGTTACTAACTAACCTTATTTATACTGGATAGCTCTTGACTATCAGTTTTAAACTGTCCTTCCTTTAATAGAGATACATTAATGGCTATTATTGTATGACAAGAATTTGTGTTGGTGAATTAAAGCCAAGTTTGAATAGCTCATTAATTATTTTTCCGTATAATTTTTACTGCTCTACGAGGCTGCTTGGGCAAATGTTTTTCAGTTTTTTTCGAACCTCGCTATTACTCGATCAAAACAGCAAGACCTCGGTTTGATATTTTCCCATACAGCCCTCACTCTCGGTTAGCAAGACATTAATTCTGACTGGTCCAGCATAAAAGAAGGATACCAAAACCAAAACTAAAAATATTCTATTAAACTAGAGGCTATAAAAATATTTTCCGCCATCTTGAAGTTATGAGTGAATAGAAATGTTACAGCCTACATATATAAATAATATAAAAATAATGCCTCGTCCTTTACCTCCAAAAAAATCTTTATGATTCTTTTTTGTCAACTGATTTAAACGTATTCTCTGCCTTGCAATGTAATACTGACTAAAATTAACTTCGGATCATCTTTTTATTCGCTATTACAACATTTAGACACTAATTACTTTACCATTTAATTAAATGTGTGTTTAATTGGATCGTTCATAAATTAATTAAAGTTTGCAATGTTGCAATTTCAAACATATACATGTCATGAAAATAATAAATTTATATTTTTCTAATTGCTTGTTGGTAGTTATGGAAATAGCAACTAAATGTGGTAAAGCCAGTCTGTGGAGCTAAATTTTATCTGAGCTTTCTTGTATGAGAAGGTTTAGTATAGGCGTCCTTTGAAATTGAAGCGCTTGTATTAGGCTGCAGGTTTTGAGATCGAAATGAAAATTAGATGATGTGAAAATGTAAATAGAGTAGAAAGATAACATTGGTTTAATTAGGATTTATTTAATCATGCTTTGCCGCTAAGCCAGCTAAATATACAAACTAATTAATTAATCTTTTGTCGAAAAAATGTTATTTTCCAAAACCCTTTTCCCTGATGATTTGAAAAAATATATATAAGACAAAACGAAATTAATAGGATCAAAAGATTAAACTTGAGTTGAAAATAGTAAACCAGTAAAAATAGGCTTTGTCGAAAAAAAAATCGATGCATGGGACGACGTACCCTTGAAGATAGGTAGAAATTCTCCCCAAAAAACTCGCACAAATGTGTTGAGATACTGCAGTTCTGACTCATTTTCATAACTCATACAAATACAATATTAGTACGTTTCGCCATGTAGAGCGTTTGCACATGACGTCACAGTCGCCATGTTGGTGTTCCAATTCAAAAGAATTTTAATTAGACTCTTTTGTCTGGAACACCAACATGGCCGCCATGGCTTTTGTTGAGTTGGTCCCTGGGGAATGAGTGCAAACGGTCTATTGGTGATTCTAGCAGACAAATTCATTGAATATTTAAGGAATGAAAAAAAATATTTCAGATTGCAATTCAGTTTATAAAAAATCCATTAATTGTGAAGAGTTTATTGATCTGGTGCTTCTTTCAAGAATAGTGTATGCTTATCGTAACACATTCGCCATTTTCCTGCGTTTGGAGGTGTTCCCTGACAACTTGCTACATAAAACAACTTTCGCTCCTTGTTCCAACCAATCATCATTTCATGTTGATGTCCTTCTGTCGTGCTTGTTGTCTTGGAAACGGTCTTCCCGCTCTTTAGTAACGCAATATCGTCGGTCGTCAAGGTAACCTCGTGCACGTGATTGGGTACAATCTCCGGTCTCCTTGAGGAACCGGTCCAAAATATTGTATCGGTATTTTTCTCCGGGGTCGATTTCCCGGCCTCTCCTGTGGCAAGCTTCTCTCTGAAAAGCCGAGCATGCGTATTGGATTGCATCAAGAAATCTTGAGTCGCTTCTAACTCTTTCCAAACCGTGCTTCCTTCGGCATGTATTGGAAAAATAGGGTACCTTTGCCGTAGAATACCAACACCCGGTATATTGGGGAGAAAAATTCGTGTACCAGAAGCTCGTACATGACGCACTTTTCCGGTAGGGTCTAAAACCCCGACAGAGGCACGAGTTGTGTCAGCGGCATCTTTTTGATTTTCAGTTCCACTGAAAAATTCCTCGGGTGTGATATAATACTGTTTACTGTTTGTTCCATTAAATGCCTTTTCTTTTCTAACACCACCATTACGGCCATTAGCATTCACGGTTTTTCCCAAATCGCTTTCTGCGATTCCCTTGTACGTGAGATTGTATGGATTCCATTTGTTAAGCGGTGTAAGATAAATGATTTCTAATGGGATGGCATAGCTCCATTTCTGCGAGTAATCTTCGCATTGGCGAGCTTTCTTTTTTCCTCGGCAAACGTTCAGTTTCATACCTTGAATTAGGAAACATAGAATGGTCAGCGGAAAATCAATCGTGGAATTAGAACTTGCGTGAACTACACACGTAAAAACGCACAAGTTGTAACAAACTTGCAACAGACTTGTAGCAATGATGTTTCAACAACTTGTCAACAGGATGTGTTCGCACTTCCTGTTGGCAAATTGCTACAAGGTTGTTGAGCTCAACAGACTTGTTACAAGTTGTTCCACCAACTTGTTATCGTCCTGCAATTCACCAATTTGTCAACACGTTGTGAGCGACAACCTTGCAAGCAACTTGATAAAATAACATCATTGTTACAACTTGTTGACAAGCTTGCTACAAGCCTGTTGCGAACGCATCTTGTTAACAAGTTGTGAGGTTTCTACATGTGTGCACTGAGATGAACCAAACCCGCATAATTTGCAGCTGTCTACATTGAGATGACGTTTTCGTATACATGCATTAAAAGAGTAGAATATTCCAATATCCTAAGCATACCTGCTACTTTTTCTTGCGTCGTCCTGGCCATAAATAGATTAGGATCAGAGAAGCCACGGTGTCGATTTTGTACCCCCATCGCGCCTTTCTCTAGCACTTTATACCAGCGGTGATAATACCCAGCATTCAACACTTGCCCTTTCTTTTGTGGGTTCATGGTGTACGCCCGCTGGTCAAAAGCATCGTCTGTAAGATTGACCGGGTAATTGTCTTTACCGGGGATTTCGCTCATTAATCTATCCAGGAAATTGAAATAGTAACGTTGGTCTTTCCACTTGTAAGTGTTTCGTGGGTTCACTTGGAATCTTGCCCCGCGGGTTTTTATCTGTTCTTCGTAAGTATGGTGTGAGACCAGACGGGAGCCTAGATCATCCACCATTCGTAGCCTAGAAAGAATTTGAATTTGAAGCATTGCTTATCAAACACAACAAACCTTTCCTTAACACTGGACTGCTTGTAGTACCACATGAACCTTAGGTGGACCCTGGCCTGGGGAGGTCCCGAACTCGTAACCATTCATAACCGTTGACTGTCTTCGGCGTAACCATTCAACTTGAACTGGATTAGCCTGGCCTAGGGAGTTCCCTAACTCATAGAGCTATCTATTTAGTCCAGTTTCTGCCTGTAGTAACACCAGATGGCTCTTACTCGACCTTTGGGAGAACAGTTTAGAATTGTCACAGCTATCCAGCATAAATAAAGGTGGTTTAAACTACCTATTCCAATGTATGTATGTTTTCAAAGGATGACATAAAATACGGTAATTCCACTGAGCAAAGACAGCCGTCGTTTCATTGACTGTCTCCATGATTGTGGTGGGAAGGTAGGCAAAATTCTCCAAATTGTCTTTACGTCCTGTGTAAGATGTGAAACGAATCTTCTCCTGAAGATCGAACCAGCTGCTCGCATCGACAAAATGGCGGTCACTTTTAAACGGTTCGTCGATATTTCGTGTGCTTCTTGTCCACGTGCCTTCGAGGTAACACAAAACTGGTTTAAAATATTTCCTATAGTCCCTTTTTTCGTATTTCCCACTTTTCCAAGCCTTGAACCACTGTACCATTTCCTCAACTTGTTCCGTAACATTGCTCCGTGACGTCACTTCCGGTGGTACATCGGGAAACGGGATTTCTTCGGTCACGTGATAGCCACGTGATGTACGGCTAGGCATGTACAGCCGGTAGTCGTTATGTCGTGTACGAAATTCGACCCCGTTCAAAACTGCGATGAGTTCTCCCATCCCCACGGTACGAATACTATTGGAATGGTCGTGAATCGCGGCGAGACTCCGCCTGCCCACGTGAGAATTGCTGTAGTACGATTTTGTACCCCCGGCACGGTTTCGTATTTGCTTGATGCCCGACTGACCCTCGGAGCGAATCCTCTCCTCGATAAAAAGTTGCTGCAGCATTACCTGAAACACGAAAAGATACATCTGATTCCAGTATATCTAATAGCTTTGCGTAGCGGCGCGAAAAAGCACCTATCCGATACAAAGCTGAGCCAAACAACATCTCTCCGATGCAATAATTCCTCTGAAAATATCGTTCATTAAAGGTACGGGACAGGTGTTTTTTCAAGTCACCACGTGAAGCTATCCGCTACAGTGTGAATTGTAGCCTGGGACTACATTCAACCTAAACAAAACGGCTAAAACAAACCACATGGAATGTCTGAACCCGCCCCCCCCCCCCTGAATCCGACAAAAAATTGCTCCGAACATAGTCTGAAGCGCGCCCAGTCTCACGTACAGCAACTGAAAGATTAAGATACAGTCGAATTTCCGGCGCATAAAAATACATCCCAATTTGCCGGCATTACCTGACGGCTTAGAGCACCCAGTTGCTTGTTCATTACGTTAACAAAATCGTTTGACTTCTTTAACTCTTGAAGAAGGCTACCTATTTCTTCTTTTAATCCCAAAATGCTGTCATCGCAAGCGCCTTTATTCCAAGTCAAGGAAAGATTGATTATTGCGTAAAAAATAAAGTATTTAATACTTCCAGCCATCATTATGATCTGGTTGAAGACTAAATAAAACAGTAATTCACTTAGTTAGGTAATTTAATTTTGCTGTAGTTTCACGAGTGATACGGTATCTGGAGGGATTAATATACTACTAGGTTTAAATTTATCATATCCTAGCCACGGTTTTATAGCATAGTTATGAAGTATATGGCTCTCGGTAAACTTTACAGCCATGGTTTTCAAGCATGGCCATAAACTTTTTCTTTCTTTAAAACAACTTTAAAGCCTGATTTTCATACGGGCGTAACCGGGTCGTAAAAATTGAGTCACGATCTTTCTCATCAGCCATGCAAAATACAACATTTTAGAACTGAAAATATGGGGAGTGATTATAACTAGAGCCAGAGTTTCACTTCTTACTTCTCATCATATAACCATTCAACTTGGATTGTAACACCGGTCCGTCAGTCGCTTGGGCTATTGCATTATTAAGCAGTGATGGAGATTAAGGTTGCACCCTTTTCTTTGTTTATGTCTTGATAATATTCAAAGGCATAACCATCCAAGTTGAGTGTTGATCCTGATAATATTCAAAGGCAAGTTGTATGCCTTATGCCAAACACATCCATCCAAGTTGAATAGGCCTACATAAACATTCAACTTACATGTTTATGACGTTGATATTCAACGTCATAAACATTCAACTTAGATGTTAATGACGTTGATATGCCCAAGACAGTCAACGGCATAACCATCCAAGTTGAGTGGTTATGCCGAAGACAGTCAACTGCATAACCATCTAAGTTGAATGTTTAGCCAAATGTTTATGCCGAACATATTCAACGCCATAAACATCTAAGTTGAACGCGGTTATGCAGAACGGAGTCAACGGCATAACCATGCAAGTAGAATGGTTATGCCGTCAACGGTATAACCATCCAAGTTGAATGGTTATGCCGAAGACAGTCAGCGGCATAACCATCCAAGTTGAGTGGTTATGCCGAAGACAGTCTACGGCATAACCATCCAAGTTGAGTGGTTATGCTGAAGACAGTCAACGGCATATACCATCCAAGTTGAATTGTTATGCCGAAAACAGTCAACTACATAACCATCTAAGTTGAATGTCTAGCCAAATGTTTATGCCGAACATATTCAACGCCATAAACATCTAAGTTGAACTGTTATACAGAACGGAGTCAACGGCATAACCATCCAAGTAGAATGGTTATGCCGAAGACAGTCAACGGGATAACCATCCAAGTTGAGTGGTTATGCTGAAGACAGTCAACGGCATATACCATCCAAGTTGAATGTTTATGCCGAACATACACAACGGCATAAATATCTAAGTTGAATGTTTATGCCGAACATACACAAGGGCATAAACATCTAAATTGAATGTTTATGCCGAACATATTCAACGACATAAACATCTAAATTGAATGTTTATGCCGAACATATTCAACGACATAAACATCCAAATTGAATGTCAATGCCGAATACAGGGACGCTGTGGCTAGGGGCGGGCCGACGAGAACTCGTTGTGCCGGTTGTGGGCCTCTGCCATCATGTGCCCCTAAGACAGTTAACGGCATAACTTTCATATTACATATATCAAAGCCAAAGTCCATGAAATTACTAATGGGGGATCAAGGGGCTCCACGGGTTCCGCGAAACGTTAATCAGGCCCTGCACAATTTCGGATATATGTATATATACTGTGGAGCTATGTTATTCGCAGGGAAAATGTGAGCATGGCCGGTCCACATTTTACAGCGTAAAACGCGTCACATTTCAAATTGCGTTCGTCCCTGAACTTGATCAATTTTCTCGGCTTTGCGTGACGGTGTTATGCGCTAATTAAAACCGCGCATGTGAGCTTACCTACCTTACTTTTGTCTTTATTTGTATAAGGATCTTTGCCCTTTTCGTTTCTTGTACTTTTTCCAAACGTTGCGTCAACAGAAAATAGGAAAACAATGCCCAAAACGGCTGGAGATCGACACTCACTTGCCGGAGACGTTTATTTTGCTATGTAACAATGACAATGTGATTGATTTATTATTTACGTGTTTTTATAACCTTTCACCGTCCAACTGTGAACAGTTAGTTGATATTGACGCCCACATAGTGCTTTCTTGGTTACAATAATAATAGAGTTTTATCACGCATTTCAAAATTTGATGTTAGCACTCCATATAAACACAGTTATGAAACAGCACGGTCAAAATTAGGAGGAACTTAAATTTTGGGGGGCATATTTTCAAAACTGTGACATTGGGCTGCAAATTTAATAGGGAATTGTCAAACCTCCATCGCATGCAAATCAGGAAAGACTGATTTGCATCCTGGCTGATTCGTATTGAATAGCACGCAAAATGACAAGGCAGAAGCCAGACTGGCCAGGGCCAATAATACAATTCCCATTATAGACTAATTTTCAAACTAGGCAAGGAGATGCAAATAAATCACCACAGCTAGAAAGAGCATACTAAAATTAGTAAAATTACAAAGTTTGGTTGCGAGATGTTGTAAAATGCGGAAAATACAGCCTTGCAAAATTTGCAAATTTTGTATACTTTTGTATCGCGTACGGAAATTGCTACCATTTAATATCGACCCAAATGTGGTGGCCATTTCCGCACAAAATTTGCGAACTTTACAAGGCTATATTTTCCGCATTTTACAACATTTGGCAACCAAACTTTGAAATTTTACCAGTTTTAGTTTTAGTATGTTCTTTCTCAGTAGCTGTGATGATTTACTTGCATCTCCTTGCCTAGTTTTAAAATTAGTCTGTAATGGAAATTGTCTATTTGTATCTGGATCAATAGAAGTTTTATTTTCCAAAGTTTAAAAAAAACCCAGAAGTGCAAATGTACCCAAGCCAAGACAGATGATTAAAATTTGGTTAGCGGTCACCCAGCTTTGAACAACCCGCCCCAGGCTAGATGACGTTGGCGACCATAACGGTAAACAAGCAACGAGATTTTGTAGAATAGGAATTCTATTCTTTTGTATGATTGATGGTTTACTAATCGATATCAGATTTTGAACACCAGTTATATCTTTTTGTCTTAATATAAGACTGTTTTTGAAGTTAATTGCATGCAGGTACCCAATCTACAAGATAAAGAACTTATAAATGTACAAGATAAAGAACTTTTTGATGCGTCCAGCAAAAGCCTTTTGTCGGGAGTGTTAATAATAGGAAGATACAGGTTGAAATATAGTACAGTCACATAGAAAGTACATCAATCAAACAAAATGTTGGACGATGTAATTAACCTCGTCCCCGGGTTATCCTTGTGTTTTGGTACACGCAAAAATCTCACCGTTGTAGCAAGTCTGCCAACAAGCCGTCAACAAGTTTGTGTTCGCATTGCTTGTCCCAAGTTGTCAACAAGTTTGGAACAAGCTGTTAACAACTTGTAACAACCTTGTTGATATTATCAGACTTGTTGCAAGGTTGTTCCAACAAGTCCGATACAGTCATGATATAGCAATATTGTTACAACCTTGTGTCGTCAAACTTGTAACATTCTTGTTATATCATGACTGTATCAGACTTGTTAGAACAACCTTGTAACAAGTCCGATTACAACAACTGGGAACAAGCAGTACGAACATAACTTGTCGACAGCTTGTGAACAGATTTGTAAAACAGGATCAGGGATATGGTCTCAGACAAAAGGCTATTATTGCGCGATTTTGCGCAGAGCACCAGAGCAAATTGCGCACCGTTTTTCGCGGCAAGACTGGGAACCAAAGAGACGTTTTGCCAACATGGCGGTGACAATGTATGCATTTCTTGAAGCAATTTTACTTCTTGTTAACGCCATTGCTGTCCTCAATGAAGAAAGATTTTTAGCCAAAAGTAAGTCATATTGTTCTACAATAAGGAAATTATTTTATTACATTACATTTGTACGTAATACTGTACATAATTAATCGATCGATGATGGGGAATTTCCGAATTTGGGGTAATAAATAATAGGTCATTGTCTTCGCCTACTTATTCTATTACGGAGATTTGATGTAATTGCATACACGTAAACTACAAGTGGAAGGCTGGTTGGGAATGGGTTGTTCTAATTAGTATCCATACACCTCCTATCGACGAGCTTGGGATTCTTCAGGGCTATAAAGCAAATTTCACTAATGTGTTTCTAAATCCCATTTGGAAAGTTTGGAAATTGCACATCCGATATTTCGAAAATTTAATGGTAAGATATAGATCAAAGTTGTTCGAATCAAAATTGTGTACCCAATATCTCCACAGTTCAATACCAGAATTTTTTGGGCATTTCTCCCAATTGAACTATTAATTTTCCGATCAGAGTTCGCCTCATTGATTTTCATCTTCATATTTGGCAGAAATGGGCTGCAGAATTAAAAATCATGATGCTCAAATTAGTCTGTACCATGTTCGGACATCAGGGCACAAGTTGTGGTGTTTCGAAAAAAGTTTAACTGTAGTGGAAATTCCATACAAATAATATACAGTAAAAACGAAATTTTCACAGCGCTGTACCTCATGCCCTGAATGGGCAAACTTCAAGCATGGAATTTTCGGTATAAGGACTAATTTGAAAAGATTTCAATTCTGAGTTCCATTTTTGTCAAAGATCTATAGATAGAGAGACGAAAAATTGATTACATCAACTCGGATTGGAGAATTTTGAAGGATTTTGCAGGTGGAAATTTTGAGTATGAAATTTTATATATTTATAAATGTATAAAATTCATACTCAGAATTTCCATCTACAGAGAATCCTCCAGAAATTAGTTCAAGTGAGATGCCAAAGATACCAGAATAGGCTCTGCTTCAACCCTATATATTGGTTAGTGATTAAATATTGCGATTAAATAATTCTTATAGTTGGTTGGGGCCGAGACCAGATCAATCAACCACAAGGTTTTGGACAGGAAGAGAAAGGAGTAAAACAACAAATTGCCAATCTAATTCATGCTGTTAGGACAGTTATGAGAGGTACGGTGCAAAACTGAATTTATTCTCATCAGGTTGGAACATAATTTTTTCTTTGAAATAAAACGATGAAAATTCTTTTTGCTTTAGTTCCACTGATATTCCTAAATGGTTTGGCAATTGTTATGGAATTGTTAATGGGTTAGGAAATGTTTTTGTGTGTACGTGAAATGGTGAAGTATCTATTCTTTCTGACTGTAAGAACTTTTGGAAATTGTACAGTTAGGATAAATATTATATTTATAGTATTTTAAAAAATAAAATTTATTGAAAAGTGTAGATACTGACAATCTTGAAATACTTATTATCAATAGTTACAGTATGTATAATGTGTAAATTGCCTGGTTGGAAACTGTGCCTGTTACACTAGATATCTCCAGCCCTCGAAAACGAGGTTGGCAATGCAGACCCAAAAGACGACCTGCCAACGTCGGCCTGGGTCAGATTTAGGTCTGCATTGTCAATGCTGACCTCAGTTTTGACGTTCTTTGAGGGTGGTATCTCTAGCGTAAAATGTTCTTGATATTGTAAACTCCAGTGTAACATTTTAATGGTTTCCAACCTGGATGTATAGTTTATTTACAGTGAAATGCAAGATGCAACTTCCTTTAATTTGTTTATATGCCATATAATTTTAGCCATTGAAATTCCATGCCAGAAATAAGAACTGTTCAAATATGCCAGAGAATGTTTCAATTAACTAATAAATTGAAGTTATCAAATTCACTTGATTCCAATAATGGACATTATCTAGAAAAAATAACAAATTTATTAACGACCATGTTATCAAATTTTGCTTGACTTTTTTTTGTCACTACTTTTTTTACTCCTTTGGACAACAATACATTTAAACTTCTCTAAATGTAATAATCTATGTCACCTTTTCATAAACTGTCCACGACATTGCTGATATTAAAGTTCTTCTCAAAGCTCGAGGTACAAAACCTTTGAAAAATCCCTGCAGACCAGTTTCCTACAAAGACAAACAAGTGTGAACTGCTAAAATTGTTGGTTGAATGAAAGGCATATTGATTGTTGCTTTTGCTTGCTGGAATGGACAAAAATGGAAAAAGATGGGTGGCATTTTTATTTTTTTTCTCAAAAAAAATACAAGATTAGGACATCCATAATGCAACAAGTAAAACACATACGTCTTAGGTCTGTCAGGGTTTCAATTACTCTCATCCAAAAGCTGTTACCTTAAAAATATTTTTAACTATTGTTACATTATGGTAAGGCTCTGTGCTTGCTTGTATCGCTGTTTTAACGACATCAGCTGGATGTGTGAGGACGGAGGCCAGAATACCAGATATTAGACCACATATCGAAACGACTGAGGAATTCAATTCTTCTTTCCCAAGACCTAGACAAAAAAATCACTCAATATATCCAATCAAGCAGCCTTCATTATTCGATCATTATGAAATCAAATTGGGGTTTGACAATGGTTTGTTTCAGCCTATTTTCTTACTTTGTTTTGCGATTTCTTTGATGCGGCCATAGAACATCAAGTAGGCACCAGAGAAGGGAGCATCACGTAGAACTGTTGTAAAACTTCCACGGTATAAACCTAGAGTAAATGTTTTTGTGAGGAAACATAATAGCAAAGAAATTACTAGAAAAAGTAATATATGGCATTTCTCAGTAAGCGCCAACAATAGCACAACTGGTACATCACCGTCTGGAAATTATAATATAATCTGTTTCTGAGCTTACAGATTAAAATTAACCTTTGATGAAGATATAAATATTTCATCACAAGTTTTACTAGAAAAACAAAGTTTTACTAAAACAAAACGTTAACCAAGTACCTTGTATACCTTCAGTTGACCAAATGTAACTGAAAGCCTTAGGAACTGTTCTATAGTGGTATTTGCCACTCTGAAAGGAATGACATATTTTTTATCCATATATACAAATAATATGAGTATAAGTTTGAGGAAATACAACCAGAAAATAATTCCTTTCCATTACCTCGAATCTTATTTTGATAACGTTAACTGGCATGAGACACAGTACAGCACAACTTCTTGCGGTTGCTCCTGATGCAAATCTTTTCAAGTTACTTGGCCTTTCTCTAATACATAAGAGCAATTTACATTTACTACTTTTGTAGGGAATTAATGGTCTTAACAAACTAATTTCAAAGGTAGTTTATATACAGCATCAAATGCAGAAAGGATGACTTGGCACTACCTCAGTCCTCCATCCAACAAATGTAGACAACCATAATATATTCCAACTCCAGGAACTGTGCGGTACAGTGACTACAGTGCAGAAAGTAGCAATTTAAATACACCTCTAACACAGACACCTCTAATACAGGCATCTCTCCGATACAAACATCTCTCTAATACAGACATCTCTCTAATATGGACACCTCTCTAACATGGACACTTCTCTAATACAGACAACTCTAATACAGACACCTCTAATACAGACACCTCTCTAATACAGACACCTCTCTAATACAGACACCTCTCTAATACAGACATCTCTCTAATACTGACACCTCTCTAACACATTCACCTCTCTAATAGAGACACCTCTCTAATGAAGACACCTTTCTAATAGAGACACCTCTCTAATACAGACACCTCTCTAATACAGATACCTCTCTAATAGAGACACCCCTCTAATAGAATGACCCCTCTAATAGAGACACCTCTCTAATAAAGACACCTGTCTAATAAAGGCACCTCTCAGTCCTCTCTAATAGAGACACCTCCCTAATACAGACACCTCTAATACAGACACCTCTCTAATACAGACATCTCTCTAATATGGTATCTCTCTAATACAGACACCTCTCTAATACATTCACCTCACACCTCTAATACAGACACCTCTCTAATACAGAGATCTCTCTAATGAAGACACCTCTCTAATGAAGACACCTCTAATGAAGACACCTCTCTAATACAGAGATCTCTCTAATGAAGACACCTCTCTAATGAAGACACCTCTAATACAAACACCTCTCTAATACAGACATCTCTCTAATATGGTATCTCTCTAATACAGACACCTCTCTAATACATTCACCTCACACCTCTAATACAGACACCTCCCTAATACAGACACACCTCTAATATGGTATCTCTCTAATACAAACACCACCCCAATATATATCTACTAAACGTACAGGAATTGTTCCCATCCATAACGCCTTTACTTTTTCATTTTTGACAACATCTTTAAATGTCTTCCATAAACCTTTAGACCTGATATGATATGAAAAAAGAAAAATTGACATGCATAAACTTTACCATTGTCACAGACAAGTGTTGTCAATCAAACCTTGGGTCTCTGGATTATCATACAAGCTCTGTGTGACTGATACGCTGTTGAGATGCTTGCAGGGGCACAGCCAGGCCCAAACGAGTGGGGTTTAATTTAGGGTTGGGCGATATTAAAAAAATAATCTCACGATTATTGTCAAGGAAATTATCACGATATTCGATAATATCGCGATAAAAACAATGACCATATTTTTTCAATTTTAATTAGTATCAAAGCATAGTAAGCTTATATAACAAATTAAAGTAATATGAAGGCTTCTTCTAGTCTAATATTTACTGTCCATAAACTCCGCTGGCACAAATACCATGGGCACATAGCGCAAGCAAAGCCTGCAGTTTCATTGTTCAGCAGTGAGATTAATACATAAATATTAACTTTTGTGTCGTATTAAATTCGTATTTAATTCAGGAAATCGTTTTAATTCTTTTAATAACTATATTTTTCTAGGAATTGAAAGAATTTTTTAGGATTTTATAACAGCTAATAATACACATGTGAAGCAATATCACGATAGTCATCGAGCATGACGATAATTTCGATATATCGTCGCTCACGTTTCTACCTTCGATACGATAATCGCAATTGAAAATATCGCGATAAATCAAAATATCGAAATATCGCCCAACCCTAGTTTAATTATTGTCCAACCATCCGGGGGGCATGGTCCCCCAGAAAATATATGCCCTTGGGGCGATTCCTGGTTGGAGCACTGAGAAATTAATTTTGCAGCAACCGAGTTGACTTTGTTTGGACAGGCCAAAGTGTGTTATAAATTATTTACCTATTATACTTATCAATTTGTATTCTTGTTTTCAAAAGATCAAGAGGTTGTAGAAGTAATGTCGATATTGTTCCACTAAATGATCCACTGATAATCGCTGTTGGCACATTCTATGGGAGTTTGGCAGTTTCAGAAAAGTCATGTATGCAGAGGCGCCGGAGAATCGATAATAGCGGGGGCAGATATTCATATATTCGTGTTCACAGACTGTAAAAACAATCGATTTCAAAAAGAAATTAATTGGGCAGGACACGAATATATGAATATCTGCCCCCCCAATTATCGATATTCCGGCGCCTCTGCATGTATGTTTAGTTAAATAGTTCAAGGGGACATACTGCCACTCAATGGGTTAACCAGACAATCTGGCAATGTGCCTTGTTAACCCATTAAGCTTCACTGTGCCCTGATGCACCATACTTTATGTTATTCTGGCTAACACCAGATTATTTTACTTGTCAACCATGTACAAAAATTGTCATTCACATCCTAGCTTAACATATTTTGGTATTGTCTTTAAGGACAATACTCATGATGGGTTTGCAAATGACAACTCTTGTACTCGTAGTCATACTTATAAATTACATGCAAAAATTGAAATGCTATAAAACAAACCCTGGCCCTTTTCTCACTCATCCCAACTTAATTCTCCATTAATAAATATTTTAACCCATTGAACTCCTTTCATACAAACAAAAAAGGTTTGGAAACAGTTTAAACTAAACGAAGTTAAAAATGTGTCTCATTTGCACACTTTATAATTATTGTTATTTCATCGGTGTGATTGCCATTTCATTTTGTTTCTTTTCAAATTTAAATTTCAAAATATTACGAACAGAAGCCGAGCTGGTCCGACGTTGTCTCCGTTGGAGATCGAACCTTCTTCGAGCCACTTTCGGAAGCGTGTGATTTTCTTTTCTTTTAAAATCTATCCAGTTTCACTTCGAGATCAGTTAGCAACGAAGAGGATTTATCCTTAAAAACTAAACAGGAATATTGAAAAATATATAGGGTTTGTAAATTGAGGAACTTTGGGAAAACTAAGGAAATTCGGCGCTCTTGGGAAAAAATTCCGAAATGTTGTTGTGGTTGTTCCTCTTCAGCAAAACACTCAAGTTCATGAAATTTAACACGTTTGGCTTCGTATTTTGCACTTTTTTCAAGCAATTTTAAAGATTGATGTTGATGGATTCAAACTTACTGTATTTTGAAAGAAAGTACACGAAAGAACAAAGAAATCTCATCGTTTTAAACACCTAAATTTTCTATACAGAAAGAGCGAAGCTTGTATTATTAATCAATTTTCAGACAGCTGTATGCAAATTCGTTGATCGTTGTAAATCTTGATCAGCATAATTATTTACTGAATCGTCTACACAGAAGTTCGAAAATGAGGAAAGAAGAAATTTATATTTGTGTTTTCGTGACAGTATTTTTAAATTGTTATATGACTCGGGGAGACGTTGAAAAAATTGCCATCCATATGCCAGGAGTTCGGCCAAAAAAGGTTTGTGAGTTTATATGTTTATAAGGTGTCAATTTAGTGTTGTATAGAGTGTTATCTCGATTATAAAGGTTGTGTATCAGAGTTTTAGATTGTTTTAATAATGGTACATTTATATTATATTTATGACTGGATATCAATAATTCTTTTATACTAGTGTCTATTTTCATACCTCTGTAGGTTACTAGTTTCATTGTATTTTTTTTGCCATTACTGTTATAAAGTTAATTTGCTGGATACGGGTTCTCATCACACTGAAAATGAGGATTACATTGCAATAGGGCCCGTAGTCGGCTTTATGTATTATGACGTTTCTTTGCATTGTGTGACCATTACTACCAGAATTACTTCCCGAGAATCATGATTGAAAAATATAGCAAAAACTCACGAGCATTCTGGTAGTAGTGATCAGACATTGTAAGACAACATGTATTTGTAACAAATGTCTGAATTTGTTTCAGAATGATAGCTACATTTGCACATCATTGAAACTCCCAGCTGGTGATTCGTTCATAGGTAATTACTGTTCGTATATTTTGCAAACAATTTCATATTGTGTTATTTACAGCTCGAACAGGCAAACATATTGTGTATTTTTAATGTGTTCAAACTAACCCAAAACCAATCACCGGTGGATTATTTAGACCTATGGCTATTTCATAAGTTCATAACCGGAAAATGTTTAGTCAAACTAACCCGCTGGTGATTGGTTTTGGTTAGTTTGAAAACATCAAAAATATGCAAAAGCAGCCTTCGGTTTGCCCGTTGAGCTGTTAATAGCTGATCAATTGGTCAAATTTTTCTGTCCTTTCAACTAGACCATTTAATTTGGTCCTGAATTAAACTGTTAAACATTCAGAAAATATCAGGATTTATTCAGTAAATAGCAGGCTTGATTCCTGCCAGAAGGCCTATAGTTGAATTTTTCACACTTGCTCCTGGTAATTAGGTCTAATAAATGACTGTATAAAATTCACACTGACTCAAAATTTTCATCTACCAAACCCATCTACAATTCAGAAAATATACCTAATTTTAGGAGATTTCAGATTTTTATGGCATGTTTTTTATTTTGTTATTCAGTCAAGTATGAGCCAGATGCCCACAAAGAAACAGCGCATCATATGCTGTTGTTTGGATGCAAAAAACCAGGAAGATTTGGTAGTAAAGCATGGTAAGTGAACTTACAGGCCCATATGGGTACACAATATGACTATTCGTAATACGATTCAAGTGTTTGACTTTGAGCCTACTGTACCTTTACATTATTAGAAAACTGCAGGTTGATAGGAATTCAACTACCTGAAAAATGCAAGTGAAACTTCAACGTTTCGGGCGGATTTAACTACCTTTAGAAAAAATACAAGGAAAACTTCGACATATTGTGTTTTTCAGGTAGTTGAATCCGTATCAATCCACAGTTTTCTGGTGTTTTGCCACTACCTACACTGGCACAGACTTTTCGTGTTTATTTACTACTTATTACAATAGTGTGTTTTTTATCTTAGGAATTGTGGTGACATGGGATCAGGAACATGTACTGGTTCCGAATCCATCTTGTTTGGATGGGCACGAGATGCTCCAGCACTACAACTACCAAAAGGTTTGATGTATAAAACTTTCATTATATACAGTAAAAATGTTCCTGAACCATTTGAAGTGGGGTGCAAGGTCACAAATAGAAAGCAAGCACATCATCATACACTATATATACCTTTGTCCTTTTATTGTAATGTATCCCTCCTCTAATAGAAAAGGAATAATTAGCAGTTATGTAAAATTTATCGCATGATTTTTAATGTTGTATTTAACACATTCTTCTTAACTTAAATTTTTTTTGTAGATGTTGGGTTCAGAGTTGGTGGCAATACTGAAATACAATATCTCACGCTTCAAATACATTATGCACATGCACTTGAAGGTATTGTGAAGTTGTCTTGGTCTATAGTAGGCTTAAAACATCTTGTTCATAGCAGTAATAGCTTGCCAAATTTCAAGTGGTTTTGGCACACTTTCTACAATATAATGATGAGTGGTACTGATTGACTGGTAATTGGTATTCGGTCGGTAGACCATCAGAATCGGTAGACTTTATTATTATCTGTATTTCAGTAACATTGGAAATCTTAAAATGGAAATGAATGATGTCACCATTACTTGGTTGACTGAAAATTTGTATTGGGTAGATTGTTGCATGAATAATCGGTAATTTCCAATTGTGGAATCGCATAAGGCCTAAAACTAAAATACCTGTGGTTCCGGTTCCCGACCGACCCTATTATTTTTTCAATGCGATTGACCATGTGACCCTATCTTCTCCAGGCGATTGCGGGCTGCTCATACAGCGTGCCAAAATGGCGTCTGTTGTTGAACCAAATTGCCTAAATTCATCCATAGGAAATACGCATCTCTAGTTAATATTGATGTCGGGACTCTACTGCAAATCGCCCAGCAAAAAACCACCAAAACCATGAAAAAATATTCCAAAACAAAAATTTCACAATATGAAACCGGAACCACAAGTATTTTTTTAGGCCTAAGTATTGGGAAAGTAATTACACTGTATATCAATGTTTTATCTTATTTAGCTAAACATTATGATAGATCTGGATTAACATTGCATGTGAAGACTGCACCGTAAGTATTGGGATTCCGCCCTTTATAAAATTTTTTTAACTTGTTAGTGGCATAGTGCCAATTGACATCATATACATCATAAAATTTATCAACCTTTAGTGCTATTCAGTACCAAAAGTACCATGAAACAAGATTTGATATTTTCAATATATCAATATTTTTATTAAAATAATATCAAATACTCAATCTTTTAATTGATTAGAAAACAATTTTATCATGTATCAATGCGACAGCCTACAATAGAATGTTTGTTATTTTACGCTGTCTAACGTCAGACAATTTTACTTGTCAAGGGGAGAGGCTGATGCTAATGGGGTTTTTAACAGTACAAACTTTATTTTAGCTTACAAAATTTTATTTCAGGCAACTAAACTTGGCATCAATATACCTTCTATTGGCAAGTTCAGCATACATTCCACCAAACTCTAAAGGTTTGTAAATATCCTAGCTAAAAGTTTGTAGATATCCTAGGCAAAAGCTTCGTTGACAGTTTATTATTTTGCCAAGCCTTCAATCCATGTGTCTTGAAGAGACTCGATATTGCAAATACCAAATATTGGTGGTATATTGTCACACCATACCAGTACATGTATAGGCTATCATAGGAGTGGCGATATCAGTTATTTATCACGTTAGGGACAATATCATAAATGTCATAAGAACGCAGGAAACAAGGGGAAAAGCAATAAAATTGATGTTGCTTTGTCCTGATTATGATAACCTGTTTATTATATACTGTACCCCAATTATTAAAATAGGGGGACAAATAAGGGATATCAATGACAAAAAAACAATATCAGTGACATATTGTTTTTTATGTTATCGGGTTTGAGCAGCAAATGCTGAATGTCGGTATACCAGTATTTTTGCAATTACTTGTATCACTGACCATACTAAATATATCTGGTATATTAAGTCTCTCAGGCTCTACCGAGTCTCCTTTCTACATCAGTGCAAATTATGTAAGCAGGTAAAAAGCTGTTAAAATTTTTATGTGTACTGTACCAAGCAGTCAATATTTGTATATACACAAAAAAATGGTGAGTATTCAAATCTATTTGGAAAATTGTCACTGATTGTTCATATTATTACACATCATATGTGTCATTATGACTAATATATTTAATACAAATAAAGATAGATGGTTAAATTAAAGAGGTGTCAAGTATGTTCTGCTCATGTGCCTGTTTTGTTTACATTTTTTGTTTCAAACAACAGATAATTTTACTTGACAGCCTCTTTAATATACATAATACCGTAGCTATATGCATTTCTGAATTATAAAAGCATAACAACCGAATCTAAATTATTCTATATAATAATATTGTAGTGTATGCCTTTTTCAATTTTGGGGTTTGCAAGCCATCCTACAAAGTGGCACAATGGTAAAAACGTTGTCTTTTCTCAGTGGAAATACTTTTCCCTAGGGTCATGACATATTTAGAAGGCATATATGTGCATATAAGGTAGATTATTGATATATATAATCCATGATTAACATACAGCTGCAGTAGCTCTGGTTCTTGCTTCATGCATTTGTGGAAGTTCTTCCCATCTATAACAATCAAATCTAAAACATTCTACAGACTTTAAGATATTTCCACTTTCATCTTTGCCTCCCATAACAATCACAGTGTCTCTGACAACTGCAGCCACACATCCTTTCCTCTTATACTTCATGTCTGGTAACATATGAGTCTTCTGGGTCTTGATGTTGT